TAGCTGTTGGGTGTCAATCACAATCACAGGTTGTTCGATCATAATGATCGTTGTTCACATCATCAACGCCACGCCCTATGGCTACAGCCATAGATTTGACTAAATCTAGCACTATGGGTGCCCTAGCCAGAGTAGATACATCAAAATTTTGTGTAATCCACCCCTGCCCTGCTCCCCACCAGACCCCGCATCAGACCCCGCACCAGACCCCGCACCAGACCCCGCACCAGAACCCGCACTGGCCCTGCATCAATTGCAATATCCAGTTACACATCTTCACCTTCCCTATTGGCTTTGTCTACCTTGATAAGATATTTCATAAATGTTTGTATTCTTGCCCTGGTGGTCAGCAGCACTACTGCTACGGCTAAAGGAGGTCAAATATAGAATATGCCAGACTGACCCCGCGGCAGACCCGCCAGATGATGGGATCAAGCGCATCAACAATCCTATTGTGCAGGGTGCATTGGGGTTTTCTAAGCTCAATGCATGTCAATTAGTGTATTTACCTATGAAATTATACTGGGATGATTTAGAGAGGCTTCCATTTTTTTTTTGGCGGAAAAATCACGTGATTTTGCGCCCACTGTCTGCCACAACATGCAATCTATCAAGCAGCACCTCCAAAATCATGCCAAATGGTGCAAAAAGGGGCCCCCAAAAAGTCACGTGATAATGCGCCCACTGCCCACTGCAGTGGCGGGAGGGGCGGTAGCGCCCCCGCCAATGCCCTGCCAACCCCCGCCATTTTGAAATTTTTCCTGCAGCTCATCACGTGATTCCCCGCCATCCCGCCCATTTGGTGCATCATGTGATTGATTTTTTTTCCCGCCAGCTGCCCGCTCTTATGGACAAGTCACATGGTATGTATGGGCACACCCCGTCCGACCCCGTCCTGACCCCCGCCCATCCCCCTGCCCCAAAATGGCCAGCTGCCCCCTGTACCCCCGCGGGTCTATATGGGGGGTTGGCGGTGGTAACTGAGGTGAGCAACGCGAAGATCCAGAACCATGTGGGCGCGACCAACACAAACAACTCTGGCGTGACGCGCTTCCTGATCTCGCACTCCTACACCTTCGAGCAGTTCGCGTTCCACTGGGACGGCCAGGGAGAAGCCGCCTGGAGCATTGGGAACGGACTTGTGCGCCAGCCAGTTGGTAAAGGATGGAATGCGGCTGTGAACATCCAATGGAACGGACCGACGTCGGGTTCGCTGGATGTTTCAGGCCAAGTGTCGTCTGCCGTGAATCGTGACGGCGCGGTGACCTGCTTCATCATTCCGGAATCGACCTGAGAAGCTATCTGCGTCACGCCGGAGATATTAGCCAATTGTAACATCACGTACTTTCTTGGAAAATCAGTGTTCAGATAAGTGTTTGGTTGTTTCGGCCATGATGAAATCTCGCGTTTTGTGCAATTGTGTGGGTCCCAGTTGAACGTTGAGCTTCTCTCACGTAATTGATCTGATCTTCGCCATGCGCAGCCTCAGTCGACTGAGAGTGGATACTGCAAAATCAGTTCAAGCATCCCGAAAACAAGTGCTGGCGTCCAACCCATTGAAGCAATGCCGGCATGACGAACCAGGTGACCAAGTCATTGGCATTCGCAGCAGAAGAGATGTGCATGAACATTTATCGACGTCACTGATTTGCTGCTCCACAGCCCGGGCCGCCGTGAAGCCGATTTCCAGCTTTTCTCTATAGCCCGACGCAGCACGCCGTCTCCAACGGCCACGCAGCCTCTCTTGGGCCGTCACAGTCAACCGCGAATCTGTTGTCTGAATAGGCGTGGGAGATTGGGAAGCGCGTGACGCCAGTGTCGGTCATGGTGGCAGCGCGGGCGTAGCAGAGAAGAAATCAACATTCGCCAGGACCGCCGAGAATGCACTCTGAGTAGATAGATCAATTTATTGTGCTTGACAATTTTTTTTCAGTGCAGGATGGCTCATCGTTTCTAGAAACCCATGTCTTCACATTTGATCGACTCGGCCATAGATTTTCTCTGTTCAACAGTCCAGCGCGTCGTTTGATGTGCCATGCTAGCTGACAATTTTGCGGATCCCAGGAAAGTCGCCTTCTTCAACGCGATCGATGCACCGGCGGACTCGAGCGGGGTGGCGAGGGCGACCGTGGATCCCTTGCTTAACGCGGGAGCCTGTCGAATTTGCACCATCGTAAGACCGTCGAATCACACCCGGTCGTCGTCACTGTCCCCCAACATGGACCTTTGGATCATGGCGTTCATGTGTGTTGATTTTGCAGTATTACTTCTATCTGGGACATACCATATTTTTCAACAGTTTGGAAGTTCAAATTGAAGTGCTGTCAAAAAAATCGGTCTGAGTATGCGAATATTGGTAGCTCATGTAAAAACACTCCCTGTCCTTCTCTGTGTCAAATTACCGATCTTGGAAGTGGGTTAAGCATCTCAAGATAGTGTATCGTGATGGCATCACTCACAGTAAGCCAAACAGAGACATCTCGGAGTTCAGCGAGTAAATGGCACTGCTACCTCCTGTTTGCAGAACATTACCTAGAAACTCATATGCCTTCACTTAAACGCAAACGAACTTCTCCTCTCTGGAACACATCCGATCAGGGTATTTCAACGTCGGACTCTGATGACCCAGATGACGATCTCCCCGTGCTCAATCTCATTATCGACAAACGCACTAGCGAAACAACAGGAAGATTCGCGTCAGAAGACGGGGAAGGTCCCGATATCCTCCTCTCCAGCCCAATGACACGAGGGACGCTGCGGGCTCAATCCGGCAGGCGCAATCGGCCGACCACGACCCGCCAGAGTCAGTCTACGGTCAGAACGAACGTGCTGGCGACGTCTTCCGGGTCGGGAGCTTCCGGACGAAGTGCCTCCGAGCCTATCGTGTTAGACGACGACGCCGACTTTGTCCAGCTTTCGACCGATACACCTTACGTGTCTACGCGAACGCGGCTCCCCCGATCGCCCGTCGTCTCTGACTTTGAGAATGCGCCTAGTGCGAAGACGCCCATTCGCAAGAGGGTACGACGGGTCCTGTCCCCTTCTTTCTCTGATTTTGAGCATGTACGCGCGTCCTCGGATGATGAGTCGAATCCCCCGGCTCCCGCATCTACAAAGACCCGACGGTGTCCAGTCGCTTCGTCGGATTCGGAGCATGACACGGGGCCTGTGGAGGAGTTTCATACGCACAGAATCACTCGTCGGGCTAGTCAGACCTCGATGGGCACCGTGGAAGAGGATCAGAATGACTTGCATTGTGAGTGACGGAATGCTCTCGAGTTTACGGCCAACATTGACACTTACAGTCACTCCCCCTCCGTGCTCGTCTCGGCCGAGCCATAAGGAGCACAAAGCCAGCGTTCGCGAGGCGCTCAGGACTGCCAGATCGCACAAGGCTCAGGGTATCCCGAGAACGCCTGCGGAGGTCCACACACTATCATCCTCTGAATGCGCCTCCGACGATGACTCAGACACAGAAACAGGCGCATTTGGACACTCGTCGAGATCTGGATCGGAGAACCTAACCGACTTCATCGACGATGCCGATGAAGAGACAGGAGATATCAAAGAGGTCGATGATGTGCTTGCTCCTGGTCGAGTGAATCGGTTCTCTACCCGGAAGCACTTCCAAGCGTGTGCCGTTTACCTGGCGAGGCTACATCATCCGACTGGAACGTCCCTCACGCCCGAACAAGGTGCGTCCTGCTGCACCTCTCTATTCTAATCGGTCTCCATGACGGCTCAGAGCGCGACTGTCAAGTCTCTCTGACCAAGATCCAAGATTGCACAACGGCAGTGGCCGATTCCATGCAGAAATCCACGTGGACGCGGCCTTTCCTCTACACGATCGATGAGCGCCCGATTCTCGTCGGCCCTTACAATGCGGAAGAGGCAGAATGCCAAGCCTGCTGGACCCGGGGTGACTACGAATGCAATCGCTTGGGCACCCAATACGTCGCTACCTGCAAAGGGTTTTACGAGCGCAAGGGCGTGTTTCAAGTGAGCCGTCACCGCGACGAACAGCACTGCTACCCTTGTGTTGACCATCGCTATTGTCAGGACGTTCTGGAGGAAAACGTCGAGTATTCCACGGAAACGCCTGGCGACTGGGAGAATAGTGCGCTGGCGCCCAAGATTCTCTACCCTCCCCAGCACCGGATCTATCTCGGAAAGCGATGTGCCGAGCGGATCGTTGCCTAGTGGGTGCATTCTTCGGCGGCTGCTTCTTGCCTTGACACGACGTTGCCGCTTACAGCCATGCTGCACGGCATTACATGTACTACCTCTCCTCCCGCATCAAGGACGAAGTCGAGCGAGAGTGCAGCGAGGATCAACGTTCCGAAGATGACGTTGATCGTCTTGTCGAACGTCTCTCCCGGTTTTTGCGGCAGGTGTGTTCAATGAGCACCCTGTGCTTGAAGCCTCACTGGATATTTCTGCAGCTCGATGAAGACTTTGGCCGAGATCGGAGGTCGTGGCACAATTTCGGTGCTGGTGGTCTGTTCGAAGAGACTGACGAGGAGGACGTTGACGAATAGCAGCGAATGCTGGTCGATACCCTTCTGAAGCAGTGATCAGATAAGCAACGTAGTTGTAGATCGATTAGATAAAGACGACATCATGATCTCTACCAGCCGTGTGGTCTACGAACTCCTTCTCACACTATGGCTCATCCGGTGAGTGACTATAACATGCTGGACTATACACAGCCCGCAGAGCATATCAAAGCGGTCAACATGGGGCCAGTGCCCCAGCGAATCTTTGACGATATGCGCAAGTACGAAGACTCTCAGAGAGGTGGGTGCGGGGGTCCGTGGCCGCTCGTGGACATGCTGGAATACATCATCACCAGGATTCTCGTTAGAATGTTTCGAGAAGTTGACTCCCAAGGATACTGGAGGTCCCGGCTCTGTGATCATCGGGCACAGGCCAGAGGACTCTCAAGTGGAGGAACTATACCGGATGTCGTTGGATCCCGAGAAGACAGCCCTCGAGCGGATCACGTACTTCAACCTGAACAGCGGGCGCAGGATCTCGAGCTACGTCCCGGTTTCGGGAGACGATTGGCGGGGCGTTTGGCGCGGACGGGGGCACATCCTCGCCATGGATCTGGATGGGAACGAGTACTTCCAGCTCTGGAGATACTGGGAGGACGCCGACTCGACTGTCCAGCTGCCTGTCATTGAAGGAGAGCTCGAAAACATACCGGGCGGGCGCATCGAGCGCCTGACTCACGACGCGTTTCGGTACAGCAATGTCGTCGTTTCGGACTCCGATAAGTGCGTGGTGTTATAGTCTGGTATGTCTCTGATACAGCGCTGACTATTTTCTCAGGTTGATGGCATTCACGTCGAACAAGGAAAACGGCAAGGACACGTTGGTGTATGTTGCCGCCCTACAGAACTCCCAGACTGGTGCTGCTGCCGATTCCAAGCCGTTTCATCTTGTCTCCCAGCTCGTCACTCCACCGGCAGTAAAGGGAACCGACCGCTGGGTAGTCTCTGACATCTCATTGGACGACCAGTTTCTCCTTATCACCAAAACTCAGACGTCGTTCTACTCGCCGTGTTATCTGGTACACGTGTCAGGCCTGAGCGCTCCGGAACTCATCGTCTTGCCCGATACGACCGAGGACGAGAGCCAGACGATGATCATCGCGCCAAAGTTCTCTCGCGATCCGGGGACGCCCCATCTAGTATACATGATCACCAATGCATACGGCGACTTCCAGTCGATCGTGCGGTACGATACGATCTCCAGGACGGTGATGCACATCACCACGCCCGAGCCCAGTCTTCGTGCGCTGCGGCCGGTCAGCTGGCCGTGCTCGGCGCTCAAGGTGACCTCGAAATACGTCAAGTTCAGAGCGAATCTAGACGGCTTCAGTGCTGCCTTTCTCCTCCCCCTCCAAGGCCCATACAAGGATGCCGTGATTCAAGTCAAGCCAGAACTTGAGGGGATATCATTCAACCTTTCGCTGACCGAGGCCGACCCGGACACCGTCGTCGTTTCTTTGGGCTCGCATCATACAGCAGCTTCGCTTGCGCGTTTTAATATTCACGACTTCATACCGGAGAAAGTCCAGACAGATTCGGACGGATCTTTGTTCATTTCAATGCATTTGACACCATATGCGCAGGCGACACCCGAGTCTCGTCCATTTCGCACGTTTCCGTGCAAGCTGATGCGATTCAAGAGCTTTGATGGGTTAGAGATCCCTTGTATGTATTACCATCCGACGGACAGCAAGACAGTGGTCCCGGTTGTGATTTCTATACACGGCGGTCCGGCCAGTGGGTTTTTTCGTTCTGTGTTTTTTCACGATCGTGGTGCTCACCCACGTTTTCTAATCAGGCCAGACCTCGTCCGACTCGCGCAGCAAGATCCACTGGTACATCATGAATGAGCTGGGTTATGCTGTGCTATGTCCCAACGTCCGAGGAAGCTCTGGCTACGGCAAGCGCTTCATGGCTGCAGACGACGTCGAGTTACGTGAGGATTCGGTCAAGTGAGTGACAGGCTGGTTATTCCCCTTCGAGTTGACAAGGATTGGAAGAGACATTGGCTCGTTGCTCGACCACATTGAACACCGCATGCAGAGCGAACTCGACTCCAAACGAATCGCTGTGATGGGAGGATCCTGTGCGTCCTTTCTCTCGTCGCCGAACTCTTATCGTTGAAGCATCCGAAAGACGGTGGCTACATGACCCTGGTCAGTCCACCCCTCATGGCCAGTTTTAAATTCCCTCTCACTTCCCGTTCAGGCCTGCTTGATCCATTACCCTCGCCGATTCGCCTGTGGGCTCGCCAATTTCCCCATCGCTCACTGGCCGTCGTTCCTGGAAACAACTGCACCGCATCGCAGAGCGCATCGACGTGGCGAATATGGCGACGAGACGGACCCGCAGATCCGAGATTTTCTGGAGAAGATTTCACCCATCAACCGGACGTCGGAAATCTCGGTTCCCCTGCAGATTGCTCACGGAGACAACGATTCCCGGGTGCCCGTCGACCAGGCTATCCGGATGTGGCAGACTGTGTCCCAGAACGGCGTGCATTGCGAGTTGATCATTTGCGAGAAAGAAGGCCACGGTGAGTGCCATTCGCCTCAACGAATTTCAGCCTCGACGAACATCCGGTGTAGGATTCAGTCAGAAGAGCGTGATCGAATTCACAAATGCGGCGAAGCTGCACTTCTTGGAAAGATTTCTGCCCGTGCAACAGATCCAATATCACACCGCTGTATTGTGACCAGATGCACTACTGCATTCTCGACAATACTATCTGAGAATCAGGGTTATGTTCCGAAGTAGGAATCGACATGGATGGAACCTACGCTAGACGGGCGAATACTATTGAAACCACATCAAACTGTCTCATCCATCTCATCCTGATCCGGCTCCGGTAGTACGAGGCGTCCTGAGGCGGTGGTCTCTGGACGTGACTTGGAGTTCGATGGACCTGCAGTCGGACGCGGTGCATTACGGTTTCTTGAACGGGAGACTGGTCCACCTCGTTTGATGGGACCAGTCTTGTCGCCCTCAAATTCACCATCGCCAATCTTGATGACGATAGCTAGCGTAGACTTCCCCCGTGTCTTATACTCAATATCCTCATCTTCATCATCCGGAATGATCTCATCCTGCACCTCCATCGTGCCGGTAGTGACGTGCGTTTGAATTTCGTCGGCGGCAAATGGCAGGATCGGAGGGAGAGCGACAGACAGCTGCAGAAGATGGGGGATCGCAGCGCCCATCGCGCTCAAGTGGAGCGTCTTGTACCCATCATTTATGACCGCGTTCTTGCAGCGGCGCAAGTACGCAGAGAGGGGCGTTTTACGCGTGATGCAGATGAGGTTCTTGCCCTCCTTGTGCGCCGAGCGCGGGCCGGTCGCGGAAACAGACCGCGGGACCGTAGGGAATGGACGCGCAGGCGTGAGTCGGTTCATGCGCGGCCTTTGACGAGGCGGGTCCGCAGGTGGCATCGTACTCGGACGCGTCGGGGGATCGGGCGGGGGAGTCACTCTGACCGCGACAGACCGTCCCTGTGCGTCAACGAGCCGGATCCGTTTGTTGCTAGCGGAGTCTGTTGCAGTCTGTAAGGAGCTAGGCTTGCGTTTAGAGGTCGTCGTTGACATCATGGGTGTCAGATATAAAACTAGAGATCGGCACGTGCTCCATCCAATCCATCTTTCCCTCTTTTTCACCGTCGCGCAGGCAGTCGCCATGAGCCAGCCCGATGCTGCCGAGCAAAACATTCAGATGTGGAAGGTCAAGAAGCTCATTAAGAGCCTTGACTCCGCCCGAGGGTATGTTGAACAGCCCTCGAGCCCTCCACCACGATGCTCATCTGTCAACCAGGGCGGGCACTTCTATGATCAGTCTCATCTTACCCCCCAAGGTTCATCTCCTCTCAGTGCATCGTTGACATCGCGCTCATCTATGCGACTAGGATCAAATTTCCCGCGCATCGGCCATGTTGACCCAGGAGTACGGCACAGCGTCCAACATCAAGTCCCGCGTCAATCGACTGTCTGTCCTTGCTGCGATTACGAGTACCCAGCAACGTCTCAAACTGTATAACCGGGTCCCTCCGAATGGCCTGGTGTTGTTCGTTGGCACGATCCTTACCGACGAAGGCAAGGAGAAGAAAGTTTCCTTCGATTTCGAGCCTCACAAGCCCATCAACACGTATGCCCGCGTCACCGTGGTGAGACCAGTAATCTAATCTTTTTTTAGCTCTCTCTACCTCTGTGACAACAAGTTCCATACAGAAGCACTATCCGAGCTGCTCGAATCTGATTCGCGGTTCGGGTTCATCGTCATGGACGGTAACGGGACCCTGTTTGGCACTCTCGCCGGCAACACTCGCGAGATCATCCACAAGTTCACCGTCGATCTCCCCAAGAAGCACGGTCGTGGTGGACAGTCTGCGCTCCGTTTCTCCCGTCTGCGTGACGAAAAGCGTCACAACTACGTGCGCAAGGTCGCGGAGCACGCCGTGCAGCACTTCATCACCAACGACAAGGTCAACGTCACTGGCATCGTCCTGGCTGGTAGCGCCGACTTCAAGACCGAGCTTGGACAGAGTGACATGTTCGATCTCCGATTGGCTGCCAAGGTCGTCAAGGTTGTCGACGTCAGTTATGGCGGAGAAAACGGGTTTAACCAGGCGATTGAGCTCGCTGCGGAGTCCTTGGCGAACGTCAAATTCGTGCAGGAGAAGAAACTGATTCAAAAGTACTTTGATGAGATCAGCCAAGACACTGGGCGGTACTGCTTCGGTATTGAGGACACTCTGAAAGCGCTGGATCTCGGTGCTGTGGAGACCTTGATCGTTTGGGAAAATCTCGATATCACGCGGTTCATCTTGCGCAATGCCGCTGGTGGTATGTGCCTCCCTCCCACTGCCGTATATGCGTCTCATGACTTGCACAGAGGAAATTGTCGTCCACGTCAACAAGGAGCAGGAGAAAGACCGCGAAAAGTTCATCGACAAGTCCACCGGCACTGAGATGGAGCAGGTCGTCGAGCCCCAGTCGCTTCTGGAATGGTTCGCGGAGAAGTACAAGGATTTTGGCGCCAACCTCGAATTCGTGACGAATCGTTCGCAAGAAGGAGCGCAGTTCGTGAAGGGTTTCGGCGGTATCGGTGGCCTGCTGCGATACAAAGTCGACTTCACCACGTTGGGCTCAGCAGACGACGACGAAGACGAATTCTACGACAGTGACGAGGAGGTGGTTTGACGGTACTGCTGGCTCCTGGACGGAGGAGCCCAGCCTTGCTTGGGCTCGTCCGGTGAGGTGGAGAGGGATGAAGTTGGCGGAGAATGTGTGTGCATGCGAGGTGGGAATGTTGTCGAGAACGCAACAGCAGGTTTCGTCGGATCTGGGTGGGGCCTGCTGCGAGCCATTGGCTCTATCCTGGTCAAGTGGAAAGAGCGCGAACCAGTGTGTGCGTGCACGATGGTCCAAGCGTGTGGGTTTCAGTCTGACTAGCGAGTGAAAATTGTAATACGTGCTCTAGGTTGCCACTGGTCAGTCTCTTCTTTGTCTTGGTCTTCTCAGTCTGACTTGGAAGAGATAGGCATCCTTGCATTTCGGGATGACTTGTCTACTGTAATGGGATGCATCTCAATGTATTGCCTGTAATATTTCTTGATTCCGAAGTAAATGTGCTATCGAAAATGTCATGAGAATAAGACAGTTTCTGGCGCCTACAATTCGAAGCGATCAGCATGCAACGGGCCGGTGTGGAACAACTCACTAGACCCCGAGTCTCAAAAGCTAACCAGTCTCCGGTTCCGGTCGGTAGCAGTCCCATGGACCGACACTTCCACAATCCTACGCCGAGAACAACGAGATTGCACAGAACGTACACCAGTTTCTGTAGGGACAGCACGGTGAAAGAGTTGGGGTTCGTCGCTGTCGAGGGAGCGAATTGCGCGAAAGCTGTTCGAGTAGTCAGTGATTCTGACTAACCATATTCCTCCCCCGCCCAACTGCACGCACCTGCATTCATCGACGCAATATTCTTGAACGGCGACATGAGCAGCATAAAGACGATTCCCATGCTGAAGATCTGCACGCCGCTGCCAGACATGTAGAGCATGAATGCCTGCATGGGCAGCTGCTTCGCGGGCCCCGTGGCGAAGTCCAGCGCGCGCTGCTCCTTCATCTGGTCGTGCACTGCGGGAGAGAAGACCGGGGTCTTGACATTGTTGCGTGTCTGACCAAGTGAGGGCGCTGTTTAGCAAGGGGAGACGGATAGATACTTGATGGGCGGGCCACAGACCGAAACACTTTTTGAGAAGCCGGGAGGAGGCGGGAGACTACGCCATCTGGATTGGATCAGAAATACAGAGTACATGCATGGGACAGGTCACTATACTTGGAGCTTTGTTCGAGCGTCGAGTATTCGAGGCGTTTAGTCGTCGATGACATGAGCGTGAGTGAACAGTTCTGCTGACGCATATACAACCCTAAATAACGGAGATAAGATGCTATAACATGTGCTTGAGATCGCCGATCTCCTGACTGGAGTACACTCTCTGAACAACATGACGCTTTCGGAAACGGCATGCGATATGTACGGATTTGCACTTTGACTGGTGGGTCTATCTTAGATGTCTATGATCGTGGTGGGATTCTGATACATATCGTGAACGCCGGAATGCTGAGGAGATCTCGCGTTCCTCGTGGACACCATCCTGGGAAAGATATATTACAGTTGTTGACTCATCTTGACGGCTACAGCTCTATGGAGAGACACAATGTTCGCGGATATTCTCCGGGTGCATATAAACTTTTCCTGTGCCCACGCCAAGATTATGCCACGCAAAATGGCCAAATGCCCACACGGTATGATGCAATTCGCAAGATACTGGATATGATATGATACAGGGACACAACTAAGGCCTGTTACTGACCAAACCCAGGATGCATCATTTGGCCTGGCATCTGGCCTGGCATCTGGCCTGGAATTTGGCCCGGCATTTGGCCCGGAAAAGGCGGTCCGAACCCAGGCGGCGGCGCAAACCCAGGAAACACAGGCATGTTTGGCGGAGGGGGAGGCATCATCCCCGGCGGCATACCCATCGGCATACCCATCCCTGGCCCACCCATCCCTGGTGGTGGTGGAGGCACCATCCCCATTTGCATTGCCGGCATGATCGTCTGCTGCGGGGCAAATCCGGGAGGCGGTGGTGGTTGAGCTAGAGCGCCTGCGAATTGACCCTGATATTGGTATGCGGGAACTGGGACCCCGAACCCGAGTGGAGCGGGGGGTCGTGCACCATTTGGCAGCGCGTTGTTTTTACGGGCTTGCGCAGTGAGCAGTCGCTCAGCGGCCGTGCCGTGTCGTTCCCCTTTGCCATCCTTTTTGAACGCGTATTGCACCGTAATCGCCTTGTTCATGAGGAATGAGCCATTCATAGCTTCTATGGCAGCATCAGACGCTTCAAAGTCCGTGTACGAGACGAAGCCATAGCCCTTGGACACGCCGGAGCTAGGGTCCCGCGCAATCTGCGATAGTGAGTAGGACTGAATTAGCAGTTTAACGGAGATGGCGGACCTTGGCGGTTGTGGCCATCATGCCGAATGCACTGAACGTGTCGTATAACAATCGCTCATCGACATTTTCATCCAGATTGCCGATGAACAGGTTGGCACCGACATCCAATTGCTTCTTATCAGACGAGGCCTACAGGGAGAATGAGGTCCATCGGAGAAAAGTAGGCGGGATCACGGCGCCTTTCGACGCTGGGTGATAGAACACAGAATCGAGAACACACCTTGTTAACCCTTATCGGCTTTCCCCACAGTTTGATTTGGTTCATGATCTTACAAGCATATTCTGCGTCTTCCTCTGTTTGAAATTCGCAAAAGCCATACCCTTGATGGGCCATAGATATACGGTCCTTGGGAAGGTGGACGTTCACTGCCCACGACGTGAGCGAGAGACGCGGCCGCTGGTTCTTGAACACACCTACAGGACCGGCTTGCAGCATCAACTCCCATACAATTGCATCCGAAACGCGCTCGTCGAGATTGCCCTGAGCTGGTGTGAGCTGAAATGGTCTTGATTGAACAGAACACGCGCACGAGGTAGACAGTAGCTTCCTGGTTTCTGTCGTCTTGTGGACGCGACATTTTGGATGACTGCAAATGGGAAGTTGCGGTGTTTGGGTGTGTTGATCATCAGCTCTTCTTGACACCACGTCCTTCTGCTTCGCTTGTGCCCGCGGGTAAACATGGTTCAGGTACAATATGCCGGCTGTAACGCTACACACTGCTGCTATGCTCTGCAATCCTCAAACTCGATTGGGGATGTCAAAAAAAAAAAGTTGTGAAACCCATCCACTGTGCTCTCTCGTCATCACGTAGTGCTCTGGACAACTTGCTCTTGGTACTACAGATCGGAGTTCATCAAATGTGGCTTGACAGTGACAACTTCCATACTGCAAGCAACTGGGAGAGATCCGCTTCTCCTCCGCGTTATCGGGCGGTGTTCCCAATTATCTGGATATGCCATCGATTATTATTCATAGACAAGTCTCATTTCCGCTCTGAGCCCTCTGATCACGGACATATCTGTATGTTCAACAGAATGCAACCAAGATCTGAGAGGCACAGAGAGATGAACACGTCACCGGTCTTAGCTCGCCCACCGCGAACGGAGGAACGCAAGCCCCATCTAACAGGCCATCTCCGTTGGACCATCGTTTCCTTTACTGGACAATCTCGCCCCCCGAACATCAGGTCTGTCGAAATATGCAAACACCGGCGCTTTCTGTCATATAAAGGATGGACCTGGCCGTCAGACTTCTGCCCATCCATCGCACCTCTCTTGTCCCCCCTGGCCAGCCTCCAGCGATGATCGGCCTTCGCAGTATCCTCACTCTGTCCGTTGTTGTCCTCTTCGGGATGATGGCTATGGCTCGGCCTGTCTCCACTGCCTCCAAGAGAGCCCTGAAGCAGTACAATCCGCGCGATGCGCCGACCCGTGTTCAGCGAGGCCACACCCAGCCTTCTGGCTATTACGGGTGCGTTCTATCATGCAGACTGTCAGCGGTGTTCCATGCTGATGTGTTTTGCCAGGCGGCGAGATGAGGCCGCTGCTCGCCCTCACCCCTCCAAGTGCTTCACTCCTCTCGAGGCTATTAGCTGGGTGCTGACTGTACTTTCCTCCAGGTCTTACAAGTGAATACATGCGCCTCAATCGTCGCTCGCGGACTACTTTGTGCTCCGTAAACGTATCTGTAGCTCACTGTACTCGTGAATTTATATACATGTGCTTATCTATTCGCTCATGAGACACCCATTCAACTTTCTGTGCACTGGTGGAAGGAGGAATAATTATTCCAGCCTCTGTTGCAGGCTGCTGGCGACAAAATATGGAGCATCCGTAGAATCCCACAGGAGCCAGGGTACGACCATAAGTTGAGCATAGACCAGACAGGAAGATATGAATTTAACTAGAAAAGCAGATAAAGAGAAAGTAGTGGATATACGACAATACCAGGAGAGTCAAGGCAGTCGCGTCGTAATAGTAATTCGTAAATGAGCCCATGAAGACTAGCATCACGCGTCTGCCACAGTTTGCCTAAACGATAATGCACTTCGTCTTACTCCTGCCTTTCACAACCGGAGGCTCGAGGGCAGCGACAATAGCCTGAACAGATGTCATGAAGGGGAAGCAGCGACGAGGGCCAGTCCGATGACGCACCTCATCAAACACGTTCTTGAGGCCCTTCTGCGTTAAAGCCGAGCACTCCACATACTTCACAGCGCCCAGTTCACGTGCGAGCCTCTCTCCCTGCTCGTTCGCAATAGGGCGCTGCTTTTGCCTGGAGAGTTTCTCGATGACTTGGGCATCATCCCGCAGATCCACTTGGGTCCCGACAATGAGACACGGGACGCCAGGGCAGTGGTGGTGCACTTCCGGAAACCACTTTTCCTTGACGTTTTCGAACGAAGCAGGAGATGTCACGCTGAAGCACACAAGAAACACGTCGGTCTGAGGATATGATAGTGGACGCAGTCGGTCGTAGTCCTCCTGACCTAAAAATGGATAAGGGCCGAAGCACCGAGAACGACAACTCGCGCAGACGGACCAGCGGTATCGAAGAGTCCTAATGTGTACGGGTCGTCTCCAATCATTACAGTCACCGCATAGTTATCAAAGACCTATTGAAATGAGGTGTGCGAGTTGGACACATGTGAAAGCACGATAGGGGGAATGCGTACAGTCGGGACGTATTCGCTGGGAAACTTGTTGGTTGTGTAAGAGATGAGGAGGCAAGTCTACGGCGAGCGGGAAAGTTTAAGTGGCGCAACGAAGGTTGAGAAGCAGCGACACACCTTTCCCACAGCACCATCGCCAACAACTACGCATTTGATCGTCTGCATGATTGGAAAAGGAGTCTAAAGCGGTCGGTTTGCGGGGATGGCACTGTAGCCAGAAAGGTCAGCGTCAAAGGACGGCGGTGCGCTGATTGAGGGAGCAAGGGCACGATGAATGTGGTGCAGTTTGGCGTGGTTACCAGGTGGGCAGAGCCTCGTGGCAGTGTCGGGGTGACAGACGCGGAGGGTAAGAGGATGTGGCGACTCCTACTTCTACCAAGTGAGGACGAAAGAGACTCACAGAAATTGAATATGCTGGTCGCCTGCACTGTTGCGTACCCTGGACGCTACTCGATCAGCCTCGACGGAAAGTCAGATGAAAATAGAGTCTGCATAAGGAGGCCAAGCAACGAGAGCGATGAGCTGGCGTGTGACGAGCGACGAGAAAGACTGAAGACGTACAGGAACAAGGGCCGATAGCCTGGAGATATCTAGGACGATACCAAAGGTGCCGCAAGAGGGAGTTGCTACAGTTGATCGACGTCCAACAACAGCAAACATCACTCGCGATCTCCGAATTATTTTCGGCGCCGTGCTCTGGCCCGGTTCTCTTACGTCCGCCGAACGAAACGCAAAGGCTAACAGACTGCAACCATGCAAATCCGACATCTTTTGCGACTGGTGCCAGAAAAGATCCTTAGACTTCTGCCGACACATCGTGGAGGAGCGAGTAGTAGATTCCGGAATTATGCTTGTGTCAAGAGCGGAGACTACTTAAGTAGCTCTACTACGCTTGTATTGTGCCACAGAATCTACCGGGAGCGGAGAGCCTGGCCACCACAGCACGCGTCCATCGTCTGTCCCCGCTACCACACATGAATCGGAGCTCTGCCTTGGCATCAGCGAAGCGGACGAAAAAACAGGAGACAAGCGCACAGCCACGGTTTGAATGACGACGGCGACTTCTTTTCAGCACAGTCAATTGACGGAGCACTCAAACTGGGGGACTCGCACCATCAGGGAGCTCGAAGCCGTGCACAATTTGAACGTCTGTATCCCACGCGAGTAGACAGTTCCTGCTTTTACCGCAGACGATGAGTCTGCCCCGCGAAGCATAGACGGCGAACGGCGTTGGGGCCAAATATGGTGCTTGCATTATTTTTGCATCTCGGTTGCTCGTCGGATCGAGACTGATGAGACACGGAGAATGTTGGCCACCTTGAGTTACCACAGCCTGTTTCCCCGTGCAGCTTATCGCTATGGACGTGCTGAATCTTCATTCAGCGTGAAGACCCAGCGAGGGAATCCGACTGACATTTTTTTTTCAAGGAACGCGCAGGCTCGCATGGTGCCGTTGGGCACCTGGGTGTGCCACCTGCATGTAAATCAGCGTTGCTGTCGACGCAAGGTGCTTCGAGACACGGACACGACCCCATCTTTCGTTCCTCCCAAAAGTGCACCACCGTCTTCCGTAAAGGCCAACGCAGTAACATTGTACCGCATGATTGAGCGCTGCTGCCGCCACCCTCCTTGGCGCGGTCAATGCTGTTCCTCGGAAATGACGGTACCGCACCTTGGACCAGCGTCCACACCTTAACTCCCGAGCGAGGGAACGACACGGCGATTTTGTCCGGCGTACAAGCCAGACATGAATCGTCAAGAGCCTTTTCACCCGCAGCTAGTATATCCAGCCAGACCCAGCCGTCGTGCGAAGGCTGGCGGTCGGAAATTAATCTGTCGGCTGAATAGTGCGCGGGCCGCCTACTTACCTTCCGCATCCATTTGCCGAGGACCCCGTCTTCTCTGAGAGCCAAGATGCCATTCGCCCATGCGATTGCGGAGATCGGGGGGTCAGACGTCACATGGACCTGCTCAAGACGTCCGGCGTTCCAGATATCGACGGTGCGGTCGTCGCCTACGTGCAGGTCAGCACTGCGCTTCGAAACCGACTATTCGAAGCCTACAAAGCATCACTAGGACCGAGTCATCCGGGCTCGACACGATGCGGCGGATGCCCCTGCCGTGAAGAGTCGTGAGAACCTGGAAGGAAGTTGCCGGCCAGGGATGATCATATTTGGCAGCATGAACCAAGGGTAATGGCGAAGGCGACCGGATGCGCTTGCTTCCTCTGGACAACGATGGATCGGGGTCCCCATGATTCAGGTATACTACTGCTGCCGGCTCATTGGGCGGAGGATGGGAGTCTGTCGTCGAGACATCGGCACCTTTTGGCACGCACGTCAATGGAGACTTGCCTGCACGCGTCGATGACCCGCTCGGGTCCATATGAACGGACGACTCGTGGCCTGCAACAGAGAACAGAACTGGCGAGGTGAGATCTATGGGAAATGCTCTATAGGATCCAATGAGAGTCGGTTGGTGTGGATCGTCGTCATGAGGATCCTTGAGCCAAGCTTTGCGGACTGGAAGATGTTAGAGCAGGCGCGGATGGCATAGATCGACCTCACCGTTATAGCAGTCAGGAGGCGGTGATCCGTAATCGAGGGCATCGTCAAAGTTCGCCGCAGGTACCCGGGAGCTGCTCGGCTGATCCAGCGATACACTGCGTTGGGTCCGTGAAACGGCAGACTCCAGCACAAGAGGTCCACTGTGTCCGACAGGGTCCAGTCGCTTTGGTTGAAGAGCCTCATTGGCGTGACCGTCAACCGGTCCGACTGGGACCACGCGCCATGGTCGCATGCTGAGCGGATTATCAGCTGAACCGGAGCGAACCTGGGACCACGCTCGCAAGTCCGTGGACGACGTTGAAGGGCCAGAGCTCGACTCCGCAGGATCAGCATCGGCTGGTCTCCAGTACGGTTTGTTATGTGGTTCAGCCCGTTTGGTCAATGGATCAGAGCTCTTCGTTCTGGACCAAAAGCTATCAGATTCAAGGCCGGGATCCTTGTCCTCGCCACCGCGATCTCTAGCTTTTGGCCGGCCACGATGCGTATGTCTTCGTCTCTTCGCAGGCTTCGCGGGGAGATCAACAAGTGAGTGGCGGTCGGGATGCACAGCATCTATCAGGGAGCGACGGTCAGGGTGCATGAATGAGCGTGCAATTTGTGGCTCATGGTTGTTTGGAACAGAATCAGAGGACAGCGCATCGGCTGCCTCAGAAGCGGCCGCACCAGACGATGAGGATGGGACGGGGACGGAATCAGAGTTGGCATCCGTCGAATCTCGTGCACTCAGCGCACGCGGCGAGGCAACAGGGAACGGATCCTCGGTCGCCTCGGAGCATTCAACGTCTCCCACAGCGCCTGAGAAATTTGTGATGAAACCACCCGACACAAATGGATTGAACAATGGTTTCGCCGGGCGATGGCAGGAAGTCATGGACGTGTTCGAGTCTCCACTATCCATTTTCCCCGCAGGCAGCGGAGAATGTGGAGTCTGAACGACGACGATTTCCGGAAGGGCTTCAAGCTCTGAAATCACAGGCGACAGTTCCATGGGCTCTGAAGTGGACGGCGACTGCTCGATCGTCAGCGGTTCGAGTAGTGTGGGTCTCGAAACGACATTCTCGGGGTTCTAGATGAGATAACACACGTTTGCCGCAAAGTACATGACAATTCAGTCGTGCAGACTCACCTGTTTATGTTGAACTACCACTGCATCCAAATCCAGTTCATCCGTTTGCACGAGAACGGAGTTCTGGGAGATGGATGACTGTTCTGGTAGAGTCTGCAGACCAATGGATACGGCATTGGCAGCGGGAGAATCAACCTGAGTCGCAGCAGACACGTAATTATGATCTGTCTGCACGCCAACTGTGGCAAATAGTCTCGCTTAGGGAAGGAGAATGAGCAAGGTTTTTGGCAGAAACGAGATGAATTGCTAACAGAAGCACTCACTGGGCGGGCTTACTTCCTCAACTCTTTTGTACCAATGTCGACGCATCTTTGGAGGAATATGCTCCTCAGCCTCTTGCGTCAACTCGGCGATATCCTCCTGCTCCTCCTGCTCTTCCTCAACCTGGGTGGCATCTTCGGCATCAGAATCTTCTTCTTCCCCGTAGTCCACATTCGCTTCCAGATACACGACGCGGTCTCTAAAATGATCGTCTTCAGTCTCGACTGTCAACAGTAGTTCCTTTCCAGACTTGAGATTGATGGATTTAAACGCGAAGAGCTTGAAGTACACGACATCGTCGCCCCCTTCTTTGTCGCTCGATTCATCCTCGTCCCGCGCGACGCGTCGCAGAATGACGTGCGCTTTCTGGGTGGTGGGGTTGTCGCGAAACCGCAGACCACCTTTGATGTTCAGGGCAGTGTCGACCGACTCAGCCTCCGTGTCCGAAGATTCAGAATCGGGGCCCATAATTTCGAGAGAGTCGGAGAGCGGTCTGCGTGGGCCGTGTCGCTGAACCATGGGAGATGGAACGACTGAGCTGTCAGTGTTTCGATAGTGGAGTTATAGATATCACGTGGGGAGAGGCATGTCACGCGAGATCGACACTGCCACGCACTGTGCTCCTCCTTGTCATCCATGTACCGTCATCTCCTCGGTCGACGAAAACGGCTGTGTCTGTGCTTCCTGGTGCTCTCGGGGTGGTTCTCCACCGTCGCGGTTGCGATATGGCCATTCCCACCGAAGAGATTCTCCGCCAACTCTCTCGTCGACGCGGGGTCCATGGGCATCAACGTCGAAGGCCGAATCATTGCATTCGGAGACTTCAATGGCGATCAATAGTTGAGGGCTAGGGCTTGAACTTGGTCCGGGGAGACTGACTGACCCGACCTAGTCTTGACGCGCTCACGCTAGGTGCCGACCAGCAGACTTTAACGGTTTATCTATGGGACCACGGTGCGTATCCTTGGGCAGCTGCGGGGGCGATCAGTGACCAGCATGAACTAGAGGAGTACCTCTTCAAAAAGTCTTCGAGCCTACAGCATCCACGCAAGATCTACAATGTCGTTCCCGGGGACTTCACGCACTCAGGAAAGCTGGACCTTCTTGTCATGGCGCAAAGCTCAACGAGCAACCGATTGGACCTCTCAGTATACCCTGCGTTACCGGGAGCCGTTTTTGGTGCGTTTTTGCCTTATTCTCTTGATCAATGTTCGAACGATGCACTCCAGACACGAGTAACCCGCTATCTGTCCCGGCATCGAGCTCACCACAACCCATACCCATCGATGTCGACGGAGACATGAAGATTGACATGCTTGGGATGACACAGGACTCGGAAGGCTCTAGCTCCCTGCTTCAAGTATGGCGGAATGTCTGGAACGAAACAGACCCGCATTCTCATCTGTTCAATGTGTATGTGGTCTCAATGTCACAGCGCAAACATATTGAGTTCTGTATTTCCAGTGGGGAGCCTCTCTTCCATGGCGAGCAGTGCAAGATAGCCAACCCGCACAGCAATGCAGTTATAGACTTTGATGGAGATTGTCTTGCAGGTCAGTGGGACAGTCAATCTGATTTGTGAGTATTCATAATCCTGCAGACCTCTTCATATTGTGTGAGGATGGGCACGGCGGGAAAATCTATCAGATCTGGATCAATAGCAAAGGCGGTGGTTTCTTGCTTGCCTCACAAGGCGCAATGCCTGCTGGTGTGCAAACTGTGTCGTTCGCGGATGTTGGCGAGTGTCTACCACCATATCAAATGCGCAATGGCTGAACATAGATACTAGACCGTGACGGTACAATCGATATGGTCTTCACGACCTGCTCCTCGGTATCGACTTCGACTGGAATCGGCAATGATTGTGCCATCAATATCGCCTACAATTCACAACTCCCTCTTTGCACTGCTACGGCTGACTCGGGCCTCAACAAGGGCGTGCGGACGTGTCGTCCGCCAGAAGATCTATGCGTGTCAGATCCGTCTTTTAAATTTGACCTGTCGAATAGCGCTGTAGGTGGTCAGCGGTCTCTACCCCACTTTTTCACTCAAGTCTTTACAGATCTTTGTTCGCATTCCGATCACGTCTATCGTTCCTGACTCGTCTTTACTCGTTTATGACACTACACAAATCCCGGCCCTGCCACTGGCACTGAAGCTGGGAGATGCCAACCTGGATGGGTTCCCTGATATGTTACTCATCGTTGTCTCCAACCAGAATCATATTCCAAGGCTGCTGTTGTCCACTGCCTGTGCTCATGGAATCGCTGGATGCGACCAGGGCCCGAAGAAACGTGGATGGGCTGTTGCGAGCAAAGGCACCGAAGCCTTGGACAAGGTCCAAGATGCGCGGGGTGTCGCGTTTCTGGATATGGACGAAGACGGATCTTTGGACATCCTTGTTCAGCGCACAGGGTCGTTTGGCCAAGGCAACATTCTGTTTGTTCAGAATAACTACTACTATGATGCGTTTTTCTTGAAAGCGATCGGTGGGTGCTTGCTTGACTTTTCCACGCTGAGGCTCACATGCACTAGTCCTAAATGGGGCCTGCGGCAACGGCTGGTGCTACGGACCCAATGGCACGGAAAAATATCATGTGTGTTATGTTACATTCCACCCATCTGCTTTTTTCTGAATTAAGACCAGCCTTTCGGAGTCAGTTACTCCGGAGCAACCTACAAATACACTGTTTTGGACACAACCGGCAGTCGGTCAGCCGCGCAAGGTGAGGCTTTGTCCAACGGTCTGACATCTGCTTGGTCTAATCCCGTCATAGTGGGTCAACTTCCGCAAACATCATATCAGTCGCTGCAGACTCCGTACTCGTTCATCGGACTGGGTCGAACCAACAATTACATCGAGAACCTCTTCGTCGGATCAACCATGCACACGGAGCAACATTACATCAACATTGAAGGTGTCATACCCAACTCCAAGGTCGTCATCCTTCCACCATCAAAGGAAGGCGACCCTTGGAAACGCGAGCTATTTTTGCGACCGGGAGATTGGATCCCATGGGTGACTCTTACTGTGGTAATCGGCATGATACTGCTCGCGGTCATTGTGCTGGTGCTGCATCTGAACGAGAAGGTGCGCTAAGGGTGGCTCTGGTGTCGGCAGTGCATTAACGATTTACAGAGGGAAGACGAGTTGGAGAAGCGAAGAGCATCACATCACATCAACTTTGATGCATTGTAATGGACTCATCCTAGTTCTCATCTGTATATTACCATGGAACTCTTTATTATATCGACTGGTATAGAGCATGTATGTGCATGAAATTCGCTTTGATTCTGGGCCGTCGACCAATCAATTTCCCTCTACTGCGTAAAGGTCGCGACTCTGGTACTCGCGGCTCTAAAAGAAAGCATGGCATTGGCAATCGGTCCAGTATCCTTGACTACTTCTTCGGGGGTCTCTTCTTCACCTCGTCTTCCTTGCAGGCATGCAACATAATCTTATTGGGATGTCCTGTTGTCATTCCACCGTGCCCCTTATGCCAGTCATACGAGATGCTGTATGCGAAGATCGACCCGTCTCGACTGAACGCAGTGCTGGAAATCGGGCCAGGCTGCGTATCAAATGCTTGGAGGAAGGTAAGCGTAAGATCCAGAAAAGAGGCAGGGACTGACTCTTGAGCCGGATACGCGCATCCTTATCCCAGAAACCGATAGATCCGTCTCCCCCTGTCGAAGTCGGTCAATGCCACGACGAAAACACACGCATACGCATACATACCACAGGTACTGAATGTCCCTTGCACAGGGTGGAATGATATATCGTTCACCGCGAACACGTTGATGTTGTTCTTGTTGTTGGGTGTCACTTCGACGCGGTGGCAACGGAATGAGAAATTGTTTCTGACAGAGAGGTGAGTCTGAGGAGCAGGTATCAAGACGCCGGGACGGACGAGGAGTCTTTGTCTTCAATATACCTGATGACAGCGTGTCAGCATTAGCCGGACGCGAAATCGTTGCACTTACTGGAAGGCGGCACGCCCCTCGATGCTTCCAACGGCAAAGCCCTGCTTTTCGGAAGCTTTGAAGCAACTGACGACGCGTGTTTGCATCTTGAGAGGTGATTGTAGCGTCTAAATAACGGACGATCGGCATTCTGACCGGATGTACCCTGAGTCACTGACCTTAAAGACGGTGGTAGGATTGGTGAGATTGAATATCTGGATGTGCCGCTCAGCAGTCCCTACGACCATGAGCGGATACTGAACATCCATACTGTAGCAGCGCTCCGCGAGCTGGACCGTTGCAACAGGATTTGACGAGCGCAGGTCCCAGTACTTCGACAGCAAAGTCAATGGAGATCCTCGGTCAACATGCAACTAACATACTTTCACGGTCTTGTCCCAGCTTCCCGTAGCAACTATCCCACCTCCAGGAGACTCGATCCATCGCACAGCCTTGACTGGCGCGTCGTGTTGGGCTATTTGGGATGACTGGCCAGTGGCGACATCGAACATCCGACCTGCGTTATCAGTCCCACCGGAGAGGATCTTTGAACCGTCCTGAAACATTCAGATTCGTACGAATGGCCCAAGAACCTGACAATGGACGCACTTGTGACCAGCAAACGCTCAGGACGGGACCCTGATGTTGATACATGGCTTTGCCTTGACTAGCGCCGCGCTGACCAATTTCATAGACGCGAACCTGCAATTGTCTTGTGAGAACCGGCATGAATTCCGAAGAAAAGACGAGACGCACACTGTTGTCCCAACTGCCCACTGCTAGGAAGTCTGCCTGGTTCGAGAACGCCATGCTCGATACGGAGTCGGGAGGCGGGTCGGTAAGTTCGATATCTTTGTCGGCCACATTGGAATTTCCGGCTCCATTCGTGTTCGATGAGAAGAAAGACATGGCTGAGGTGTGGGACGCGTCTCAACGCGTCTGTATACACACTACCAGTAGTCGCAAGTAATAAGAGCGGTGATCGGAGCCGAAGTCCAATCATTATGCACAGCCTTTGATCGTTGATGAAGTCTATCTGATTTGGGCACGAGGTGGTCATTACGATGAAATGACTTGAGGGGACTGGCTAAGAATGTTATTATAAGAGTTTTTGGAAGGAGTCAAGAAGCATATCTACAACTAGACTTGCATGCAGAAAGGGAGTGGCGAGCAACCCTGCGGGACATTGAAGAACTGTACATTTTCACGTGACCGCTTCCGGCACCGAATCCTGGTAGGATAAAATCATCTTTTAGCCCCCCAATCTCTTGTCCCAACAACCTCAAGACTTTCCTCAAGACAAAAATGGTAAGCAACACGTTGCCGCTGAGGTCGCTCTCGGTGCTCTATGCATTGGTCTTTGCTGGTAAGAACACTGTCTGTGAAATAGTACGTTTCCTGTCGTCTAGATGTACCCAGCTGACCTTTCTTCAGATCGCAACAGCAAAGACTACATGAGGACTGAGCGCAGACATGCATTTTGCACAAGTCATTCGTCGCGATGACGTCCCATGGATGCTGGGCCTGTGCTCGCAAGGGCGCAGGCGCTAGAGCTCCGGGTCGGCCTCGGCTCGTCTTTTGACTTGTAGCCGTTGCTGATTCGTCTCCATGACCAGCCCAAGGCCAAATCCGGAACTGGCAAGAAGCCCGCCGCGGCACCCTTCGGTGCGAGCAAGCCCCAGAAGGTCAAGAAGAACCCTCTTTTCGAGAGCAAACCCCGGAACTTTGGTATCGGTGCGTGCCATTTTTTTCATCGATTCTCAATGTTAACATCTCGACAGGCCAAGACATCCAGCCCACCACTGACTTGACTCGCTTCGTCAAGTGGCCTGAATACATCCGTCTGCAGCGCCAGAAGGTCATCCTCCACCAGCGCCTCAAGGTTCCCCCTGCCATCGCCCAGTTCTCGCACACCTTGGACAAGAACACCGCCACTCAGCTCTTCAAGGTCCTCAACAAGTACCGTCCTGAGACCAAGGCTGAGAAGAAGACTCGTTTGGAGACCACTGCCAAGGCTGTCGCTGAGGGCAAAGAGACGAAGGTATGTCGACATTAGGCGTGGTGGGAGTGCTGCTCGACTGACGATTGTTGCAGGAGACCAAGAAGCCTCTCTTCGTCAAGAGCGGTTTGAACCACGTTGTTGCCCTCGTCGAGGCCAAGAAGGCTGCGCTCGTCGTCATTGCCCACGATGTCGACCCCATTGAGCTCGTTGTCTTCCTTCCCGCTCTCTGCCGCAAGATGGGTGTTCCCTACGTCATTGTCAAGGGCAAGGCCCGTCTCGGTACGGTCGTGCACAAGAAGACTTCCGCTGTCCTGGCCATTCAGGAGGTCAAGAGCGAGGACGAGCGTGACCTGGCTGCAGTTGTCGGTGCCGCCAAGGCTAACTTGTAAGATGTCGTCGCTACTCTCCGCATCATTTGCTTATCGTATCTTGCAGTTCGGACAAATACGAAGAGCACCGTCGTGTGTGGGGTGGAGGTCTCCGTGGCAACAAGTCGACCCAGAAGCTGCGCAAGCGTGCTAAGGCCGCCGGCCAGAGCATCACTGCTGCAGCTCTCACCAAGCTCTAAGCGCTCCCTTGTATCATGGGGATGTTTTGGTTTGTTGTTGGGGACAAAATGGGCGCTGCTTGTCGCCACCGCTTATTCACGCCCTGTGCGTAGTCATGCTCAGATACTTGTACGTATCTCTATGTCCAATATATGCTACGCCTATGCTATCTTTGGATTCCTGTCCGTTGTAATTGTAATAGCTCAGCCAATTGTAGCATCCAGATCATTAGCATTGTCGAGTTCCATGAGTTTCATCTCGTATACACATCGCTATGATTGATCATGTCGGGATACTCCAACTGTGGTGTGTACAAACGTGCGATCGCTTAGTTACAGTACAAGATACAACTTGACATCCATCGTCACAAAACCACTTTTGAAACGTATTGTTCGAGCCGATACTATTGATGCCAACGCTACGGGAAAAGCACAACGCAACGGGAAATTGCTGATCTCTCTTTCCCTCCTTTGAAGTTGCCTCCGGTATCATCCGGAACTTGTAGCTACCATTCGAAAACCCTTATATACAAGATTTCTCACTTATACATGAACGGGAACCACATAAAAAACAAGAGCCGGTCCATCATTTCGAGGCCACAAACCCAAGATGACTTTACAGCGCAAGTTCCTCCTCGTGCGAGGCTCTGGTACTTTGTAGGAGACATAAATTATGTATTCTAAAAGTGCTCCAACTTCTTCCTTGTCTTGCCGGTGCGTGGTTGTGGAGAACTGAAGAAAAAGTGGATGAGCGTGACATTTCAAAGTCCGATCGGTAGGCAATGTTGATGGCTTGAGAACACGTGCTGACGCGTCGAGTTTGTACCCCCTTATCTTGGCACCGGATGACGGTTTTCACAGTCGAGTTTTAATTTCAAGCTCCCGGAATCCAGAATCCTTTTGATGATACTAATCCGTACTTCATGACACCTAATACTCACTAATACCTGCTGCTTACATTTGATGCAACATACTTATTCTCATCCTAAATACCTGCTAAACTTGTTATATTACATACTATAGAAATGTCCTTCATAGTTCATTGTTCATGATTGTGCGTGCAGCGCAAGAGTCTGCTTGATCGTAAGCTGCGGGAGGTGTCGATCAGGCGGAGTGTCAAAGGATTTGTGACACTCAGTGACACTTTGCACCCTCCCTCCAGTTCTCCGCAACCACGCACCGGCAAGACAAGGAAGAAGTTGGAGCACTTTTAGAATACATAAGTTATGTCTCCTACAAAGTACCAGAGCCTCGCACGAGGAGGAACTTGCGCTGTAAAGTCATCTTGGGTTTGTGGCCTCGAAATGATGGACCGGCTCTTGTTTTTTATGTGGTTCCCGTTCATGTATAAGTGAGAAATCTTGTATATAAGGGTTTTCGAATGGTAGCTACAAGTTCCGGATGATACCGGAGGCAACTTCAAAGGAGGGAAAGAGAGATCAGCAATTTCCCGTTGCGTTGTGCTTTTCCCGTAGCATTGGCATCAATAGTACCCCCTTGGAGCCTCGACTCCACGGCTCCGTGATGGAAGCACTACCCGCACAAAGGCCGCGGCTACGGATGCTGCGGACGAGTTGTGGACAGCGATGGAATGTATACACTGCCGATCGATGATCTCCACATAAGAGGCTCAAACCGCGTCACAGTGAATCATCAGTATCAAACCTCGAGTCCAAGTCTAATATGGCACCCTCTTCCAGCACTGCGGGGCCCATCTCTCTGCACTTCCAGGACGTTACCCGCATCGCAGGCGAAGACATCCAAGGCCATGTCGAACTGAACTTCCAGGAAGCGCAAACCGACCATCTCGAGTCGGTTTATATCAAGTTCGAAGGCGTTATCTTCACGTTCGTACTGCCTCGATCCGGATCTCTCGTCCCTGCTTCATCTTGAGATGTCCAGAGAAATCATGACTTCCACTGGGACCAGCGTTATTGTCGAGCGGGAGAAAGTCCCTGTGGGTGCTTTCTTTGAGTGGCCCAGTTGAAGTTCATCAAGCATCTATGTAGCTGTTCGGCATGGAGACCCCGCTCTGGAGCACCGGGACCTTTCCGTCGCCTGGAACACACACCCTTACCCTGCCCTTCCAATTCACGTTCCCGGAATCTCTCCCGCCGTCCTTCCACGGTGTGATCAAGTCCAATTCCATTAAGGGGAGTGTCCGGTATACCCTGGAGGTGGTCGGGCGTCGCGATGGGCTTCTGCGCAAAGCGCGGCGCATTCGACGAGCGATCGCTCTCCTACCATCGGCGGCACCGGAACAGTTGCGGGTCCGGGAGGTTTTGTTGCAAGGGTGGGGCGGAGCGGTGCAAGATTTTGTAGCTGAGGAAAAGTTGCGCCAGGGTCTTTGGGGCGACTATTCGCATGCGCGCATCAAGGTGTGCATTCAGGCGACTCTCATGTTTTCGTTTAACCCCGGTGGATGCACCAGCTCTCTCTGCCACAACTGGACACGTTCCCCGTCGCGACCACGATCCCCATCTCGTTCACTGTGGAGACTGACACGAAGCCGATCAGTTCCTCGGAGGCTCCAGTTGACAAGCACGGCAAACCGCTGTTTCCCGCTCTTCCAGCGTCTTCCGCGGATATCAAACTTGGCTTGGAGCTGAAGATGGAGGTTCGATGCCAGAAGAGCCACCGTAAAGGCAGAAAGGAGGTGGACCTCGCGGGATCACTAGGCGATCCAAATGCCGTCAAGACAGTCAGACACACTTTCGCCGACCCACAGTGGATTCCGAACGGGGATTCCAAAACGGAAGGCTTCTGGCGACGGACCGTCACATTTGACTGTGGCCTGACTCTTCCCTATGCACCGACTACGACGCTGAGGACGCTGTATTGGAAGGTTTGCCGTCTGCATGCACCGGCCTCCAGCTTCTGACTGGGTATCGTGCAGTACCAACTGCTTCTAAAGGTCCCGTTCCCTGGTGTCGGGAACAATCTCAAGCTGGAAGTCCCGATCGTTCTTGGACCATGTTCTGCGTGCCCGCCACCTGCCGTCGGCGCTGCAGGATCTTCGCAAGCTACTTATGCCGACGTTCTTCCCGCGGGACCACCGCCCATGATGGATCTTCCGCCGTGCGTTTTTTTAGGGCAGTCCCGTCAACTCAGCTGACATCCGGGTAGCACTTATTGGACTGGAGAAGGCGAAAGCTGGGATGATGACGAGAAAGATTAAGAAATCAGGGTACGGCTATTACAGAATCTTATTTATACATACGTTGTACAGCACATCAATAGGGGGGTGCCCCGATGAAGCGCGCGAGGGCCCTTCTCGCCAAATCGACATCGTGTTCCATTGGAGGTGTCACTGGCTGCGCGTAAGCTTGGAGAAGAGTGATTACGGACCATCCTATGACGCGTCAGTACGCGATTCAGTCACCGTCCGCGCAGGTAGACGCCACCCACTGTCCAGACGGCGTAGTTCTAGCAGTGTTTCGGGGAAGGAGATGGGGACACGATTGAGAGCAGTAAGCAGCGGGCGTAACGAATGCTTGTTTTCGTGAGCGCGGCTGTTGTACAGACGACATTTCGACCATTGGTCACTGCATGACATGAATATCCGAGCGCCAAAATACAGGATCTGCCCACGCACTGGATGGAAAGCGTGAAGAACCATTCCGCAAGTTGCTTCTCGAGTTCTCGGTAGTACTGCTCTTCGACCGTCAGTTCAGCTCCTATCAGACTTGAAGGAGACTGATGGAAAACAAGAGGCGACGCGTGAGGCATAGCTCATGGCATGGAGGTTTGCTATGAGCCGACCAACCGCCTGGTTTATGTGAATATTCGATTAGACAGGGTTCAGCGGGTCCCTGAGTGCCAAAAGGATGGGATCATCGCCAACCAAGACCCGCATGCTCGTTCCTGCAGTCAAGGCTGAAAGTATATCCTCACCGCGCGTTCACTTTCTCAGGGGCGGTGATAGCTCAGTAGTCAGCTCCGTAGAGTACGACGCTAACGGAACTTACGACGTTCTAGACACAATCCGAGTCCAAGAGACCATCGATGCGTGACATCTCCGAGGCATCGCTTTCGTGTCATCACAAGAGAAAAAGCGACGAGACGCCGTGAGATGATCGTGGAAATGACCTGAAAGCGAAGTTTCTGCGGCAAAGAGAGCGGAAGCTAGCGATAGTACGTGGTTCCTGATCGCTGATTTTGCAGGTTGAGCTTGTGGCAAACACATAGGCTGGCAAGGGAGGCCACGAGAAAGCTTGATCTGAGACTGATTGTGGGACATCGTCTTGGTTGCGAGAATTGGCTGACACTTGAACTGGTCTGGACACAAAGGGCCGAGAAGCAAGGGGCTCGACCGCAGATCTAGACCCCGGAAAGAGAAGGAATTGATGCCGATTTGTGCCGACGGTCCAGGCCCACCCCACCTCTTTGACCTAGCGCCCTTTCGGAGGGCGGCATCGGGTCGTGCGACGACCAGGGCCATTCGGAATAACGCGCATGTGTTTCCCGTTCCGACTGACGAGAAGGACACGAAAAACGGCTGCAAACGACGGATTGCGAAGCGCGGTTTGCGACATCACGCAACGGGGTGGGATTTTGGCCGTTCAGTTATAAGAAGAGAAGGGCTGGGCCTTCGAGCTATACCTACCCCAACTTTCACCCGAAGTGCCTGGATGGACGACCGATATCGCGTACAGCAGCAGCAGCCTTTGCTGCCGCTTCTCTCCATCGCCGCCTCTCGCGCCCAATATTCTCCAACACAGCAGTCGCAGTGGGGCTCCAGTTCTTCCAGTGTAAGCGCGACTCCTTGCTTCATCCTGTGCGGCGCGACGCGTCGAGACCGCTTCCGCGTCCCGATTGGGATGCGACTACTAGCCGTTGTTTGCCTCGGCGTGGCGCCGCTCCCGTTACATGCTTGCTCTTCACGTTCACGTTCGTTGATGGTTTCTGGCTTTTCTAGCAACAGCAACTCCCCAGTCTCGGTGTCAAGCGCGAAGGCGGCTCTCCCGACCACATGAATGATCGCAAAGACTCACATGAGGACACCATGTCCTCAACGAGTGACTTCGTCAAGAAGTTGTACAAGTCAGTGATCTCTGTACTTGATTTCCTCAATTCTGATTCATGTGCCCAGGATGCTCGAGGACCCAGCGTTCCAGAATGTTGTTTGCTGGGGCCCGCAGGGCGATTGTTTCGTGGTCAAGGTATGCGTGTTTCATGCCAAGTATCACGGCACGGTGTCTCAGCGCTCTCCCAGGACATGAACGAATTCACGAAGTCAATACTACCAAGGATGTTCAAGCACTCCAACTTCGCAAGTTTCGTGCGACAATTGAACAAATACGACTTCCACAAAGTGAAGAACACCGACGACAACCAGTATGGGGAGCACGTATGTGTTTTACGTTCCATCCGTCGAGATATTCATTTAATTTCGCTGCAGAGCTGGACTTTCAAGCACCCAGATTTCCACGCCGACCGTCGAGATGCGCTCGAAAACATCAAGCGCAAAGTGCCCGCACAACGCAAATCGACCGCACCGTCAGCTCCTCAATCCATGCCAATACCGCAAGCCTCCTCCTCATATAACCCCTATCCACAACCCAGTCTCTCCTCCTCCACACCATATTCTGTCGATGCTACCGGCAAGATCGACACGTTACATGCGCAGCTCGCTTCCCTGCAGTCACAGCTCACGTCGCTATCCGCAGCGCACGAGGACGTGGTGTCACATGTACGAAATCTGGAGCGCAGCTACCAGGAAGTGCTTGTCGAGATGGTCGGGTTCCAGCGAGGGATGGCACAGCAGGACGGACTCATGCAGAACCTGATACAGTACTTTTTACGAGAAAACAACGGGAACGGCACCGGTGAGTGACAGGTTCGCCCTTGGATCCTCATCTGGGCCCGACCCCGCGTTTCTAATTGCTGTTTTCTTGTTTGTTAATGTAAAGGCAAAATGAAACAAGTGCAAGGAACCGATGGCGACGTCAACAATCCATTTCTGTTCCTGCAGAATCAAGAGACTCAGCGACTACTGGACAAGACGTATCCCGAAACAGATGTGGCGCGTGCCAGTCTGCTACAAATGAGCGAGATCTCGAGGAGGGCCGAACAAGTCGGAATGTCATTTGGTGGGCAGGCTGCCAATACCGCTGCTTCTGGCAGTCGGCTTAACAGTAACGGCGTTGGTGCAAGCGGCATTGGAGCAGCTATGGGGCGAATGGACATGCTGGCTCGAATCGAAGAACTTCAGGCACAACGTTCAAGAAGAATGGATGGCAGCAGCACGCTGACCGGCCAGCAGCGCACAGAGACCCCCGAAACCGAATCCGACGACATGGACGAAATTGTTCAGCCGACCCCGTCGAATCCGCCGGACATCGAGTCTGCGGGGATCATGGCAACCGGGAGCTCTAATAGTCCAGCAGCGGACGCATGGAGTCTCGCCCCCAGTGATTCGCATGCTGGTCTGGAGGTGTACACCATCGGACATCTCATGCCTCGAGATAGTGCTGAAGGAATCGGGAGCTCTGGACTACTTGATGCTCAGGGCAACTGGACATTTCCCGACCCAACACTGCCGTCGACGCCTGAGATGGTCGGCAAGCAAGAGTCATCTGGATACGGCAGCCCATCGAACAAGAGCGGCAAGCAGACGCTGCGGGTCCGGAGATCGACGTTCGTCCCTGGCTGGGCAGTGCCGCCTCGAGTGCTCCTCGTCGACGACGATGCCGTAAGCAGGAAATTGAGCAGCAAGTTCCTGCAGGTCTTCGGGTGCGCGATCGACGTTGCGGTGGACGGCGTGAGCGCGGTCAATAAAATGAACTTTGAGAAGTATGACCTGGTATTGATGGTGGGCGATTTTCGTCTGAGGTTCTTCGAGCTTGGCTAACGGACTTGCAGGACATTGTCATGCCCAAGCTGGATGGCGTCTCTGCGACGTCGATGATCCGGAAATTCGACCCGCAGACGCCCATCATCTCAATGACCAGCAACTCGCGGCCAAATGAAATCATGACGTACTACTCGTCCGGCATGAATGATATCCTACCGAAGCCTTTCTCGAAAGAAGGGCTCTTGGATATGCTTGAGGTACGCGCCTTCCTCTGCCAGCCCACCATCCCCGGCTGACCCGTGGCACCCAGAAACACCTGCAGCACTTGACCGTGATCAAAGAGAGGATGAACACGCGTGTGCCGAAATCGCTGGGCATCCCACCACTGAACGATGCGTCGTTCGAGAGTGCTCTGCAAGCAGGCTCGGGCTCCTCTCCCGACAGTCTGCTCAACTACGGCCTGGGGCTGAACAGCCCTTCCCCCGGCGACGGGCGCATCAACGTGCTTGCTGGCATGGGCCTGTCGGATGAGCAGTACAACATCATGCTCGCCGGGATCGTCAGCGGCGACGGTCTGGGCTTCGGTGCGTCGGGGTCCGAGAAGCGGCCGTTGGAGCTTGGGGAGGGGGATGCTGATGGACGAGACGGCAAGCGCAGTCGCTTCGAAGTGGTTGACTGATTTATTCTGTGTCTGGCTTCTGTTTATCCCTTGTTAATCGCCGCTGCTCTATGTGTCTGTATAATATGCCTTATGCGGTATTTGGCCAAACTCAAAGCACTGTAACTTACGTACTGCATACCTAGAATCTTCCCGTACAATTATTCTTTCGAACAAGCACTCTTTCCATCTGGAACGCATCTCTCGAGTGTGATTTATACAAATCTTGCGATACTAAGTACTATCCATTAGCATATAAGGCCCTTGGGGCATGGGTCCGTAATGAATTCCGGTGCTCGTTCCTAAACAACGGTCAGCACACATGCGAGATCCCAATAGAGGAATACCGGCCTTGACACGCTCAGGCTGAGCGCAGACGACATGTGCTGGGCATCCGTCTTGGATTTGACGCACCTGGAACATCTGAGTCAGCAACTTCGTTTGATGCGGGGGAGGCAATGCGCTGCGCTTACCGAGACATCGACGAGGGGTGTCGCGAGCGCAACGCCGAAGGACGTCAAGGCGATGAGGAGAAGGGACAACTTGAACTGCATGATAGGCTGCTTCGGATGGAGACCCGGACACACATGCTTTATGAAGGCACGGTGGCTTTCCCCTTGACCATATCCGTGTGATAGCGATTGGCACTCCGGTATTATCACTCGAATCGAGTTGATCTAATCTAATCTTTACCACAGCTAATCTGACAATTGAGACGCGGCCGACAAGCGATAGGCGATTGAGACGCATTTGAAAAATATAAAAACACCCAGCGATTGAATTTCATCGTCAAAGACCAAGGCAGGGCCTTGCAGATGATTGCTGGACTCCTGACTTACCTCCTGGCCGCCGGACTTGCCGCCCCAGGCGACCCGCTTTAGCTTAGATGAGCATTCAGCGAAATTATGCCACACAATATCAATACACGAACTTCCAATTTCGTACAGTTTGAGTCTCAATTGCTTACCTCGTTCGCGAAACTATCATCCCCGATGTATTGCCACATTCCTTATCTAATCTATATGATCTCTGCGCCCGATTCAGGTGACAAGTGCCTCACGGCTGGAAACAATCAATCATTCACAACTCTGTCGAACCATCAGGCCGGGCATGGCTCTGACAAAGTCTGTGAGAGACACGTTACTACGATTCAGCTGGCTCCGATAAAAGACGGAAAGCGGCTGGAGTTCTCCCTGGATCGGCAAACTAACTCATCATGCCTTTCAAAGTAACTGCCTTCGTCCTCACTCTGGCCTCGTTCGGGCTCGTTAGTGCTGTGCCGACCCAGATAAGTGTCGAGATTGCGGTGCGTTTCCGTTCTTACACAGCTCTGTTGCTGCAGAACGTGTATCGACAACAACTCGCACAGGCGCGCCAGATCCACGACCAGTGCCCGCAACACGTAATCTGTCATAGCGACTAGTCGGGGAAACCATTGCGGTGGAGATCATGAGTAGGCGTAGTGGATAGGATAGCACTCGACGCAAATGGTTCTCGGGCTCGATCATACTTGTTTCGTGCACATGTCTCTGCTTGAGAACGTGACCTTGATTAGAGCGACTGGAATCTCAGCCAAGAGACAGCCAGGTGGGACACAAGTCAGTGGTCCTCGATAAGGAAGGGGGGTAAGAATCAGGACAGCCTAGCCGGTGCCTGGCTCGGTGCACTATGATAAAAGGGTCACTCGCCACAGATCAGCTCAATACGCACCCTATCCATTCCCATCCATGCAGTTCCACCTCACAAGCCTCGTCTTTGTCGCACTTGCTTCGATTGGTCTGGTCGCTGCAGCACCGACTGCTGCCGAGGTAAGCTTGCATTGAAGGATGATGCAAGACGGGCCATCCTCACCCTCTCGATCAGGCTCGAATCGTTGACCCCTGCCCGCCTCACCTCATCTGTGTTAACCCGAGTTGAGCGGCACCAGAAGACCAGAAGTTGAGGGAGTCGCGAGTTGTCACGAGTCGAGTGTGAACAGTGGACCAGGCAGTCGGAATGTGGTCAGGGACTTGGGGCAGAAATGGCAGCGGAGTATCAGAGAAGTTGCATGCATTGTATCAATCGAATGCTTCCAAAGAGCTATGTGGCCCTGTTCAGATCGCTTGGAATGGTGCTAGTTGCTGGAGCCTTGCGCACCCTGTGGACAACGTCACGAAATAATGCTGGCGTCCACACCAAAGAATGCGCTCGAAAGCGCCATAATCTGCGCCACGATGACTCTGATATGACCTGATGAGACATTTTGGGTCCAATTACCGGACTTGCGGTGCCCTGGTGCGATTCTCGGGCTGAGAGTAAGCGGAAGACCCCTGACATCTCCCACGAATACATCTAGTCTTTCCCGTTTCGGCTCTGACTTTCTACATGGTGACATCATGATACCCCGGTAAGAGATTACGGGTGACCCGTAGTCCGTGACATCAGCCCGGATCAAAATCCGCGGAAGCTCAGCCGCGGGTGACCCGGGTGTGCCGTGGCAGTCCTTACGTCATATTTTGGCCGACTTCTTCGGCACGCTGCACAGATAAATATTCGTGAGCAGTCCACAGTCTCTATCTACAATCAAGTCAAGCCAACATGCCCACTCTCTCCACAGGCAAAGTTCTCGTCTCCGGCGCCAACGGATTCATCGCCGTCGTGCGTCCGATCTATTCTCTCGCGCACATTTGGAGGCTCACGCGACGCGTATCGCGACCTAGTGGGTTGTCCGCACATTTTTAGAAGAAGGATACGCCGTGCGCGGCACCGTGCGGTCTGAAGACAAGGGGAAACATCTCATCGAGACCTTCAAGTCGTACGGCGACAAGTTCGAGGTCGTCGTGGTGCCGGACATTACCGCGGTGCGTCGGCGAACTCCTGCTCACTGGACATCCGGAATCTCATCTCGCCTGCCCGTGGGCGTATAGGATGGCGCATTCGATGAGGCTGTCAAGGGAGTTCAAGCGATCGCGCACACTGCCTCCCCGTTCCATTTCCAGGCGGAGGATCCAGCCGGTACGCACTCATTCGAAGGTGTATGCAGCGACTCACGGGCCCTCGCAGTTCTGATCGACCCTGCGGTGAAGGGTACTGTGGGGATGCTCAAGAGTGTGCTGAAGAATGGGTCGGTCACCTTCGTTCGACCGATCACGTCGAGTAGCGCGCTGACGGGTTGCATCTAGGAAGGACGTCAAGCGCATCGTCGTGACATCCTCCGCCGCAGCTATTGTCAGCGTGTATCCTGAACCGACGCATTTCAGCGAGGAGAACTGGAATGACCAATCCGTTGAGGAAGTGGAGAAGCTCGGTCGGAAGGCATCCGTGATCTCGAAGTACCGGGCCAGTAAAACGCTGGCTGAGCGCGGTCGGTTCCAATCGCCATTTTCCCGCATATATTCTCATTCTCCACGAAGGCGCTTGGAACTTCGTCAAAGAACATGCGAGTGAGATTGGGTGGGACCTTACCGTGCTCAACCCTCCCCTCGTTCTGGGGGTGATTCGCTTCGTCCGATCCGCGTAGAACCTATTTTGATCATGTTCCAGCCCGAGATCCACGCCGTCTCCACCCCTGCCGAGCTCAACACCTCTTCGCGCATGATGTATCAGGGTCTGACCCAGGCAGGGGCGACCGTCGGCGGAGGGAGCTGGGTCGACGTTCGCGACCTGGCTTTGGCCCATGTGCGTGCTATTCAGAAGGAGGAGGCTGGCGGGGAGCGCATCATTGTCTGCGAGGGAACCTACACATGGCAAGACATGAGTGAGTCAGGGCACACTGCTCGATCTGGCGATTGACTGACGCATACATTGTGCCCAGTCGACGCGCTGCCCCCGGCTGCTGTCGCGTCCGGGAAGTATCAGAAGGGAACACCTGGATCTGGCAAGGACTTCAAGCAGATGACCACGTACGATAACTCGAAAGGTTTGCGCATCCTTGGGATCAAGTACCGCACGGTGAAAGACGTGACCGCGGACACGGTTGCGCAGTGGGAAGGCAGAGGCTGGTGAAGATGTCGCCTTGTAGATGTCGCCGAGTCGAAGTAACATGCAAGATTACAGAAACGCTAGATAAGATAATGCAATATGACATCTTATCTTTCCGGAAGTTGTTATCGGTATGCAAGTTACTGACATCATCGGAAAGTCCTGTTCGGACCCTGTCGGACGCTAGATATATATTCAGGACAGATCAGCGCACTATCATGAGAACTCTAAATTGAACTCCACACTTCTTCACGACTGTGGCGTACCCTGAGGAGACTATTTCCGTGCAATACTGGTCACAGGGACCGTTTCCTGCCAGAACCTATTCAATCCTTCCGATCGAGCGCAATACAGATCTGGATAGCTGTGAATGCCCGGGACAACCCGTTCCCAGTGTATGCACCTGGTGCGATGCCCGACATACCCCGTTCCCAGTACGTACCCTCGTACGATGCAGTCGGACAGACACATGGTCACTGCAAACCTAAGAATAGACAAATGATGAGGAAAGCCGGAGGGAGAGACGTGGAAACCGTTGTATGCTGGGAGCAGACCAAGTGTGCTTCAGAGGCTGGCTCATTCCCCAGCCAAAGCTGAACCTTCTTTGGCCGCTTTAGGAAGGTTGTCGGATATAGACTGTCCTCCGCGCGCCCATCAAGTTTCCATCGAAAGTTCACAGCCCGCGAAGCGCTGCGTTAGTGCGGATTATAAACCGATAACGCATCATCTCTGTTCACCCCAACATAGAGACTGGGGCTATCGGCCCGGAGAACAACAATAGAGTGGGGACTCGGCAAAGCCCTGCTTCGTATATCCTGGGGACATTTGACGAACATTCGATGATGGGGCGATGGGACATCTGTGCGTGCACCTGCGGTTGACTTGCTGAATCATCCCTGCGAGTGCGGGGGGACCCCCAGAGCCCAGGCCTCCCGAAGCTCCTCGAGACTTGGCATAACGTGATCGATTATCGCGGATCTATCACATAATGAAAGAGGATCATCCCCTGAGAGAGATTGGTGGCGAAAAGAGTGGAGTTTTGCGCAAAAATCAGGGTGGATAGTGGCATCCCAAGATCGCCGGAGCAGCAACGCGCGTGATGTATGTGATGTATCGAATCGAAGCGAAGGGCTCCCGCGGGCCTTTGGCTGCAGCTCGATACTCAAGGTCTGTCTGAACATGACTTGTAAGAAATAGCCCACGTTTTGATTCCTCAGAAGTCGAACCATCGGGGGCACAGGTCCCGAGGCTCAAATCCGCCGAGCACGGTTATTAGTTATGTGTCCTGACTGATCGGACCGTGCTTGTCGATGCGTTTGGATCACAGATGCTCTCTCTGTTTACCGACAGCTAAAGAGGCAGCATGGGCCATACCTGTGACGGGCTGTATCACTCGCGAAGCAACCGTTGCTTCGCTCGGAGACTATCAATTCACCGGCCAGTAAAAGACATATACAGAAAGTAGGATACATTAGTACAAGAATGTGTCTTGTGAATACAATGTCGATAAGATTACTCGGATAAGTAGTACATACAGCGTTCAAGCGAGAGAGAGACTCATAGATCGAGAACACTCCTTGCCTGCGCTGCTTCCTGCTCAATCTTCATCGCGTGGTCGCCTTGGGGAAGCAAAATGAGGTCGTTGCGGCAATCACGAAATTGCGAAACATACCTGCCAGGGGGAAGAACGCGCTCAGGGTCTTCATGGCATTCAGGATCGCTTCCAGATCCTGCTCGATAACCGAGACAGTGTACATCGTCGTGGCACCGAATTCCTGCCCAGATATCGCGAGTAGCCGAACATAAGTTCGAGCGACGGTGGACCAGCAAGCCTAGTCGATGATCAATATCTAGCCAGCCATGTGACCCAAGAACTCGCACTCACACTCAGTGTAGGGTCCAGGAACTGGTAGTCACCGTCGGTCAGTTGCCGAATCAGCCCGAGCACAGAGCTGGCGGCCTGGAAGGCTTGCCGCCCGAGCGTGTGTTTGTGCAGGTGGATTCTCGAAACATGGACCATCGTGTGGATCGCAAACAAGTCCACGTCGATCAGCGGCGACTGCGTTCTCCACGATTCATAGCCCACGAAGGGGGGCAGGTGCAGGCAGAATCGGTCTAGGGCCATCTCCGCCGCCTGATAATCAAGCCAATATGCGTCCGTCTTCTTCACTGTGTTCGACAATCGGAACGTCCGCTCGTACAGCGCTGCAGCCTTGACTCGGAGGGCAGGGATGTGCGCCAGATCTGCTTCGAGGGCTCCCAGGTCGAACAACGAGCCGATCGTGTTTTGCGAAGCATCCAGCATCGATCCGTCGAGCGGCGAACCAGGCCAGGGCGTGTTGATCTGCAATTGAGGGCTATCTCCATCGGGTAGTGCTACCGGAAGGCCGCTCGCGACACTCCAGCACCGATCAACCATGAACACCTGCCAGAACGCGGCGGCGCGATCTTCAAGTTCGGCCTGATCTCGCGCCGCGGGGATGGGAATAGGCGTGGTGCCGGTGTTGTAGAGCGGTGCTGCGTCGATTGTTGGGCCCCCGAGTCCACGGATCTGATGCATGCTCACGCCGACAGCCAGACGGGCGGCGGAGAACGAATGGCAATAGCCCTCCAGCGCACGGCAGTTGATGTAGAGGTAGGTGGCGAGGAGGCAGGATGCTTGGACGACATCGACGAGGCGGTCCGAGGCGTCCAGAGCGATGGTGATCTCGTGCAGCGTGCGATTGAAGAACACAGGCTCGATCTCGGTGCAATAGGGCGAGCGGGCAAAGTGGCACGCCAGCAAATAGATCGCGTTCATGAGTGCTGGGTGTGGTTCGCGACCTGGCTGTGTCGAAGAAGTGACGGGTAGGAATCGGTCCATCTGGCAGTCGAACCAACACTGGTGTCGGTGCGCCATGAATATATCGAGCCTGATCGTGCATGAGTACGAAGAAGCGGAAATTTGGTGTAGCCCACGCACAGAATCCTCCTGCTCTCAAACGGTAAAGGTTCCTTCTGATCCCACTGTGGCATATACGGCACGTCAGGGTTGGCGGGGACACTGGAAAACGGGGACATTTCGAAGAAGGACATTTCGGGGTCGGGGACGACTTGATCCAGATCCAGAGCAGGTGTCTCGTACCCTGACGTGCTGCTGTACAACGACGAGCTGCTCGATGACGTCGGCCATGCGAACGTCTCGAAGAGGTTCTCCATCGCCAGACCGCTCACACCCTCCATCTCCGCCAGAGGCATGGTTCCGGGCGACTCAAGGACCGCGCTGTTACTAGCATATGCCCCCACTGTCGAGACCAGCTCGGGGGATGATCGCTGAGTAGCCGGAAGCGCCGATTGATCGCTCCCCGGGGATTCAGAACTGTGCGACGACTCGGACTCGAGTTCGCGGAGCCGCTCCTCGAGCTGCGAGAGCTTGTCCTTGAGTTTCTGCGTCCTGCTCTTCTGCTTTTTGTCGTCGTACTCGCATTCCACCTCGCGGTTCATCTTCACGCACTGGACGCACACGGGCCGCGTCCCATCGCATTTCTATCCGCGGGTGAGCTGTGTGCAAGAATGACTGAGGAGCGGGGTGCGCACCAGTTTTCGCTTGCTGTTCGGTCAAATGGGGTCCGTAAGCAAGAAGATGACGACTAGGGAGGGAACACGAGTACGAACCGGCAACATAGGCATGCGAAACCGCGCTGAAGAGATGGAATGATAGAGGATTTGCGTGTGGGCATGGTTGGGGGAGGAGGGCAGCTAGTCTCGAACGGCTAAGATAATATTTTATACATCGAAGATGCCGTGAAGCAGGATCTCGCTTGGATCTGGGTGAATGATTTGCACATGTCAGATCATTTTGTGAGACAACCATTGCCATCCACGATCAAGCCATATTTGGTCCAAATCCGGAGCAAAAAAGTCCGCCTCTGAACAGGACAATCCTCGGTTGCACTTCGAGATGGGCAGTGCATAGCAAGATCTAATGTTACTTGTCGCACTACGCAGCGAAGCGGTCGCTCTATGTATTTACTTTTTGTCGGTAAAGGTCTTGCGCATGTTTTCCCAGACGACAGCAGGCGCCTGTGCTGCATCAATGCCATGCCATAGTCCCTTAGCCTTGTAGTAGTCGACAACCGGACCCGTCTGAGAATGGAACGAGCTGAGCCGCTTGGTGAGCGTCTCAACGTTATCGTCCGACCGCTGAATCAACGGTTCGCCGGTGATGTCGTCCGTCATCGGCTTCTTGGGGGGCCTGAGAAACATCAGCTTCCGAAGAATTACAGTGCGAAACACAAGACGGCTAACTGGAATTCTTTATGGTAGCTGCGTCCGCTGGCGGGGTGAATGAGGCGTCCAGTAATACGCGAAATGAGCAGCTGATCGTCGATCTGGAGTTGCACGACGGAGTCGAGCTTCTCCTTCCGGTCTGAGAGCATGCCGTCCAGTTTCTGAGCCTGGGGAACAGTGCGAGGGAACCCGTCTAGAACGAATCTGGACGAAACAACATGGGTGGGACTATAACTGGCCAGCGGTATTCGGTTACGCACCCGTTCTTGCACGCAGAGTTGTTCTCCAGCTGGTCCTTGATCATGCCCACCATAATGTCGTCCGAGACGAGTCCACCGGCATCCATGATCTTCTTGGCCTCGATTCCCAGAGGCGTCTTTTGGGAGACCTGCTCACGCAGCATGTCTCCAGTAGCCAGGTGGCAGACGCAGAACTCGTCGCGTATCCGAGGAGCCTGCGTGCCCTTGCCTTCACAGACAAAACGTCAGGACGACATGGTCAAGAAACGCGTCGAGTGCCTCCACACCTGCTCCAGGAGGTCCGACAAGGATGGTACGCAATTGCTGGAGAGGTTTGGGTGCCGGTGCCTTGGCTTTATCCTCCAGCACGCGAATTTTCTCAGAAAGCTTCGCGACAAGGGATTTGAGGTACTCTAGGTCGTCGGCAGTGCCCATGTTGTCCACAGAAAAGGTCTGGCCTCGGTAAAGGCTCTGGAGTGAGTGAGGGTTTTACGGTGACACCACGGGGAAAAGCGGAGGTACACGTCACGTGTTATGAACCACGCCCGGTTATCAGACAATATAGATTGCGATCAAAGCCGAGATCAAAGCCAGCCCGGGCCGGCACGGAGTAGATCGTTGCTTGATTTCTACGTTCTTGCTTCCACCACAAGCCGTTCAAGCACCCTGCTCTGGTGAGAGCTATCCTCCGGTTACCTACCTATGATTTACCACTGTGAATCGGGCCATAAGAAGCGGATCTTCCGGGCTGTCACGGTCGCATAATCCGGGCCAATGAATCCGACCATATGCATCAAATACCTGCGTTGAGTGAAAACATCGCATGTCATGCTGAGCACGTAACGGAATTTTCCTTTCGGATCGCACAGACGCGATACCAGACAGATCCGAATCTCTTTTCTTACGTGAAACAGCCAGCACTCGGACCGTTCTTGCCTGTTCGGTGTGCTTCGCTTTCAGGCGAGAGAATGCGGCGTGCTGTTATGAAGACGACAATTCCTCCATCGAGGCGGCCGGTATACACGAGCGCTTTCCGAACTTCGCTCGACACTGTCGCAATCTTCTCCTGGACAGTTTAGGATCCGGATGCTCATTGCGCCCGTCAACTTGAGACCTGCATTTCCCAGGCTTCTGTTCTTGTGTCCCGGGAACCTTTCCGTTCCCTCAGTCACTTTTCGAAGACATTGTGACTGTAGTGCCTTTCACAAATGAACTTGATGCCCACCCAAAACACAGATCCCGTGCAACCCAGCTGGCAATCATTATGATCAAATCGGCGTTAGATCCTCGCAAAGAGTGACTTTCAGCGTGCAGAAGACCAAAAACATCGATACTGCGTCGGGTGCTTCGTCGCTGCATTCCGTATCAGCGCGCCAAGTCGATGGAGATCAATGACCATTGTTCGCTGCTCCCAATCCCCAAAGCAAGATTTTTATATTCAGTCACCATACCACTCATCCGTTGTATCCATAGTCTACCTGAAACCGCCAACGCTATCGACCAACACAGTCTTCAGGAGTGTCTTGACATGCCGGAGATCAGGTCTGTAATGAAGCCACCGCTGATGATTGGCAGATATAGATTGCACAAGGAAAGCATCGTGTATCGATAAATTTTCTTGAAAATTAGACTCTGATTGAAGTCACTGCAGTTTTATCGATCTATCAAATTCTGGGGCAACTCGTGAATCTCAGCCTACTCGCTGATTCGACCGGAACACTCATTCACTCGCTGCGTTGATCAATCAGATGCCCGCTTGTGCTGGCACGGTCGCGGAAAACGTCGCTATCGACCTTCCGTCGACTGCGGATCTGTCCCTGCCCCAGAACCTCAGATTTTGGAAGCTCAAAGCTCGGAGCTGGGGTGAATTTTTCTCCGGAGGAACGAGGCCGAGAAGCTCGCTCCTCTGTCCCCACCGACTTCAATCCACTACTCACAGCCACTGGACCATTGCACCTCTCAGGCTGGAGGTACCAGTCGCTTCTGGTCAGTGCGTCCCAATCATGTTGACCGGGATTGACGGCCATGGTGTAAGTCTGCTTGATTCTTATCGGGATATCCACTTGATTGGACACATGGTGATCATCTCATCTGTGGAATGTTCCTCAATCGAACTTTGCTCGGCCACGAAGCGAGTTTAACTCACTTGATGCCTTCCTGAAACAGGTCCAAAAAGAACCTGAATAGGTTTTTCTCCGAAGTCCGACTGTGTGTCGGACTTCAAGCTTCAAGCTTTGGAGCTTGCAGACATTTGACACGTGATTGTTTGAGGCGAGCACGTGAGCCGGTTCGAAAACGATGCCGGAATTGTTGGTCTGGGAATGATGCAAGAGCTAGGTTCAATCTGAGACCTAATGCAGGCGAGAAGAATCGCACCAGGAGTTCGATGAGCTTTTTGTAAGTACTCACTGATGATGATGAGAACAGAGCCTGCCGCGGTGTTTTTTGAAATCAAAGGCGAGCTGACTATCAGCCTCAGAAGCCCCTTGAAGGATACTCCGGCCTTAACCTCGAAATATGACCTAACATATCATCCACGATACATCGAGGCTTTGGAGATGGGCAGCCCTCGACGTTGTATATTGTATCAATGCAGAACTGCTGCAGGATGATTCGGATGAGCTAAGTATTACTGACAGACATGGAAGGCGCCTCTTCCGACCCTCCAGAGTACGCTCTTTCAACCCTGGCTACTCGCACGTCATAGCGCAGATACCAAGTCTTCTTCCCAAGTTTTTGCGCGAGGAGGTGCTCTAAGTTACTCTTCCAGTTGCGAATGGCGTCCTCGTCCTTCCAGTACGATATCGTAATCCCGGAGCGGATCTGCCAAGGTGTTTCTGGTGTCGCATCTGCGGTGTTTACTTTCAGAATCTGATTTCTGTGAAAGTCGTTCAACACCTGCCTTGGACAAGAGATGACACAGAATCTATGCCGACGAAGCCTGGCTGTTCGTGGGCCAACGCGTCCATTCTCGCGGCCATTTCAGGGTACCCATCTCCTTCTACTGCACGGCGGGTCGACGTGAAGATCACTGCAAAGTATGGAACTGAGGATTCAATCATTGCGATGGGAGAGTAAGAATGCAGGGGTAAATGCTACTTGATTGAGACTGAAGATGAGTCATGGCACTTTGACTCACTCGAGGTTGGCTGATCGAGTAATTATACATTCCGAGATCACACACAGATCGGATGTTATCATGTTATAAATAGCTCGTCAGCAATATACGAGCGAGGCGCGCCGAGGAGAGCAAGAGCGAGTGAATGTCGACCCGTCGTCTGGACTCAAGTAAGGAGCGGAGCATTCATGCCATGATCCGAGCGCCACTTGCAGTCCGGGCCGCCAGGATCGAGGCCAAATGCGGCCGGGCCGGGGTCGAGAGCATCGCCTGGCGCAGATGATGAGCGAAGCACTACATAAGCAACGCCTAGATGATAGACCCAATGACCAACGAAGAGTGTGTCTTGACGGTCATGGTCGCAGGTGCTACAAGGCCATGTGCAGTGTCCGCATTGGCCCGTGGTCTCCCGTGGTGTCGGGACGCTCTTTGGGTTTATTTGTGTAGTCCTTGGCAAACGTTCCTGATGTGCGTTTTCGCCGGATTTGAATGTCGTGGAAACATCTGTCTTTGACCGTGTCTTCCCTTCGGAAATCACGCATTTGCTGCTCAGGCAAGCTGTCGGGGGCAGATAGCACGCTGGTTCGTACCTGTAACAGATCTCTGCTTTGTCAGTTGACCTATCTCGAACGTGCCTTCTGCTAGAGCGTCATCCACACACAAGCTTTCTCCGGCGATTTGTTTTCGCCATCAGTCCTGTGTACACACGCCGCCACTTTCTTTCTCGCGAGGTCAACACGTCTTGTCGATTTGACTCTCTCCTCGTACCTCCTCCCCCCGTAACCCCTTGTCGCCAGGTCAGCGGTTTCCGCCGCTTGCAGGTCTGACCCCCTGCACAACGCGTATCGTGCCGTCATTCCTGACGCCCGTGGTCGGAGGATCCGGATAGGATAGTCTACCGTCATAAGACCCTGGGACGCCTTTGGCCACGGACAACGTTATGGAGCAATGTTCCCCCCCATCCACCTCCTCGTCTGTGTCCTCGTCTCCGCGACTCTCCCACCTCTCGACTTCTACGTCTACATCACTCTCCTCAGCGTTCTCGGGGTCCGAGCTATCTTCTCTCCCGTCGCCTTCCGTTTCCCCCGCCCCCCGCGAAAGTTTGTCCGAGATCATTAGTCCCGTAGGGGCCAAAACCCATGCCTTCTTTGCGTCCCCTTTCACGACCCGCCCGCCTTCCCCACCGACACATACGCCAAATGCCAGCACCAGCACCATCACGACCCCGTCGATCCCCATCGTCATCCCGCCCCGCTCGCGAAGTCCCCCGATAGGGTCCTATGTGCCCAAGAAACCGCGTGATTACCTTTGGCTCGATCTGAACCCTAAAAGCGTCCACGACCTCAGTCGCGCTCCGAGCCCCATCTCGGCTTATCATCCAGCTGAGGACACGACACCGAAGCCCCCACACACTGTGCCTGCAATCCATGAGGAGCTTGTCCCAGGGTGCATCCTGCGCGCCAAAGTCCCTGCGCGATCGGGATCTGTATCTACGCACAACTCCGGCTTCCTCACGTCGGGGTCCTCTTCTCCGCTACCCCAATCTCCACTCGCCAGCATCACCGGCCTGCCCGATACCCCAGCATCGCATTCGGTATCATTCTCTGGCCTCCCTCCCGGGGACTCTGACGTCAGTCCTCCATTATTAACCGTGGACTCGCCGAAAGAGCAAGAAACCACGCTGAAACTGATGGAACCCCTGGGCACTGGTGCTTTCTCCAGTGTTTGGCTCGCCGAGGATCTGTCCGAGGATCCGCTAGTCTTGCGTCGCAGGCGGAGTATCCGGAACCTTCGTCGAGAAGGCTCGTTGCCCGCAACGCGAACGAGCTCATTGCGAAGGGTCCGTGTTTCAGGTGTTCGGCCGCTCGGGGCAGGCAAACAACTCTTTTTCCAGCGTGAGAGGAACGGGACGCTCCATACATCGCCTTCGAATTCCGCTTTGAATAGTACACGTCTCGTCGCTCTGAAGCTGACTGCCCGGACCTCATGTATCCAGGTCAACACTCGAGATGAGGAACTGCAACGAGACCGGACCCGGGTCAGCTTTGTGCGAGAAGTCGAGGTTCTGAGGCACATCTCGCATCCAAATATCACGAAGCTGCTCGCGCATCTTACCACACCCTCTTATCATGTTCTGGTCCTGCCATACATCTCTGGCGGCGATCTCCTGGGCCTAGTCAACAACGACTACTCGCATCGCCTTCTCGGAGAGTCTCTCCTCCGCCGCATGTGGTCAGAGCTGTGCAAAGCGGTAGAATGGATGCACGGGGTTGGACTTGTTCACCGGGATGTGAAACTCGAAAGTGCGTGTTCTAGACTCTCGAATCCTTTCGTTTCATTAATGATTATCAGATGTATTGCTTACGGCGCCATTTCCCTTCACTGGTGCCCCACCTTCTGGCCCCCTTATCAAGCTCACCGATTTTGGGCTGTCTCGCTTCATCGATGTCGACGCTCCGATGCTGAGCACCCGTTGTGGCAGTGAAGCCTATGCTGCCCCTGAACTCGTGATCAGTGGGCGCAAGTACGACGGGCGAGAAACGGATGCCTGGGCATGTGGCGTTGTTCTTTACGCACTCTGCGTCAGAACCTTGCCCTTTGGCGAAGGTGCCCTGAGCCCGGGACCGGACGCCAAGATCGGTCGCGAGGGTGGCCTCAGGGATAGTGCTGGGGCTCGCCGACACTGGCTTATGTGTATTGCCCGAGGAGAATGGGAATGGCCGCGCAGCGAGCTTCCGAGGATGAAGACCACGTCGTCCACTGATTCTGACGCTACTGTGCTTCCGGAGGCCTCGATTTCGGACGAACCCGAGTCTTATGAGTTGATGGGGCCCCAGTTGGTCGAGTCTGCGGGCGCGAGGCGTATCGTTGAGCGTCTGTTGGTCCGGGACACGACTCGCCGCGCGAAGTTGAGCGACTTGTGGAACGATGATTGGATGTTGGGTGGCCTGAATGGGTCCACGACCCAAGCACGCGCCGCGGAGACGGAAACCACGAGCCCGCTCAGTCCTACTTTCTCCGGCTCAGAAGCAGGCTCGGATGAATACTCTGTGGACGGGTTCCGAGGTGACTATCCAGAACTCGACGAGGAACAAGTCGAGGGATTCGACGATGAAGACCTCGAGGACGAAGAGGATCTTCACGACTATGGATTGCTCCTGGACCAGGATAGCATTGATAATATTGCAAGGCAGGAAGTGAATTAGCCTGGCTGGGTGATTCCGATTATTTATCTTTATCTCTAAACACAACCCGCATTGCTACATTACAACCAACCACCACATTCCTACCCTCCCTGTGTTTCTAGTCCCGCCTTTCCTTCTTCAAAACCACATTTACCGTACCAGCACTCTATTCTGTACCCTTTGTATCTGGGCTGTTGTTTGTGTTCATTCGTTGTTTTCGCACGTTTATATATATATACCTATCTACCTACATAGATGTGAATGTACAGATCAGTTTCAAGTTTCCGGGTGTCTTTGTCTGTGCTTGCGTATGAGTCACACCCGCGATCGATCACGTGGAGGCCTGTGCCAGGTTTCGAGCGGTGCGGAATGCACTTGGGTCTATATTATTATTCACAAGAAGGCAGAATCATAGCCAATCCGGGCGTAATAAATCAACTCTCTTTGCGCATTGCGCAGCCGGAATCGTCCCTGAACATGTTCCGTTGACAACGCAGGACTTTGTGGCGCGTGCCACACAACAATTCCCACGATTCGAATGTGGCAATCCAATCCGAGAAGCCGTTTTATCTGCTCTTACTCGTTTTTTGGTCTTATTTGGGATATATCCAGCGGGTGATTCACATCGGTAGGGAGTAGAGAGTTGTAGCACATACAGTATTATCACCTGACTTGCTGTTCGCCGCTCCAGGGTTGAACTTGACGCCGATCATTCGATTGCCGCCATGTCTGAGTGGTGTCCCGAAAGAGTCGTGACCTGATTTTTAATGAGGCCCTTCCGGGATGTTGCCGCGGGCAGAGGACTCGCAGCGCTCAGGAACGGAGATTATCATGTACGACCCACGACGATTTTTCCTTGTCGCGGTGGCTCCAGCTTCTGGTTAGAGTCGGGACGGCTGCAGTGCACTTCGGGTTGATGGGAAGCTCTTGGGGCTGAAAAATCAGATGAATGAGCTCCACCAATGAGAGCCAGGTGAGGCAGCTCAGGACTGCTCAAGGCTCTCGGACCAGTGCGGTCGCGACTTGATTGGCATTTATTCATAAACCAATTGTCCCACGGGATCTTCCGTGCAACAGGTTCCATGAACCGGGGCTCCACTCTTTCTGTCAAATTGGTGTGCCAGACGGGTGTCCTCAACTTGTGGGGGAGGAATATTGACGGATGAATAATCTCACGGTTTACATTTGGGCCTGAAGTGCCACGATCACTCGGTCCCCGCATGCTTTATAGTCCAACAAGTAGAACGGTCCACACAGTGAGATGAATCTATTGCTCTAGGGGAAATGGAGCCCTACGTCTTTTCGCGGCTGCTGATCGGAGAATTATAATCGCCATGGACCTGTCGAAGACCCGGACCGCGATACGATTTAAATGTCCGGGCTCGGCTAGTCTACTCGAACGTGAAAAGAACTATCCAATCTCATTCGATCTATTAGAATGCCTGGATTTCGAGAGGACTCCGAATGTATGGACGTTCGAACTTAGATCCTTCGGACACTGTTCAAGAACTAACGTTCGATCAGAATCATTTATGCGCGGCGACCTTATCCCCGAGACTCAGCAGAACACGAGACTATCGACGCTGAAGGATGATCCTGATCTTGGATACGACTCTCAAGAAACGAACGCCGCCATTGGCCGCAGAACACACAGATGCCGATATGATATCCCACTTAGCCCATATCCAGCCCGGGCTGATATCGCACCCATGGGAGTCCCGCGGAGCTGATCAGCGGGGCGGTCTGCTCTGAGCCAGAATGCTGCGCTTTCCCGAAATGAAGCCATTAGCGTCGAGCGCGGACCTCGGCGCCAAATCAGGTTCTGGATCCACTTCAAACACGGACTAGGAAGTCGGAGGTCTAGCATCCAAGCCTCCGGCGTGGCGCGCTGGGCTCCATGCCAGATCCGCCAAAGCTAGTGGCAAACCAGCGATGTCATCGAAGCATCCTCGTCCCCGGTCGGGTGTTGGGAAATGACGCCTCTGATCGGGCTCGGTGGCGCGTCAAGCCCGCACGCACCCAAAGACGGCGATGTGCTCCAACTTCGATCAATTTTGATGCAACGGTCGAGGAATGACTTGGAGTTCAGTAGAAGTGAGATAGTCCGTGTCCGCATCTTCGGGCCCAACGTACATCCATCTCTCACAAAATACAAAGAGGTAGAGGGGGGAAAGAGTGGATGAATAAGAACTAAATGATACATCCTTCAGAGAAAGAGATGTCATATGCAGACAGAGAAATATCAGATAATCTCACAAAGCCATCCGCGCAACCAGCAACTGGGGACCCCGATGTATTGCGGACATTTAAAAAAATCGGAGCCGTAATCGCAGGAAGATGAGAGCCGTTCTGAAGAAATAAGGCGACTAATGAAGAGAGCGTCGGACCTTCTCTGCAGCGGAGGTTGAAATATATCGCGATCGAGGAGCAGCGATGATTGGGCGCAATCCCGAATGACACCGGAGAGCTTGATGAGATTGATTGGACGCAGGAAGTGTTTGAGATGAGGGAGAGAGAAACCTTACGCTGGCCGGCAAATCACGTCGAGTGGAAGAGACACGTTGAGCCTGCAGATGGCTCCGGTCCGAGTTCTACGCAATCGTTTCCGGAGACCAAGTATACACTGCAAGTTAAAGAGCTAACCTTGACAAAGAGAAGACGCTACCCGAAGATCGCGCGTGCCTTGTCGTTCAAGAGACCAAAGGGCCAAACAAAGGTATTGTGGGCCCCCGGCATCGGCCGCGGAGAGACGTGGTTTAGGTAAGATGTTTTCGGTCATCCGCACCGTCGAGCGGCGTGGAAAGATTTGATTCCATCTTGATCTCATGTGGCGATTGCGGACGTAACGACATTTGAATGTGGGTAAAGTAATCTTTGGCTGTTTGAGCAGTCAGTCCGACCAGTCAGCACCGGAATTGAGGGAAGACAGTCTCCATTTGCTTCCGAGATTATGGGAGATCACCCGAAGATCTGCTGTCTATCGCCGTCTCCTGAGCGGACTGGGGTCAACTTCATTACGTGGGGCATCGATCGAGGAGAAATTGCGGAGGCTTGGAAAGCTGTGCGGACAAGGAGTGTCAAGGGTCAGATGCTGGTGCGGAGCGCGCACACACAGAAAAGCATGCAGACTGACCTTTTCCCGTCGTTCTTTCGCGTGTGACATGGATCAGTCCAAGTCGCGTCAACATGGCCGAGGGAGATACGGTCACGTGGCATCTCATGCTTGGCGATACATTCGACGTCGGTCGCTGACACAAGCCGCATCGGTCATCTCAATGGCATCATCGGTGACGCTGTTTTACTGTAAACGTTCCCATCGTCGTCGTGCGCGCAAGATGGCCGAATACCAGGAACCGGCAGTTGGTGTTTCCCTTCTTCTCACCCGAGTCTACTAGCAGAGGACCGCCTCTGGTCCTGGGGACAGCGCTCTTCTTCCTCGTCGGCGTGGCTCGGTGATTTGGCGACCCCGATAAGATCCTTTCGCTGTGCTCATCCCGCGCTGCGATTGGCGCAAACAGACCTGTCTAGCCAGCTCCGAGAGGTCTCGCCCGGGCGCCCTCGTTCTCACGATTCCTTACATATGTCGGTTTCCTATTTTGTCATGATCGAAACACGGGCTGACAAAATGCACAGTATATAATTCTTGATCGCGCCTGTCTTTTCCGCTCGACCCCACGCCCTCCTTATCATCCGCTGTCCCGCTCAGGGCCTGCTGCGCCCCGTTCGTCGTCACTAAGCGTGTCTTCGATCTCCAGCGAGCCGTAGCGACCCGTTCTCTTTTCCGCATACCACCCCATACCCAATCCAGGCGCCAGCAGTTGGTATATCGCCCCTCGTTTTGTTCTTGATCCACAACTTTGCGTTATCTTTACGGGTCCGGGTTTCTTCGCAACCTCCACCGTCCCGCCAATATACACCGCGCTCCAAACGTCGAGCGAGTTGCTCCCCACCCAGATTCACTTCCTGCCTGCTCGATTCGACCGAGAAGAGGCCTTTCTTCTCATTTTGCCTGCCTTTTGCCTTTCTTTCTTTGCGAGCCAAAGGAAGAGCGTTGTAAAGCCAAAGTAAGCGTTGTCTTCATTCCTCCGGTCTACTCTCCAGCAATATTAAGCACCCGCCCATTCTCAACAGCCTCTGATGATTGTACTGTCGCGATCCCCTTCCATGGACTTCCGTCACACCAATGCTGCGGGAGCGCCCCTGCCTATCCTACCTCGCCGGTTGTCCTCGGTCAACCGCGTACTTTCATCGTCCTCATCTACTTCGTCTTTTTCCTCGCCCTCTTCGTCGTCGTCGACTCCTCCAAAATCTAGCTCTACCATCAAGCTTGTCGTCCAGCAGGCAACTCCCCCCGACCCTGAGTCGTCAACCTCTTCCTCCTCCTCTGAGGAGACGCTGTCAAAGATCAAGCTGCGACCCAGACGGATTAGAGGAGTTCGGCCGCCGGAATTCAGTACACCAACGCCACTTGCTGTCGAATTTCCCCACCGACGATCGCCCTCTCCTCCCGACGAAGATGCGACCCCTCGGCCCAAATTCGCCGGTGGCCTTGGTCCGCGGGTACTTTCCACACCTCACCTATCGTTACTAGCGTCGCCATCAACCCCGGTGTTATCGGATGAAACACCTCGCATCTTGCGTAAAAAATCGGGCCAGCCTGTCAAGTCGTCGCTCAAATCGTCGACGCCGAAACAGCGCGCGTCTCTCAACGTTGTCATTGGCAACAGCACTGGCAGCAAGAGCGAGCCGACGACACCGACGCGATCAGTGCATTTTGACACAAAACAGCATGTGAAGCTCTTCCTCGCTGAGCAAAAGCCCCTGGCCGTCAGTCGCGACGGCTCTCCGACCGACGATACTAGTGGCGCTGAGGATTTCCCGGAATGGATTTTTGGGAATGGGCGCCGGGACGAAGGTCGGCTGGATATGCTGGTGACTGTTCCTGAAGCCAAATGGGAGATGGACGTGAAGCTCCAGACGCTGAAACTCGCGGACGACGGTGCGAATGTGACGGGCACGATTGCCGTGCGGAATCTGGCGTTCGATAAATGGGTTGCTGTGCGTTTCACGCTGGACGGATGGCAGACCACGAGCGAGGTCACTGCGCGTCACCTGCAATCGCTCGCTGGCGGGCAGGTTGACATCTTTTCGTTCTCCATCCGGTTGAATGACGTATTGGCACGGATCGAAGGGAAGGAGATGCTACTCGCAGTTCGCTACAACTCTGCGGGCCGAGAGATGTGGGACAACAACGAGGGGTCGAATTATCGCGCCGTCTTCAGACGCGTTCGCGAGAGTGAGCGCCCAAAGCCGGCGGATGCTCCCGTGTCTGTTTCGTCCGAGAACGACTCGTCTGGGTCTGGAACCACAGTTGCAGCTGACTTGCGCAGTCGACTGGAACGTGTGGTGAAGACGCAGGGACAACCGCCAAGCCAACTTTCGACGACGACAGAGAATTTCAAGGCTGGCGGTTCTCTTGCAGCTCGTTACGACTTCAACAATTCCGCCAAGCAGCCATGGCACCCTCACTCGCGAACCCAATCGTATCCCGCTGGATTCGACTCGCCCAGCCCGACTAACAGTGCGCATTGGCCGCCGCGAATGCCACCTAAAGCCAGCCTCGGCTCGCCTCGTGACGCATCTGATGACGTAGCATTCCGGCCTGTACATCTCGCGTCGACTGATAACGAGGAGCCTGTGCTGGGCATTTCTCCGGCTCCCTTGCCTGTCGGCCGATACCACCAGCGGGGATATTTCGATGTCCCTTTGCGACAAGCGAGCGAAGCGAGACTCACCTCGCCCGGAACGTCATGGCTTGGGTCGTACATTCCGGACGGGAGCGAGGAGAACACTCCAAGCTATGTGACTAGCTCAGGTTCCTCTGCGAGTGGGACAGCGTCTCCTGCTAGCCCCACGGATGGTGTCGGGTTGCCCGCTGGCGTGAGTCCAGCTGCGAGTTATCACAATTTTCTTGATAGGTGAGTTTAAGCTGTTGCGTGCACCGTCTTGCAGGGTCTGATCTATTTCCCCCGTCCAGATTCTGCTTTTACACGGGACCGGAAGAGATCGAGGGTCTGCCTTCGAGGGAGTCTGTCGAGGAATATATCTCGCCTGGAATATCTTCTGAATCTCGTTCTGCAACCCCCATAGCCGCATAGATTTGCTCATCAGCATGCCTTCCCCTCTTTATGTCCTTCAGGTGTATCTTTACCACAATTTCGACTTCGATTTTTGTACAATTAGCATTTGACATGATATACGCATCTAGCACATACCACGACTACTCCTGTATACACGCATACTATCTGGTACCACACAATTTAGAGACAAATACGGATCGATTGGAGACGAGGACAACAAACTGTGGACCGACTAATACCGGCCGCGATTGTTGTTGTTGTTATTTCGGGGGCCCCAGCGACTGGAACGACCGTTATGTCCACCAGAATTGCGGCTATTCCAGTCGTCTGCGTTGTTGTTGTTCCGATGCCAAGACTCGTCCTGCTGGTATTCTGGGTACTGTCTCGGCGGGGGAACTCGATCCTGAGCCATGCCGGGAATCGACTCATCGTCGAAGCCGTTGCTGTTTCCCCAGTACGGGCCATTGCCGCCGTCGCCTCCACCGCCAAATCCGGGGACCATCTCGTCGTCCTCGTCGTCCTGCCCGCCTTGGTCCGGTGCAACTTCGGGCGGTTTTTCGCCGCCGCCAGAGAACACCGACGTCGCGTCACCCGGCCGTTCGCGGCTCCAGAAGCGGGTCGTGTAGTCGTTTGATGCACTCGCGAGCAGGTGTCCGAGCGGGTGGAATTGGAGGGACCAGACATTCGAGTCGTGCGCTTGAGACAGCGTCGCCCGAGGAAGCGCCGCGGTTTGGCTGAACGAGGAGCCGGTGTCGGCTGCTGTTAGATCCCAGTGCAAGATCTCGCCCTCGGATCCGCCTGAGACGAGGATCGGGTGGATCGGGTGCCAGGTCACAGCTGAACTCAGCGTCGGTAAGTGCTCAGGGTGCTCGACAATTACGACTTACAACAAACGTCTCTTTTGTGGCCCTTGAATGTCCGGAATTCCTTCATCGCTCGGATATCGAAGACGCGCACAGTCTGATCTCGAGATGCACTAGCAACGACGTCTCCGTTCGGTGACCAGGACAGTGCTTGGATCGTGTTCTTGTGGTGATGTCTGTGGGAATCGTCAGTCGTTCTCATGCACAAACACTGGCGCACACCCACAATGTCGACAGCACAGTCCCCGTGCGCGGGTCCCAGAACTTAATATCATTGTCTTTACTCCCAGACACAAGCAGCCCTTTCGTCGGATGCCACTCGACACACTTGACATCCCATCCGTGCCCTGAGGTGATCAGGATTGTCGATTTGTGCTCGAACCGACCGCTTACCGGTCAAAACACTCTCCACCCTGCGTTCCTGGAAATCCCAGATCCGGACGCTCGAGTCATCACTCGCAGTCGCAAACCGCCGGTCGTCCGGGCTGAAGCTCAATCCGCGGATCGCCTCATGGGAATTGGATCCCTGCCAGGCCGCGAGGTTGTTCATGTTGGGCTCAAAGTATTTGATCGTCCCGGCTTTGTCGGCCGAAGCAAGATACGCGCCCGAGTGCGTGAAGGTGAGGGTGCAGATCGCGGTGTCGTGTGCTTGGAGGATGGTCTCGAAGTTGAACGTCAGGCCATTCCAGAGCGTGAACTCGCCACTTGTGGACCCCGTCAGCACGCGGCGGCCTTCTGGTGTCCACTGTGGTGGGTAGTGTAGTGCGTGAGCCAAATGAGAGAAGGGCCGGAATGGAACAGAAACGCACAGTGACGACGTTGACGGGACATCTGACCTTGTTGGTCGAAGTATGGACGAATTTGGTGCACAGGGAAGTAGATGGGTTATCCGGGTATGCTTTCGGAGGGAGGAGCTGCGATGCTTCAGTTTGAATAGTGATTCTCGCAAAAGGATTCCTCGCACGTCAATAATATATGGAGGACTGGGTCGGAGATACGGCACATAACCGTGATTTGGGCGGAGTTTTCTCAGCTACGCGTCGTGAATGCCCGACGCGTATGAGTTTACACGAGGATGCGCACCAGTGTCCATCGCCCAAGTCCCCCGTTATAATCGACCGTCCTCCTTGGCCTCGTCTTTTTGACGGGCTTCCCCTCCGCGAGCTGTCGCGCGTTGGCCTCTAGTTCTTGCATTCGCGTAGCATCGTCTATTGGCGGTGGCTGTGGTTCGTCGAGATATTTTGAGGGCTTCCACTCGATGTGGGGAACACGCGCTGGCCGCGGTATGGCTCGGCTGGGCAGCAAGAGGGGCGGGGAGGCGGCCGAGGTCATCAGAGCTCAGTCGTTCTACTTCGGCCAGGCACCCCAAGGGAATCGATGGGCTTCGAGCGTCGGACTCTTCGTGCACTACTCGGGTAGGGAGCAGACGATGCAGGCGATGTCCCGCAATTTCCACTGATGCTCGCAGTTGAGTCGACGATGCCGCGGCACGTTTTCGGTCGGTTCTATGAATAGATGTGGTCAATAACACGGGTATCGACATTCAACACGAAAGCACACTTGTTTTGCTTCGTGTAAGGACTTCGAGGTCGCTGGACAGAGCGATCACGTGTTCGGCTATCATTTCTGCCCCGTCACTGTCACTCCAGCCCTGGCCGCCTCCGTCCCGTCACACTTGGAATGGAACTGACACTGTGGTTCAGCTTCTGGCCAGCTGCCAAAGCAACTTCATATGCTAGGTCTCTCAGATTTGAATCGACTTCGCTCCTCATCTGCCGATGAAAGCATCCGCAGTCCTCCCTGACATATGAGGACCGATTTAATCTGAACATGGTGGGCAGACTTCTGGCTCAGGTGGCCGGTGTGAACTGATCCTCGGATTCTCTCCGACATGAGCCAGTCTGGTGTGCTTGCTTCTGGCTCTGCATCTCTCATGGACGAATGCTGCTTGGTTGCTTCTTCCTTCTGCCTGCGAAGATCTGTTTGGGAGACTCTAAACAGGTGTTGTTCTCTGCGGCAAACAATCAGAGGCTTCGACGTTCTACACAGTCAGCCCCACACAGCGGCTCATAACCGGCATTCCATACTCCTCGTGCTCTGAAGCTTAAAATCCGATCAAGTCTCCACAGGCAGCGGCCAATACCCGGTCTACCACCTTGACACCTTGCTTAGATATTAGCCTCACCGTGCACGAATGCGGAGCTCGCCTTTCATGACAGGCCTACAAAGACCCCCGGCTCCTGCAGATCACGTGCCACATTGATTGGTGATGGGCTCGATTTAGGTCGCACGGCGCGCACCTCAAACAAGTGGGATAAATATGTTCAATCCATGAGCATTGTATAGATAATTATATCTTTATAAGTGTGTTGACTATTCATTCTCTTTTTGTGAGTTCCGTGGACGTAGTGCTCGATACAGAGCCAGCTCATGTCAAGCCTGCTCTGACTGCCGTGATCTTGTGTTTGTTGACACAATGGGCATTGGCAGATTTTCTCTGTCTGGATAGTCCCGCATTCACAGCACTCATCACTCCGAGAGCTCTCAAGGCCCAAGCATCCGGTCAATCCAAGAAGGTTTCTGCTGTCCAAGATGATGCTTCGGATGAAGAGTGGGATGTTGATGATGATTAGGCACACATTTGGGTATGCATGGATCACTTTTAGTCGACAAAAATCGCTCCCTTTCACGTATCTGGCTAGTTGCTAATAATTTAGTTTAAAATTATCTATAGCGACTGATAGTTTCATAATTCTGACTCTCGCGGACGCTAATTGTTTTAAATTATTTATAACAACGTTAAAATATATATCGTAGTCCAGCGCTAGATGGGGGCCATGAGCGAGAAAAAAATGTTTCAAGACAGATATCAGTGAGCCATGATGAGGTTGGCGGGCATTGGATCACTGAGCCGAAACAAATGTTGTCTGTCTCCCAGAACAAAAGCTGTCTGAGCGCGCGTTGAACCACAGACCATTTAGTTACACAACTCACTCAGGTAACTACTACACCATGAAGTATTAGAGGTCTGGTTCCCGGGGCTTTCTGACACGCCTCTGGGACGTCTACACAACTATATATGTATGCAACCAGTGAAATGAAATGCGCTGTCAGTGTTAGAATTGAACCCGTGCCGCATCAATTTAACACGTGATCTGCAGTAGCCGGGGGTCTTTGTGGGCAAATCCGCCTTTCATACATCAACCATCCTTCATCCAACGAATGCTAAGTATCAGAGTTCTCCGAATGCGTTCCACATCAAATTGATGAACACAACTCCAGAAACATGTCTGCTCCCGGTCCGTCGTGAACTTTGCTTTTCAATGCTGCCTGTCGGGAACCGTCTGTGCGTAACGACACGGAATTCATTGGCCGGGGTGGTATCCATTTTGTGAAAGTTGAGTTGCCGAAGCTGTTGGAGAACTCGGCGCCACCGGATTTTGTGTGTTTCCATCGCATCCTGTCACGTATTCTTAGCAGCCCATTCTTATCTACTGCCATCTGGTGATTTTTTTGTTCTCCGGAGGCGCTCTGTGCGTCACTCGCATGGCAGATGGATATGATATGATCGCAACTAATGTCGGTGACCCGTTGACTGGCGGCTGCCCACATCCTCGTAGCCGGGGGGAGTCAGTTCCTAGTTTCATACGCAAGACGGGATCTCAATTGACTCGGATTTAGTGGCTCGTAGGGAGTTTCGTTTCCGGATAAGGGAGAGTTGACAGATCTTTGACGCTACAATTAGCTTGCCTGTCATTTCGCCAAGGTGGATGCGTGGTTAGATCGGCGGCCCACAGCTCGCGCTGCCGCTCATCACTTCTTCGAGAATGTCCACCAGTTCTGGCGATCAACTCTCTCAGGCTATCGGCAAAAGCATCTGGAATATCAAGGCGCCTGACTGGGCCCTTCCCATGACCCCGTTCGACTACTAATCTCTTGCCATCAGACGTCGTAGGGTTCCATCATGAACCACGGAATCCATATAAGGCAACACATCATCCGACCCAGATCGAAGATCAGATCGGTTCACAATGCGACCCGGTTCGCCAGAGTCGGCTAGACGCGAACGACACAGATCTCATGCAGATCTCGGCGTTCGTTCGTTCTTGCAAGTACGCGGGCCAGCGTTATGGCCGCATACCTTGTTTGCTCCCACACTGTTCTTTCTCAGTTCTTTCTTCCACCGTCCCTGCCGACGGTACGCACTTTGGGAATCAACAATCTCGTTCGTGCTCAATTTAGCTCGAGATCTCCATCTGGTCCCTGTGTGGTAAGGAAGTAAGCTTTCTACTGCACGACGGCATCTGAATCCGATCCATCCATCTCAGCTGCTTCGCTTTCCCCCGCTGTCCAAAATCGTGTGCTGGGGTGGCTGCGGTAGTTGTGGTTCGCCATCTCTGTCCCCAACCCTCCTTCCTCCGCAACCTCCGAAGGCAGTATGAGCAGCGAACGGCGCGTCGAGGTGTGTTTGCATGCACTGCCCGGACAGCTGAGCAATTGACGCATCTGTAGAAGCCCCTGCACCAGAACATGTCACCACCAACCGCTCCCACATACACCCACAATAGTCATCCCGGTCCTCGATCTCCCAACTCCCTGCCTCTTCCAGCTCCGCCTTCGGACAACCTACCCCCTGGCTGGATCACTCAGCTTGACCCCAGCTCAGGCCGTTACTTTTACGTGGACACCACCGTTGCTCGTTCGACGTGGTCGCACCCATACGAAGACGAGCAGTATTTACGTGAGCATGGCAGACCCAGTGCCAGACGGAAGGACAGGCACCGTGCCCCTTCCGTAACCACCTCCCGTCGACATCCTTCCCCTATGAACGAACCGAACGCGAGTCCAAAAAGACTGTCTCAGGCCGTCTACCACGAACCACCCCGGAAGAAAGCTAGAGTCATGGGAGCCTCTTCGTCGAGATCAAACTCCTCGAGGGACTCGCCCAGGAACTCGCCGAGTGGGGTGCGTCCGTCGGATCTGACAGTGCGTTCTTTCTCGTTAAGCTTTTATGCGTTCTCATCAAAAAGACTACTTGCTGCAGCGCGAACTCGAGACCATACTTCGCCGCGACTTTGACTTTGGGGGGAAGTACTGCCACGCGGCGACCACGTCCTCTGCTGCCAACCCGGGCCTGAACATCAAGGGAATCGGGATTCTAGGTCTCCCGCTCAGCGTACGGGACGCTAAGCTCGTGCAGAACCTCATCTCCGCGACACTCAGCAAGACGGGTGCGGACACTAGCGACATCGCGATCGGGAACGTGTGGGAGCTGGATGCCGGGTCGTTGGAATGTAGCAATCCGGCATGGTCCCTCTATCTGGAGGAGATCGTCTTGAAAGATGTGTGGAAGAAGCTGACACCGGGGGCCGCGCGCCCCCGGCTAGAGCTGAAAAGCTTGTTGCTGTGGGAAGCCACCGCCGAGTGCGTATCCTTTGCCGACTTGGCTTGCACTTCTTCTGACACGTCGACTCAGTGTGCTCGAATACGAATGGTAAGTTCTGAGCCCGGCGAAATTATTGCTCCTGAATGACACGAATCGATCCGTAGCACCGAGGTACCGAGGCGGGACGAGTTCGCGACGATTCATGTCATCCTTCCGTCCTTCTATACAGGCGGCAACGTCCAACTATCGTATGCGGGATGCTCGGAAAACTATGATCTCTCGACCACGTCAAGGTGCGCTGCGATGCCGTGTTGACTTCGGGTCGCTCATGTCTCCAGTTTTTCCACATCACTTGTTGCTTGGTATCACGGTGTGGACTGCATCATCAAACCTATCGAGCAGGGTCGGCGACTGGCACTATCATACCGGCTATTGGCCAGTCCCGAGCCGACTGCGGGTCCAAGACCCTGTTTGCCTGCTATGGGAGACAAGTTGTTGGGCCTTCGGCGATTCTTCGTCAAGTGGTCCGAGCACCAGGAGTACCCGAACAGGACCGCAGAGCCGCTGAGCATTATAGCGTATCCGCTGCTGCACGAGTATCGTGAGAACGATCTCCGCGCGGACACGCTCAAGTTCGAGGATAGGCATAAGATCATCCATCTGAAGGTTCTCTGCGACGAGCTCGGCTTCCAGCTTGGCTTGGGAGTCCTTGATGATCATCTCATCGGCCTGGCAGACGTCGACGATACAAGTTCGCAGCCACGGATGGAGCGAGTCACCAGTCGACGGCTGACTATCAAGGACGTCTTTGACTTTGACGGAGGGCTTGTTCCTGGCCTCAGTCAACTCGAGCTGGACGAGGGTGACTTGGTCAGGACAGCCCGGGCACTTGAGCCGGCACCGGATCTCGTCGTTTACGACAGCAAGGCATGTGTTGTTCTTGTCTCGGGATGTTCTGTTGTTGATCTGCTCTCGAGCAGGAATCGCCCCAGATTGAGTTCCAGTTCTCCCGTGCGGTTATCATTCTTTTCGAAAAACGCCGGGAGTCCGAGGTCCTGCTTCACACGCGGAGGACATCCTATGCTTTGGATTGTCTCTCGAATTTATCTCGGCGTCCCGGGCCAAGTGCCGTGGAAAGGAAGATCGTGGACTACGTTCTAGCCTCACTCCATCGGCAACACCCGTACAACTTCACGGCCCAGACGACACTCGCGGACATCGCCATATGCTGGCACGATGCCAAATTATGGAATGATACCGCTCGAACCACCTGCGAGCGGGGATCCCTGATTGGTGCCCTCGAATCGATCCAGTGGCTGAGCGCCTGGAAGCAGTTCGGGTTCGCGGCAGTGCGAGAAAGGTGCGTGTTTTTCTATTGAATATACATCGCTAGGTTCTCACTGCATCAGCCTCGAGCTTTGCTGCAAGAGGAAGGGATCAAGGATGACAATCGAGTTTTTCCTCGCTGCGGACCCGGAAATGTACGAGTCGATTGAATCTGGGCCGGCGCTCGACGCGGTGTTGCGTTGGTCAAGTCAACAGCTGCAGCAGGCGCTTGACAAGATGCAAGTTCTGGAGCAAGAAGAGGTCGCTTTGTTTAGCGGATTAATACGCAAGCGGGGCGTGACTTTCTTCTGGGATGTGTAAGCGATTCATAACGTCGTCTTCTTCTTGTTCTGATCGAGACTGGCGCAGAATCATGGGTTCGATCATCCGCATGCCAAATGCTTATGAATTCTGGACGAATTTCCTGCGCTCGCTCTCCACGCTTCGGTCCAATACGACGGGCGCGGAAGATGAAAAAGTCTACAACCTGCTGGTCGACGAGGGCCTCAATACTATCATCAGCGACTTCGGGATCGTGGTTCGCTCGGGCGATCTATCTCTCCGGGCTCGGCGACTGTCTGAGATAATCGATCTATGTCTGTCAATACGGCGATTAGATATGTGTCGCCGTGTGCTGTTCACTACCGTGCCCCGGGACCAAGGACGGGACTGGGTTGCCGATATCACAAGCCCCTTGTACGTTCACCAGCTGCGGAGAACGTTGCACGAGCATGCCATCCAGGTGTATCACAAACCATTCTCCGACTTCTTCCGGGCCATGGTGGGCTGCTACCTCGAGCACGTGCTGGGCGCGTTCAGCCATGCAGCGCGTCGGATTTGCGGAGGCTGCACGGCCTGCGCCGCGGTGGACGACTTCCTCATGTCGCACACGCTCACTCAGGCGCATTTCGTGGGCCTGCGGACCCATCTTCTGCATCTCGAGACCCATCTGGCCGGGGCATCGGACGTGGTGTCGTTCCACACGTTTGCGGACACGGCTGCGTCGGGCGGGCACGTGCTCGTGCTCAACAAGACGCGCAATGGGGACGCCGAGGCCGACTGGCGAGTGCACAAGAACAAGGCGATCAAGTTCCTGTCGTCCATCGGTGAGTCTGCGAGTGTCGAGCGGATCATGGGGAAGCGGTACCCCGAGGTGCTCCAGGCTCTGGATGGGAAGACGAGATTCGTCCATCTGGAAGAGGGCTCCAGGTCCGCAGCGCAAGCAGGTCACATTGCCATACACCATTCTGTTGGCGGTCGGTGGACGGTTACTAGAGTTACGGATTCTCTCCCTCCTTCTGGCCACTGATGGTTGTTTATATTTTGTCTATATCTCGCATTGTCTCGCTCTGTTTTCTTGTTACATACCAGACACTGTATCCATACTCATGCCTACAATGTATCATTCCTCTTACCATTCTATTTTTGAATTGAGCCATATCTGAGCTTCAACTGGCCGTATTTGAGCTTGGATCGTTGCTCGTTCAGTGGAATTTGAGATGATCATCTACGGTGATTGGTTCACCGATGTCCCCCGCGATCGTATTGGTTTCTGTGTATCTGCTTCTACCGGCCTGATGGTCTAGTAGTATGATTCCTTGTTAGGGTTGCGTAGCATCATTTCGAGGAGGTCCCGGGTTCAATTCCCGGTTAGGCCCTTTTTGGGTCATCTCCGTCCAGCACCATCACTGCTCTCAACCAAACACTTGTGTGACAGTTACCGTGTTGACATTTTGAAATGTAATGTCCTCTGATTGCTTAACGACGGAGAATGGATCCGTTCCTTCCTCGCAGAATGATTCGTGAACGTAGTCAGGGAGCATGAATCTTGTGTGCGGCATTTGAAAGAATATAATATGGTGGGTGCTATTTTCCTACTGGAGTTCGAGTAAACCGGTTTCATTCGCTACGTATCAGGCTGTATCATGAATTCGGACCAGAAGAGGCCCGCAGTTCAATACCAATTGTCAAAGGCCTTCGACAAAAAAAAGGAAGTATAATCTGGTCTAGCGACCTTACAAGTAAGTGCATTGCCTCTCTGCTTGCGGGACGTCGCAACAAGCGTGATTGCAGTCTATAAGTCACGGCGTCTCGCCCGATCTCGTAGAACCTCTTCCCTTCCTTTCTTAATACTTTTCTTCCCTGTTTCCTCGTTTCCAAGTTAGAACTCATGACCTGGCACAAGCTCGTTGAAGTCTGCGAAGAAATCGAACGCTTGATCTTGTCAGGCCAGTAAGCATCAAGTGGACATGGAAAACCACTCCGGCTTTATGTGACGTCCTGTCGCATGTATGCAAAAAAAATATTCTGGCTCGATGGCATCTCTTTGGAAAGTTTGTGGAGATCATGGGCGACCGTGACTATTTCCGACCCTATTTCAAGCGATGCAGGATAACGAAAACACGTTTCGAAAAGCATATGCACTTGCTTCCATTGCTAGTTTTCTTTGTCTAGAAAATTTGAAGGGATTACAATCCTACGTGCGTCTCAACGAATCAAACATACGCGCCACTGGATCACGTGATCGTGCCTGCTCGCTGAAAGCTTACAGGCTGGGCCGGATTTGTCGGCCTACCCAAGAGTTCCCAAAGGGGAAATGTCCGGCACATCTGCCGGATATTGATTGATTGATGTAGTGATGGGGTGGTCGCCTAGTTAGGACAACAACAATGAAAGTATTATACTAGAATTTCCCTTCTGCCACACGTTAGGACAACAATGTACATGGCAAAGCACCATACTAGCATTTCTCCTCTACCACGCTCATGTCCCAACTTGTGTTCTCCGTGCTGACCCCCGATGCTGCTGCCGCCTCCTATGCTGGCAATGCCAAGAGAACACCCGCTCCAACGACGCTCCGTGGCCCAAGCATCAAATCCGTTGTGCCTTTTGAAAAGCTGATTGTATCAGAGGCACAGAAAGCAGATCTACAGTCAATGTACACACCTCGCAGCCCGACAACCACTCTGGAGGACAAGATTTTTGATAGCACAGTACTTGCAGACCAAGCAGCAGCCTTCGAGCTTTTGGAACGCATCAAATTGAATCTGGACACACAAAAAAGTGTACATAATCGATGGGCACAGGTTTGGAGCACAGCCAAGTCAGGCAAGACACGTCGCATCCTCTACCAATGTACGTCAGGTTATGATCATACAAAGCTCTCGAAGAAGGCACCTGGCAAGGAGGAGAGGCGCGTTCCCACTCGATTCACAGGATGCCTTGCTCATGTAGAGCTCACAACACGCGACGACTACATTCTACGCATCCGTGGTCATTTCCGACACTGCGAAGAGTGTCTTGACGCACCAATTGAACGCCTTCCCCCTATTCCTGTACACAAGTCACCTCAGTTACCACCGCCATCACCCGGTTGCACCCCCGCGGGGGTCCTCCTGGGTACCCTCAGACGTAGCTCTGAGGGTACCTAACAGGTACCCCCCTGCGGGGCCCGCGGGGGGGATTTGGTCCATTTGGGGGCGGGGGCATATGCGGGGGTCAGCAGGGGGGGGGGGGTCTGTACATGTCATGTGATTTATCATTGGGAGCGGGCAGGTGGGCGCGAAAAAAAAAAATGAATCACATGACACATCCAATGGGCGGGATGGCGGCTGATGGCGGGGTAAAAAAATCACGTGATGCACCGCATGAAAATTATCAAAAATGGCTAGCAGGGGTTGGCGGGGGTTGGCGGGGGCGCTACTGGCCCCCCGCACACCATGGCGGGCAGTGGGCGCATTATCACGTGACTTTTGGGGCACCTTTTGTGCACCATTCGGCATGATTTCGGAGGTGTTGCTTGATCCATTGCATGCTGTGGCAGACAATGGGCGCATAATCACGTGATTTTCCGCCCAAAAAAATGGAAGCCTTCCCCAAATCATCCTGGTATCATTTCTATCGGTAAATACACTAGTTAAGCATGAATTTGAGCTTAGAAAGCCCAAAATGCACCCTGCACAATGGGACTGGTGATGCACTTGATCCCATCATTTGGCGGGGTCTGCCGCAGGGGGTGCCACAAGGGGTGCCGCAGGGGGTGCCGCAGGGCCCGCTGTGGGGTCAACCACAGGAGCAGGGGTAGGGGTGCATTGCATCATATTTTGATCTATCTATTCTCGCTGTGGTCATAGCATGCAGCATAATTATCCTTCATTTTGCCAGGAGTTTGGAGGCTGTGTCTGGGGTTGGTCTGCAGCTACAGCCATGTGACTCCCTGATGCTTCGGCAGGGGCTGGGATATCAAAACTGTGCAATATTGTCTGCATAATCCAGGCATGTAGGGTTAAAAAGAAAGTGTGATTTGTTCATTTTTTGGCTGGCAGGGTAGGTGGGCTGACATCATGGGCTGCATCGGGTCCACTGTCAACTCATTGATTGTTTCGTCTGCTCATTCTATACACATGCCCATTGGTAAACTGATCATGCTGTAGGCACAGTCTAATCTTACCCAGTGGATAATACCACACGTTAATTATGCACCTAATGTCACACTTCCTGTCTGGGACTCATTGAAGTTCATCTGTTCTGTGTTACTTTACAAGCAGTTTGCTTTAGTTGCAACATGAACAGATGTAATAGAGTGGATTTGACATGCCCTGAATTGATTCCTAGGTGGAATATGAGACAATGGATTCACCAGCAAGTTGCCTCACAATAGTCAGAGATTGGTAATATTTGAATTTCAAATTTCATATACAACACTCTGTGCACTCAGAGCTCGTATATTTGCAAGATAGACTGTAGAGACATAGATGGTTACTTTTACTACCTCTGGGGCTGCACACATCCTTGCCATGACCCACTGCCTGCACCCCTGCTGGTACCCCCATTGGCACCCCCGCCGGCACCCCTGTTGGCACCCCCGCCGGCACCCCCGCTGGCACCCCCGCCAGTCTAGCACCCCCCGCTGCACCGGTGCCTTGTCCCCGTGATTTTCTTATATGTAAGATTATGTAAACTGACAGCTCGGAACACGTCAAGTCACTAGCCAATCAGAACCTGTATAAACGTCGTACCTAAGTGTTTACTGCTCTTCTAACACTGTTCCTACAGTTATGCAGCTGAAAACCATCGGAATAAGGTCTCCTTCTGCTATTCTTATTGAATATGTAGATACTTCATATCATTTGTCCACCTAAAATTCGAAACATGAAAAGAGTTCACCATTGCTCAAGGTTCCTATGTAGACAATGGTTCAACATGGTTCACTTTGGGTATGGCAAAAAATATTTTTTCTACACACAAGCAATTCAATACAGCTGAATGATATACTCTTTGGCAGTGTCTGAAACAAATTCTGAGAGCCCTGGACCCTGGAACTATTCAAAAACTTGAAATGAGTCCGAAAAATAGGGTCTTGATAAACATGAGATATGGGCTGGTTTGAAGAGACATGGGCCACCGGTCATGTTGAATATAGTATTTTACAATGTTTCGGTGCCCTACCTCTCATCACATGGCCTCATTTCCCACTAAAAAGGGTGCATACACACTCAAGCTCATAAAATCAATTGTCACCCAGAAACAAGAGCAGTGAAGTTGTTTCACTGGGATTGGGTAAAGGTTACCTAGAAGTCACTTGGGTTGCAGTACAGAAGCTTTGGAAAGTGATTTTGTAGTTGATCCACATTTGGTAGGCTGGCAGATGCTTGTGCACCCCCACGGCACCCCCCGTGGCACCCCCCGCGGCACCCCCTGTGGTTGACCCCCCCCCCCAACCCCTGCAAGGATTTCATTGACAAATGTCCTGCTCAATCCATTGTAAGAGTCTACAGTATTATTGGATTCAGTAAAGGGCCCAAATGGTGTGTAGACAAGAAGTATGAAATCCGGAGATCAACAATGATGACACCTCCACGGAATATGCTGCAAATGGAGAGAAAAATTTGAGTGCAGACAGACTACCTGAAGCAAACAGACAGAGAAAAGAAACATTAGCCATTTCTTGTTGATGATGTTGGCTGTCCCTGGAGCATGTACTTGGGAGATTTGCCTAACAAATCAAGTTGCACATTTTTCAAATTTTTAGTTTGACCTGACAGCTTGAGCAGACCATGCTAAAATGAACCAAGTCATATATATCAGTGCCCCAAGCCAAGCCAAAAGATTTAGGTAAATTTGCACAGTTTTGATATCCCAGCCCCTGCCGAAGCATCAGGGAGTCACATGGCTGTAGCTGCAGACCAACCCCAGACACAGCCTCCAAACTCCTGGCAAAATGAAGGATAATTATGCTGCATGCTATGACCACAGCGAGAATAGATAGATCAAAATATGATGCAATGCACCCCTACCCCTGCTCCTGTGGTTGACCCCACAGCGGGCCCTGCGGCACCCCCTGCGGCACCCCTTGTGGCACCCCCTGCGGCAGACCCCGCCAAATGATGGGATCAAGTGCATCACCAGTCCCATTGTGCAGGGTGCATTTTGGGCTTTCTAAGCTCAAATTCATGCTTAACTAGTGTATTTACCGATAGAAATGATACCAGGATGATTTGGGGAAGGCTTCCATTTTTTTGGGCGGAAAATCACGTGATTATGCGCCCATTGTCTGCCACAGCATGCAATGGATCAAGCAACACCTCCGAAATCATGCCGAATGGTGCACAAAAGGTGCCCCAAAAGTCACGTGATAATGCGCCCACTGCCCGCCATGGTGTGCGGGGGGCCAGTAGCGCCCCCGCCAACCCCCGCCAACCCCTGCTAGCCATTTTTGATAATTTTCATGCGGTGCATCACGTGATTTTTTTACCCCGCCATCAGCCGCCATCCCGCCCATTGGATGTGTCATGTGATTCATTTTTTTTTTCGCGCCCACCTGCCCGCTCCCAATGATAAATCACATGACATGTACAGACCCCCCCCCCCCTGCTGACCCCCGCATATGCCCCCGCCCCCAAATGGACCAAATCCCCCCGCGGGCCCCGCAGGGGGGTACCTGTTAGGTACCCTCAGAGCTACGTCTGAGGGTACCCAGGAGGACCCCCGCGGGGGTGCAACCGGGTGATGGCGGTGGTAACTGAGGTGACACAAGTCAGTGTATGATGTGGCATTGGCACAGTTGCATGACAGCTCATGTACATTCACCGACATTCGTGGAAAGAACCGCGACTTCGTTGCCCGGAAGGCCTACAATGGCTTTCCCCAAACCGATGCAGAGATGAAGAAGTCACCATTCCGGTGGATCTTGACTGCAAAAGACTCACGGTCACTGTATCGCATGTTCAATTCAAAGAAGGGGATCTCTGTGCGGGACGTACCTGAAGCAAACATCCATGGATGGATGGATCCACAATCTCCGAACTACAATTCTGTCTTTGCACAAGCCATCTTTCACTATTCTGCACGTGCCGAGAAACAGGACCGTTTCGAAGCATGTGTAGCAACAAATGAGATGAAAGACGCTGCTTGGAAGCACGGGCACAGAGACCAGATTATTCTGGATGGGACATTTGGAGTCAGTGATCGTCGCTTGCTGCTCTTCATCATTATGGTGGTCGACGATGAAAGAAAAGGCATACCTGTCGCATTCCTATTCTTTTCGGCACCTACAGGTAAGAATTTCGTCGCTTGCACAGTTACCAATGCTAAGTATTGATCTGCAGGCAATAAGCAATCCTCAGCAGGATACAATACTGATATCCTCACCAAACTGTTGTCAGCGTGGAAGAACGACTTGAAACAATACAAACCTGGACAAGAGTTTGAGCCGGTGTCCGCAATCACAGACACGGACATGAAAGAGCGCGCAGCTCTCTTGAATGTCTTCCTGGATATCGTCTTGCTCATTTGCCGCTTTCACCTGCGCCAGTCTTGGCGGAATCATCGTAATACGGCACTGAAGGGTGATGGTCAGGTTCTCGAAGACTTGCGCATGCGAATGATTATCTTGGAGACCGCACTTCCCCGAACTCACGAGCTGGTTGTTGCTAGAAAGCTCATCAGTGATGAGCGCGAGATTCTGCAAGACCTCAAAACCGATCATCCTAGCGAGGTGAACAAGGCAACTGGTTACCAAATCGGGAACATGCCTTGGGTACGCTGACCTTCCGCTGGGCCGTCCATGCCGTTTAAATCACAGGTGCTGTCTTTTGTTGACCGCTGATTGATTTTCGGTCCAGGATGTCAAAGTCCAAGTATCCGAATCATCGTTTAGCCAAGCACTCAGACACTATGCCGAATTCAAAAACACTAGTTAAGTACTCCACCGACCCATTGTTCGGAGCCAACACCTCGTTCCTGGATCCCAGCAAAATCGACTGGATTCCGCGCGAACTAAAAACGACTGGTTCGTCGGCAGGATGTCCTGTCGCTCGCTGGTCCACATGCGATGGACAGAAGTGATGAACTAGCAGTTGATGCACGAGTTCCTGGCGGGCTGGATCGGTGCATCCAGAGGTCACCCGATCCACCGACCGCGACGCCTCGTCGTCGGTGTGTCTGCTTCCCAGAGTGTGGATATGGGCGGTTGACCTGAGTATTTGGAGCTGATTGGACCGACGCGGCGCGGAAGGCATGGTCGCCCACCCAACGAACTGTGAGACGTAAGAGACATGAGCGACTGAGAACCCTAGCAACGCTTCTGCTGGGAACGCAGAGGAAGTTCTGACAGATGGGACGCCAGAAGACGGTGGTTTTAACTGTCCAGAAGCCCGCGCCGGCGAAGATCGAGATTCTACCTGTCGAGCCGACGGCGGCGGTCTCCGGCTACGCCTTCATCTCAAGCACACAGCATCTACGCCTTGAAAATAGGATCGAAACGAGGGTCGAGCAGGGGGAGACTTAATAGCCCCAGAGGACTACGAATGCGTGGACGCCTCGTATCCAGCAAACGACGGCTTTGCAGATTACCTACCGACTACTTTCAGAGTGAGTAAGAAAAGTGCAGAGAGTGTGTGCTCTCACTTTTCTCACAAGAGATGCAACCACACCCAGCAGATGTTCGACGGCAAATACTCCAGCCCCCGATCTTGTCGACCAAGCGATGGCACTGGTCGACGACTGGGATAAATCCGATTGGGAGAATTCGAAAAGATCATTGCATCCGGCGTGGAAAGCAATCCCTTGTTCCTGCTTTTGAAACATGCAATGAAGAGAATGGGCTAGGTTGTCCCTTCGTCTCGATGCGCCGGTGAAGCAGCCAATCCTATCGCATCCTACCGAGTCGTCTCACCCTTTGACCCCGAAACTGTTGAGCCCGGTCATGCTAAGATGATGTCCGGTTTCCGATTGCCCTTTCGTACGCCGAGCGCACTATGACTGACTTCCTTGACGATTGCGGTGAGACTGAGCCGCAGATTCGGATGATCAAGAAGCGAAACGTGAGATCAGTGTGAAACTGCGGGTAACCCCGCGCAGAGACAAGATAACAAACTGGATTGATCCTATGTTATCGAATGCTCGTAAGCCTAGAGTTTCGCAGAAGGGCCCTTTGCTCTCGGCTGCAGCCTCGATCCACCGTCCGTGACGATGTGCTGGCCAGTGATGTGTGCTGCAGCCGGCGAAGCCAGGAACACCGCCAGGCCAGCAATATCAGATGGTGCACCAACCCGACCTACACTCGCTCAGAGCTCAGCAATGTGCCAGATACAGGACACTGAACGGACCCATGGGCTGCCCAGCAACGAGTTTGTCGCCCGACGTGCGGAACCCGAATGCGGTCATCTTGCTGGGGTACACACTGGATCCTGATCAGAGCCATGCATTCGGGTGCCAGGCAGACAAGTTACCCCGGCAAAATGGCGTTCACTCTGTCGTTCGTGTCGGGTGGGTCAGTTTGGAATCACGTGCAAGGCCAAGGCAAGATGACGGACGTTACTAGCTGAGACGCCAATTTGACTGCGAGCACGGATGTCAGGTGGTTGACTGGGCCGGGATAGTTAGGACGCGGGACAGGATCTGCAAGTGCCATTACCTGCAGCTTTACTGGGCTGGTCTTTGAATCCGAGCAGTTAGTACGCCACATACAAACCTTCACTCCGCCACAAGACTTACAGCTCCACGTCCCGTTCCCAGCATCGCTCAGTTCACCCTCGCTGTGGGGGTCCAGCGACGCAACGGACGAGATGTTGATGACGCGTCCCGGATCGGTCGAGGTCGCGTCTTTCGTCAGGCAGTCCGTTAGACCGGATGTCACTGTCGTGTGGAGGACAAGTTGAGTGACGCGCCCCCGCACGCGGAAGAACTAGGCACGCAACTGTAGAAGATGCTCTTGACGTTGACGTTGAATATATTGTCCCACCCCTTCTCTTCGGGAAAGTTCTCGTAGGGCCCGCCCCAGGTGATCCCCGAGTTATTGATGAGGACGTGCAGATTCGAGGAGCGCGCTTTGAAAGCGGCGATGAGTGCATCACACCCTGCTTTCGACTGGACGCGTGCAAGTCAGTTGGGGCCTGGCGAGCAGACAAGGAATCGAAATGGAGGAGCTGATTAGGTCGAACGTACCGCGACGTTCGCGACGATATATTCAGGCTCCATTCCCGCACTGGCCACCTTCTTCAGCTCGTTCACAGCCTTCAAGCGCCGGCCGGATCTCAATCAGTTCATAGATTCGCACAAACAGCCTGCTGTGACACACCTCCTTCAGCTGACCCTCCTTACGCGCAGCGATGAACACCTTGGCGCCGTTGCTCGCAAAGCCTTTGGCCATCATGAAGCCGATACCGACGCTGCCGCCCGTGACGAGAACTGTGCAGAGGGGACGACGACGAGGGATGCGAGTCAGAGAACGCAGCCAGGAAGATATCCGCGAGCTGCAATTGCATCGCAGGGAGACGCACCAGTTTTGCCCTTGACATTGAAAAGCGAAGGAACAGACAAGTCTGCGATGGCGCATGAGCGATGCACAGGGAGACACACTACTGAGGTACCGTCGGACATGCTTGGGTGGGTGGAGGGCGAAAATACGATGTTTAGCAGAAGGCAAGGGAAGGCTCTTGCCCCAGATATGACATCGTTACGCGCGCGAACCGGTGAAATGTAGACCGGTGGCCCGGGCCTGCAGTGGTCGAGCACCTGACAGGGCACACGAACACGTGATACCTGATTCTCCCGAGTCTCCCGAGTTCGGACCAGCAGGAAATGGTCCGCGCTCAAGAAGCTTTCGACGTACATGTACAGCCTCCCTCTCGTCATCTCCGAGATGCACAAAAGCCGAGCTCGATCGGCGCCAAACTCATCCCAAGACACGAGGCTGTCGACTCGGGCTTGCAGTCACGCGTTTATCTCGGGTCCGTTATCATTATACACATTGTTCGTACAACAGGAGAGTACATGCTCTACGGGCGCTCACTGGGTGGCGTGCGCGGCGTCGTGGGGGGCCGACTGCGAAGGGGAATCAGCTATTACCAGGGGACTCTCGACGACAGAGCACGCACGGAAGCGGTCACTCCCAAGACACGAGCAAGGGCATCGAATTCGTTGGTGGTGGGGCGCTGCGAGCCGGTGCAGACTACGCGGTGGGAACATTTCAGAAATAACACCATACCAAGGTGGATAGCACGCACTGTTGATAACCTGCTGCTCGGGGATGCCGATCTTGGTGGCGATGTCACCGTACGAGAGACCTGGATTCTAGTTGAGCATGCGCGCTTGGCCCATATTGATCCCTTGGGGCTCACCCGAGCGGGTCTTGGCGGCAGCGAGGGCGGAGCACTGAGGGTTGGGAGCCATTGAAATGAAAGAGGTGGACAAGTGAGTATCTATCAGCAATGGAAATCTGCTGGTTTTATATGCATGTCCAGACGCGGTCGATCGATCTGAGAACAGCATCTTGGGGTAGGCTCCCGCATTTGAGCATATTACAAGATCGATAAGAGTTCGATATGCCGATCAACGGCTCAGGGTAGATTGCCAACTGGTTCGCATGAGCCCGACTTGGATTATAGGCATCGCGTCACCTGACTGCAGAACGCGAGCACGTGATTATGTCAGGCGCACTTGACTGGAAAACATCAGATCGAGAGTAAGGGTTCCCCGCGAGAAGATCGGCAGTTCATTTCTACTCCCTAAAATAAGCACTCAAAGGCTAGCATGGCGACCTATCGGTACTTGGTCGTTCTAAGGTCGGCGATCATCGGAGATATACGTGGAAGCTGTGAGATCCAAGGAGAGTGATTCTGACTGCGACGCGGCGGAGTACTGGTTACACAGGGATTACGATCGATTGCCGGTAGCACAGACCAGTTTGCCGCATGGGAAACGTGTGCCCCCATCTCACATCGATAAGACCGTCGATGAGTAGCAATCTCAGGTAACTTGCCTGGCCAAGGACAGCTTCCAACGCCGTGGATGAAGGCTAGGCCGGGCAGCGCAGTCCGTCTAGGCTGTGCTTCGAAGAGAGACATTATTCATATGATTCTTCTGGATCGATACTAGATGCCACCTCTTCTACTTACAACCGGTCGAGGATTCCATCAGCCAGCGAGTCCTTCCACCGGCTTCCTGTCCCAGACATCACATCGCTGCTGCCGATCTTGCGCTGCACCACGACACTAGGGACAACCGAGAATCCAGTCATCCGCCCGCTCTGGACGAGCCACGCAACAGCCCGGTCGTAAGCGCGGGAGTACGAGAACGGCGGGTGACTGAGGTGCCAGAGAAGACGCCGCAGCCCTTTGGGAGAAAGGACGTATGCATGAGTACAAAGAGGTGCGTTTGATGGGTGCAGAGCCGTGTGAGACGTGGAGGACACGTAGATGGGCGCGTGGAGCGTTTCGTCGGACCAGCAATGGCCTAGCGATCTGTAAGCTAAGAATCAGGAAAAGGACGCGACCCACCGAGAAAGATGATGTCCCATTCTCTCGGCAGCGCAGGCCACATCTCGCGCAGGCGTTCGCGGACATCACTCTCCATATCCACATCGTCTTCCAGTATCAGTGTCGCCGTTTCAAGCTCTTCATCTTCGCGCGCGTTGAGAGACTCAGCTAAGCGGACAGTCGAGAAGTGGGAATGCCACACGGCGATGCGATTGCGAGAGAGGATCTTCCATTCTGGTAGCTCAGGTGTATATGTCGGGATCGTGAGATTCTCAGTGGCACAAGTTAGCGGCGTCGAGTCTTGATGGATGGTGTGGTGGCGGAGAGAGCGAGCAGTGTCAGTCCAGAAAGTGGTAGGATTGAGCGTAGTGGACTCGTCTTCAACAGGCCAGGAGAACGGGAGCTTGATTTCGCGGTCGCCATAGATTGCTTCGGGTTTGCTTGCAACAGCCGTGCGCAGCGTCCTCACGCTCGCCAGAATATTGCTCACAAGGGGGCTCGCCGCCTCTAATGCGTCGACGAACGACCACTGGATCTCACCCATCGAATCACCAGCCTCATTGAGACGTGCACGCAGCCGCTCCATGTCCTCGCGTCGATCTTGGCGTCGCAGAAGCGAGATAACGAAGGTGCGCGAGGGGATCGGCAAGGGTCCTCTGTGTCGTGAGAATGCGGCGAGGATAGGCTCCTGTTGAGCATGAGGAAACGGTGCATGGCGAAGTCCAAGATCTTGTCCTTGATACGCGACGATGAACAGCAGGGCGAGGACAGAAGTGACCGTCAGCGTGATTGAGAGCGGCGGGGACAACATTTGAAATCAGTGTGCCAAGGGTAAGGGACAGATCTGTGACTGGCGTGAAGTAGGGCACACGATGTAGCGGACCGTCAAACACCAGTGATAGACTAGTCACAAATTAAGGGCGATGTATATAAGATGGATACAAGCACTGAAGCGTGTGGGGAGCATTAACTGGTTAATGGGTGAAGATCTGCACATGGGGGAGAGCAAGAAAAAGGGCCTAACCGGGAATTGAACCCGGGACCTCCTCGAAACGATGCTATGGGACCCTAACAAGGAATCATACTACTAGACCATCAGGCCGATGACTTTGATGGCAATCTTGAAGATCTAGCAACCCGGAAATGAGCAGGTCCCAGATCTATTCTATGCATAGCCAGTGCTTGTGGGATGCAGGATTGTGAAGCATGATACACAACATTGAATGAGTGTTCATGCAGAAAAAAGGCTTTCTGTTCTTTAGATCCTAACAAAGTCGGAGGGGAGCAAACACGCCAAGCAAGCATATACAGTCACGGCGGAAATTGATTTCCCACCATATCGGTAAGCAAGTGATCTGACGCTGTCAGATTTCAATCAATTCAGTTCCCACGTATGTGCAACACGTCTTTTCACCTTCTCTCGACCACGTAGCACTTCTTTTATGGCGCGGAAGTGTGTCTGTAGTACGCTAGGCGCTACGTGAGTCTGCTGAGACCCGCGGGAGAGCTAAATCTTTGCTCAAGTGTACTCGTTTGAGGTAATGCTGTGCTGTCGGCATCGCCAGATCACTTGCTTCCCGATATGGTGGGAAATCAATTTCCGCCGTGACTGTACAATGCTGGCCTGTGACATGATATGATTAATATTTTGAAGGTGGGCATCAATTTGGGATAAAAACAGGTTTCATTCTAACTAGAAAGCATCGGCTCCGCCAACAGAATGCCTTGCTACTCGATTTAGAGATTGTCACAAATTCAATCAGCATTCGGCATAAATTCATGATCATCTTATCAAACAGGTTTTAACTAAGCTCCAGCAGCTCTCGTCTTCCTCTTCTTTGGGCTTTCATCCATGTCAGGAACCGCTGGCCAACGCTTCCCCGAGTGAGACAGCGTCAAATAGGTTGTGGAGGACATACACATACAGACCAAATGTCAGCCTTACGGCCCTGTGTTCTTACCTACGCCCGTCCACCCTGTGTTCTTGACAAGCAACTGTCTAGTGGTAGTAGCATCGAATCGATTCTGCATGGAGGAGGTAACAAGGCTCGCCGTGGACATCAGGATTGTATAATGAGCCATGAAACAGCCGTACGTGAGTTAGAACACATTCATGATCACGCGGATCACACCACGGATCAGGCGCATCTGATTTGTGTGTGAATATAGGGTCTGGAGAGTGCCTTGACAAGCAAGGCAATAATGCAGATTAACAACTCCGTTCGGTCTAGCAGGTGAAAGACCCTGTAGCGGACTCCGCCTCTAACGGCCTGATGGTCTAGTAGTATGATTCCTTGTTAGGGTTGCATAGCATCGTTTCGAGGAGGTCCCGGGTTCAATTCCCGGTTAGGCCCTTTTTCGTGCCATGGCGCACCTTTGGCACATTTTATTCATTCCTTCTCTTCACCCGGTTTCTACCTACAGTACGCACATATATGTTCTCATGTTGATAGCCACCCATTCGTATTTCCATCACTATCGGACTTTTCGCGTTCACGTCATAGCGCTCCTTGCCAGCCATTCACTCTACCCTCAGCTTCGGAGTTACGGATGACTTCTCGACACATTGAACGTTTCAATTTCATGTATTCCAGCAAAAGGCCCATGCGCACATGCCCAAACCCAAGCCCAATCGTCAGCAAAGCAAGCATTATGTAATTCGTATAAGTTCATTAGATGTCGTCTCTCTATCATTTGCGTCCGTCCTTCGAGCGCATGCTCATCGTTCTCATCGTCGGGACTAGATACAGCGCGTCAGCCGGCCGCACGAAGAAGAAGAGGAGGAAAGGAGCAAGTACGCACACATCATGAGGCCCTTGATGTCCTTCACCCTTGCAGCCTCGACGGACTTGCGCATGATGACGACTCGGATACTAGCCCAGACGAGTAGAAGGACACCGAAAGCAATAGGAATGAGCCAGTAGAGCGGGCTGAGCTTGTCCGTGCCGCCGAACACGACGTGCAGCGGCGGCGTGTAGATAATGAACATGCCGAGACTGGCGCCGGCGAGGATGCCCGCAAAGTTGAGCTTGTTGCCCACGGCGTTGCGCCCGAAGGGGAACTTGAACTTGGCCTTGACGGCGAACACGTTGAAGCACTGGATGATGAACACCGACAGATATACGATCGACTGCGCCTGGGCCAGAGCTGACACTTGCGCAGAGGCATCTAGTGTTTGACCGCGGCCGTTGATGTAGTCGGGACTGGATTTCGTGAAGTACACTGCAATCCCGTCAGCATCTGACTGGGAGAACCTAGCGACGTGTATACTCACAACCGGCCTTCTGCGCTTTCCGCAAGTCGTTCGGAGAGAACCCAGCCTTGAAGAATACCACAAAGTAGGCGACGAGACTGCCCAACATCTCGATCATCCCGGCCTCCAGATAGGCATACGACAGCAGCTTCCCATCGACCAACGTCTCGCCATCAGACGGCTCCATCACATCTTCCCAGTACGTTCGGGTGAACGGCTTGCGCAGTTTCTCGGCCAAGACGGAGAACTTGCTGGGTGGGATGACTTCCTGCGTCTCGGGATCGCGGCGGAGCGTCTTCGTTCTCCTCAGTGCCTTGCGCTTGAGCGACAGAATCGAGCGCTCGTTGACTGGCTTTCGGGGTGTCATGCGCATCAGACCATCGACGGTTTCAGGTTTGTCCCATGCGAACGACAGTGCAACGAATAGTTCGAAACCCAAGTCGATCACGAGAATCAAAATGGCAGAGAGAGGAAGAGGGATCGGAACGACGACGTCTATTGCAGGGTCAGAATCAGATAGGCGGTGCTCGAGCTCTCAGACATACAAAGCAACTGAGGAATGACCTCAGGTGTTGAATGCGAGATCGTGTACTGGATAGCCCGCTTCAAGTTGACGAAGATTTGACGCCCTTCAGCGACACCCTTAACAGTCGACGCGAAGTTGTCGTCTGCGGGAATCAGAACGGTACAGATGGAGATCCAGTATATTGCCTACCTAGAAGAATCATGTTCGCGGCTTCCTTGGAGACATCGGATCCTATTACGAATATCAGCCGCGGAAGCAAGCACGAGGCCAGGGTGAGACACACCGGAAATGTTCATTGCGATACCCAGGTCGGCTCTCTTCAGGGCTGGCGAGTCGTTCACTCCATCACCTGTACTGTGAGGGGTCAAGAAGGGCAGTTGAATGTGCGGATAAGACTAACACCCCGACAATGTGACCGAGAGCCTGCGCGCGTTTGACTGAGAAGTCGGCTCGTCAGTATATAAATATGCGAGACAAGCGCGGCACTACACACCAATTTCCAGCTTGTGCTTGGGCGACGTCCGAGCAAACACGATTTCCTCCTTGCTGAAGACTACCGCTCGTGAGCACAATCCCCCTGCGTGCGACACAACACGAAACTCACTCTGATCCCACTGCCAGCCCTGCAGGTCATCGATATCGTCTCCGTGGATGACAATCGCCGTGACTTCGTCGTCGTAGATCTCCTCCAGCGGCCGTCCCGTCTTCGCAGCCAACGTCTCACGCGTGTCGCCAATCATCAGGTTGATCTTCCGCGCGATCGCCTCCGCCGTCTTGGGGTGGTCGCCCGTCACCATCATCACCTTGATTCCCGCGAGACGCAGCGTGCCAATGGCCTCGCGCACACCGTGCTTCGGCGGATCCTCGAGAGAAACAAGCCCGACAAAGCAGTAATCCGTCTGCGGGAACTCATTCCGCGAGAAGGTGTGGTCGGCGGGGTACGAGGAGCCGGCAAGCAATGACTGCGCGCAGGCGATCACTCGGTGTCCGCGCGATGCCATGTAGTTGTACGCTTCGTCGTAGGCCGTGCGGAATTCGTCCGTGATGGGCACCAATTCGCCGTCCTTGAGGTAGGTCGAGCATTTCGCCAGTACACGTTCCGGTGCGCCCTTGATGTAGGAGCTTAGCTCGCCGTTCGCATGGGGTTTCTTGACCTAGAAGACACGAGGTAAGCTTGGGGCTTCGGCTCGAAAGCTTTGTAACTCACAATGACCAGAGCCCACTTGTTCGTGGAGTTGAACGGCACTTCAAAGACTTTGGGATGTTTCTTGAGATGCTCATCGTAACTGCTGGGAAGGGATCGTCCAGCAAAGCGCGTCAAACCAGTCTCAGTGGCATCACCCAGAATCTGCCGCTGGTCAAACGGAATGTCGGTCGTATCGAACTTGACACGAGAGTTGAGCGCAGCAATATCCACGAGCTCAGTCATGCCGGATGCCTCCAGAGAGAAGGAAGAAACGGTCTCCTCGTCATTGTTGGACTGGAAGGCCGAGTACATCTTGCCTCCGCTCCACAGATTGGTGACGGTCATTTGGTTGCGGGTCAGCGTCCCAGTCTTGTCCGTTGCAAGGAGGGTCAGCTGACGATGACAGATAAGCCACGACAGCTATAGATTGGAGCATGGAAAGGACGCACCGATCCAAGGGTTTCAACACCCTGCAGATCCTTCACTAACACATTCTGTGCTGCCATGCGCTTCGCAGCGATGGACAGCAAGAGCGTCACAACCGACGGCAGACCCTCCGGGACGAACGCAACCAGAATGGAAACAGCGAATGTGACCGTCTGCGACGCTTTGCCCTTGTACGCAGTGGTGATGCCAACGACGAAGAAAACAATCGCGAAGAGAACAGCGATGCAGGACACCTTGATGACAAACTGACCGCTGGAAGAAGTCAGTCAGCGCGCGGCAAGCGCAGATGAACGAAATGCGAACATTTCGACAGCAAGCGGGCTTTCATTCCCAGACTCGCCGCCAGTCAGAGAAGCGATCTGGCCGATGAAGGTGTGGTCTCCGGTCCGAACGACAACTGTTCCCAGATCAGCCCCGGCGCTTCACGCCAGAAGAACGACGACTCACTTCCCCAGGCTTCTCCATTCACAACCAGGGTCGAATTGAAGGCCAGATTCGCAGCCTCGACGACCCGTCCCTCGGAGCCCGCGGCCATCGGGAACCGCTCCTGCGGCTCCGACTCTCCGGTCAAGCTGCTGTTGTCCACCTTAAAATCAGTCGCCGCGAACAGGACCAGGTCCGCCGGAGTCTTGTCGCCGGAGCGCAGCAGCACGACGTCGCCCTTGACGAGATCTGCAGCAGGGATAGCGGTGATGGAGCCATCGCGGACGACGTGGCAGGAAGGCGGAATCATGGCCAGGAAGGATGCCAAGATCGCTTCCGACTTTTGAGTTTGATACCCTGGACCGAAGGTCAGCAGTAAGCGCAGAGTAGAGGGGCAAGGAACGGACAGTCGATGAAAGCGTTGAGGAAGGCGACCGCAATGAGAATTCCGCCGAGATACGTGTTGGCAAAGTTGTCCTTGAAGTCAATGCCCAGCAGAATGTATTCCAGAATACCGGCGATGATCAGCAGGACGTTGAACTGCGCCGCCCATCAGCGACCGGCGCGGAACAATAGATCACACGAGCGTACCATGGTAAGCAAACGATCGACATACTAGGCGCGAATCAGTACACACCCTGCAGACGGCCAGGGTGCACCACTCACTTGACGGAACGGCGACTTCTTTTTCGGGGGCGTCAGTACGTTCGGTCCGTCGCGCTTCAGACGCTCGGCGGCCTCGGTAGCGGTAAGTCCGTCGGAGGATCCGGGATCCTTGATGTCAATGGCAGTATTCAATCGCTCCCCGAGCTGGGTGACGGGGATGCGGTGTTCCGTGATATCTGCGTCCTTCGAGTCGTCCAACTGAGCCTTCTTGTTCGCCTCCAGTTGTTCATAGCCCGCGGCGGCCAGTTCTCTGTCCTCTTGCGTGATGGTATGCTTTAGCTCGACACCTGGGTGAGGTTGAGTGCCTGTGCGCTGAAAGAGGGGAGGGGTGCAGTGAGCACCTTTGGGACGCGGTTTTTCTTCGATCTCCTGCTCCTCCTGGAAAGCAACGGCGCGGGTATGTTCATGCTCGTGCTGAGGCTCCGGCTCCTCGATGGGCGGCATCGTCTCTTGCACCGGGTCCGATTCGGGCTTAGAGTCCATAGGATGGTGGTTGGGAGACAAAAGCAGAGGGGGGAGACAGACAACTGCCTTCCTTTTGGGGATTCATCGTGAGCGGGTTTTGCGCCAGCCAATCGTTTGAGACAGTCACGTGAGCGATCAGGAGAGATGTCTGATCCCCACACGGGACGGGCAGAAAATTGAGTGAAACAGTGCGGGGGGACGCGTCGGCGGGCCGGAATATTTCCTTTCCAGGTCCAATGTCCGATAGAGTTAGACCCATTGGGCGGCCAAAAGCGCGCAGACACGTGACCGTGAGGCTAGGCGATTCGAGGTATCGATCTGCGCTGGGAGTGGCTCTGCGAATACACGAGCGCCGGCGATTCGCAGGTTGGATTGGGGTAAACGTTCGTCGTAGCAAATCGGGACGCCACCCAGGATCCATCAGGCTAGGTCTCGGTCCGTACTGCAGTCCGCGCCACCGGCCATTTCGCATCCTTCCGCCCCTCGGCTCCTGGCCCATCCTTTCTTGCTAAAAAAAAAAGTGGGACAGGAGCCCGGAGCAACGGACGACAGCGACGACCACGTGTAAGCTCTCCGTGACAACGGTGTCTCAGTTACAAGCTCCGAAGCGAGGAGACATCAGGCTATCTGTCGCAGCATGGTGGAGTGCGGTGGCGCAGCGTGGTGCGGAGGCGTATGTCCAGCCATATCCTCCTTCCAATCCGAGGAGGGTTCGTTTATCCGAACCGCGCGCCGGGCCTATTCAGCATCCGACGGGTTCTCGAAGCAGCCAGTCAATCAAGGTTGGGTGTGCATGGCTCTGCTCCGGGAGAGCGGGACGACGGGACGTTCACGGTATGGCCCCCGAGAACGGGACAGTACAAGGTACATGGGGATGAAGGAAGAGCGTAAGCGGGGCTATCGGCGGTCGCGCTAAGTTTCCTCCTGATCATGACGACATGCCGCGATGATGCGCATCCTGTTGCGATCAAGCGGCATGTTCAAGAACTGAACTGGAGGAGCAATATCAATGATACTAAATTAATCGTAGGTCTGCTTTAGCAACTTCCACCCCTCGCCGTCTCCCGCATCCAACACTTTGCGCATCCCGGCAGAATCGCAGAACTCCGTCACTCGGGAGATTTCCCCCCGGTCAGTGTCACATCTGAACATGAACATGTATTCTCCTCTGTTCAGCTCGCCGGTCGAAGTGATCACAGTCTCGAGTATCACCTGTGGCCATCATCTTATAAAGACTGGCTCAAGGGTATCGCAGTGGGGCTCACATGAAGCACAACGCTGTCGGCGCTTTCAACCGCTTGCTGCTGTGGAAGAAGTTTGACCTGTGGACATTGAAATTCCTAAGTTAAGCATTTCCCATTTCGTCAGAGTAGACAAGACGCGCACCGAGCTAAAGAGCCGCCCTAATTGCTTCAACAGCAGCAGAAGCTCTCTCCTGTTCTTGCTCGGAACTTCCAATGAGGCGGGCAGCAACGTCCACGAGAAGTCGTCAGACAACAGTTTCTCGAACACGGCGATGTCGCCGCCGCAAAGCGCGTCCAGATACTGCTGGGAAAGAGAACCGGCAGTCGCTGAGCCGGGTGCCATCGCCTTAGTATCGCAGGTACTGCTAGTAGGGGGGGGGCTGTCAAGCTAGCCAAGGTGAGGGTGAATCTCTCGTTATAAATTTAGTTAGAAGATTGACCCGAGCTGCGCGGTTCCAGAGTGGGTTTCGTACCTTCCTTGACGCCACTCGTGCTGCGCTGGCCGCTTGTCATGAGCTTATACGAACGACTTCGATTTCGATGACGCTCGGGTCCGAAAAGACAGCATCCAAATATAGTCATGTTCTGTCTGTGCCTGCAGGAGCTTCGGGCAGGCGAAGTGCACCCGGTTTGAACGAATGTCGTTGACAGTGAGCCAAGTTCCGATGCGTCATGATCGATGCAAGATGATGCGATCACCTGTCATGTGCTTACTTACAACTTCCATCTGCTTTGACCTGTGGCCAGCAATCGCATTCACACTTGCGCGCATCTGTGGCTGATCGTCGTATGTCCCAATTTCTGTAATTTAGGCTGTGAAATTGCATGTGGGGACCACCACTTATCCACTGACATATCAAACAAGCTTACTGACTGTATATACTGGGGGCTCAACTGAAGAAACATCAAGGAGGACTTATCTAATCGTAGGCCTTTCTCATCAACTTCCAACCCTCGCCATTCCTTGGATCGAACAGTCTGTGCATCCTCACAGAGTCCGAGAACTCGGTCACGCTGGTAATCTTCCCCCGTTCGATGTCGCATTCAAGTGTGAAGATGTATTCGCCTTGGTCTGGGAGGCCTGTGGCAGCCACCACATTCTCGACGACCAACTGCGGCGACCGGTTTGTTACAACTTCTGGGCAACGGAGGTACTTCGAAGGCAGAACTCACATGAAGCACGATGCTGTTCGTGGTTTCAGTCGCTTTCAGATGGGACACCACCGTCATCTGCGCATGCACGGCATCTGATCAGTCGAGCGGCGCAAGCGAAACGGGACACATACCGAGGTGAAGAGCCCCCCCAGCTGCTGAAATTGCAGCATGAGTTCTCTCTTGGTCCTGGTCGGGATCTGCAACGATGCGGGGCGGAAAGTCCATGTGGATTTGTCGGACAAGAGCTGGTCGACCGTTTTAATGTCCCCGCCGCACAACGCGTCGAGGAACTTTCGTGCAAGGGATCCAGCGGTAACTTTTTCGGTCATCATGTTGGCGCAGAGACTAGACGTAGGCAAGGCGCTGGGGTGGCGAGTTTGAATCAAAGTACATAATTTATAAGCCTGGTCAGTGGGAGGCGTGTAATCGAGCGATTGAAGATGACAGGTCGCACTTGAGTCGCACCTGGGAAGGTACCGTATGTCGTTTGTAAGTTCTCTGTCGCTATGCGAAACATGACAGACCCGCGCTGACCTCTTCCTGCGACCTTGAAATCATATTACTTCAGCGTCGATGACAGCTCGCGCCTGCAACGATGACATGTCAGTTCAGCTTCTTTTCGCCGGTCGCGGTGACTTCAGATGGGCGGAAGACTTCCGGTATGAACGATCTCGCGAATCGTAAGCCTATTTCTAATCACGTCAATCGAAGTGATCTGACGGCGTGCGTCTCCGTCAATCCTTCGACTGGTCTTCCCCCGCACGGCAATACTAGCAGCTTTTCAGAACGCTTACATGAGACAGCAAACATTCCGGTTGTCTCTCATTACCAACCCCAACATCCATGCACCGCTACCTTTCTCTATCTCGGACTCAGCCAGGCTCTGACACAATCCTGCCGGCATTTTTGGGCTTGCTGGCCGTCTCAGCACGCTGAAGGGCCTCAGTTCTGGGGCCTTTCTGCCTCATATGACTTCGCTGTCATAGTCCGGGGCTCCACGCAGACACAATGCAGGATGAGGCGTCTCAGTTCTCATTGTCAGGTTACGGCGACTGTTGCCTGGTTCGTCCGAGATCTTCGCTGTTTTGTCCCAGGTCTTCCTCGTGCGGTGACTGGGATGCACTGGAGTGGGACGACCTCCCTCATTTCGTTGCAAGTATCAGCAGGGAAATCGGGCGAAAATCTGATCCTCCCGGGATGTGGAGCCTGCATCAGGCTCCGGTCGCTTCCACACTACATCGGCTTGCCATTCAACCTCCCAGCTCTTTCGCATGCCCCACCCTGTCAATGATCCAAAATCGGTCAACTGGCACCTGTTCCTGACATGTCCAATGACCGCCAGCACGCGACTCAACCGGATCCTCCAGCGCAAAATGAGCGTGGGCGCGAAATGCGAAACGCTCTAAACGTCGTCAACTGACAGCATCCGCGTGGCTTGGCCGGTGGGGGCTTGAGCGGCGCACAGGCGCATACATAACGACTCCGGCCATGTTCCGGTTGCAAGCGCCTGGTCTCAGAGGATGCGCGCGTTTTCCCGTGTCGTTTCGCTGCTAGCGCTCGCCGTCCGCATCCAACTCGCCCGCGGCTCGACTGTGCCTGGATGTCCCGACCTCGGATCCTTGCCGCCGCAGGACGTATTTGACTACATTGTCGTCGGATCTGGCGCTGGAGGCGGGCCACTTGCGGCTAGACTTGCGGAGAATGGTTTTTCTGGTGCGGGTCTTGAGCATCCCTCATAATACTCCAACTGAACTGTTTCACGACCCAGTTTTGGTCGTCGAGGCCGGCGACGATGTGTGGAAATACAACACCTCGATCCCGGCTTTCTGGCCGCGTGCGACTGAGGGTGAGAAACCTAGCGAATTGCCGTTGAGCGCTGCTCTGTTACTGATGAGTTGGCTGGCTTCCAGATCCGCAGCTCGAGCTGGCGTACGATGTCGTCGAGTACAGCACACCGGGATCTAGAGTGGCTTGGTTTGGGCGTTCCCTGTGCGCTCTTGAAGCACAAGTTGACATGGCCTCTTGCAGGTATCCACGCTCGCGGGGCATCGGCGGCTCGACGGTGCGCATATACGACTTTTCTCTATCTCACACACTCGACCCATCGCTCTCAGTTGCACAATGCGATGATCAATGTGATCGGAGGAACCAAGGCTGACTTCGATTCTGTTTCTACGATGTTTGATGATCCGTCGTGGACACGGACGAACATGCAATCGTACTACAAGAAGATCGAGCACAACGAAGACCTGATTCCGCCTTTGCTGACCGCGGGGGATCACGGCTTCGACGGGTGGCTCGAAACGTCGAGTCTGCCGTATCTCGACTTGTTGAATCATCTGGGTGGGTCACCGAGTTCTACGAACATCGAGATTGCTCAGTGTATGCGCAGATATTTTGGACCCTCAGCTGATCGCCCTGGTGTCCGCGCTGGCACTGACCGCGCCCCCGATTCTCGATCTTAACAGCGTGTCCGGTGACGGAAGCGCGGGTCTGCTCTTCCCCAGCTTCACGATCAACTCGACTCGGGAGCGCTCCTCCGTCTATGCTCGTCTGAAATCAGTGCAACGAGTAAATGAACCGAAACTTCAGTTTATAACGGACACTTTGGCGACGCGGGTTCTGTTATGTCAGCCTGCGGCGTCCGGCTCCCAGCCCAAGGCATACGGAGTGGAGATCGCACCCGGGGCGGCCCTCCCAGTCGCGTTGGGAAACTTTGCGGGGAAACAGAACCTGGCTGTTCAGAATGTCTACGCCAAACGCGAGGTCATCCTATCAGCAGGTGTGTTCCAGAGTCCGCAATTAGTGAGTACGTACTCCACGGCCTCTTGGCACCATTCTGATTGTTCTTAGCTAATGGTAATTCGAATCGAACCGATCTTTGAACTCATGTCTTGATCACGGGCTGTAGCTCTCGGGGATTGGTAAGACGACTCAACTGGCCGAGTTCGGAATTGACACCGTCGTCGATCTTCCGGGGGTCGGTGCCAATCTACAAGGTGGGATTTACTCAACCTAAGTTCCTCAGCTTTTACGGATACTGCTCAGACCACGACGAGATCACCATCATATGGAACCTGACGCAAAAATTCAAGTTTTTCGACGGCTGCACGTTCCAGTCAAACAGGAGCACCGACCCGTGCCTCGCCGACTGGCTCGACTCGGGCCACCACAACATCTATTCGTTCGATCCTGTCCTGAACGCCTTCCTCACCACGTCCGACCCGGGTCTGTCAGCTCCCAACATGTTCACCTACCTGAGCCCGGTCTGCGTCAAGGGCATCGTCCCGAGTAGGTCAGCGCGCGTCGCAGCCCCCGCAGCAGGCTGACGCGGAGTGTACACGCAGATTTCGCCGAAGACGCGTACTCGCACCCGAACGCCCTCTCCGCCATCGTCCTCCTCGCGCACCCCTCCTCTCGGGGCTCCGTCACGCTCACCGGTCCGCACCCACAGGACCCGCTGTCGATCCACAAGCGGCACTTCGAGGCCCCCGGCGGGGACGCGGACATCCGCGCGCTGGTCGGCGGACTGGAGGCCATGCGCAAATTCGCAAGCAGCAGTCTGATCAGTGGGTTCATCGATAAGGAGATATTCCCAGGCCCGAACGTTAGCTTGCGCGATCACGTGCTACAGCATGTCTTCGGACACCACCTTTGCTGCACCAATAAGATGGGGGTGAAAGACGGTGAGTGGTTTGCGTTTGCTGCAGAATGCTTCGTTTTTGAGATGATTTCCTACAGATAAGATGGCGGTTCTGGACGGCGACTTCCGGGTTTATGGTGTGGATGCCCTGCGGGTGGTTGATCTCAGCTCTTGGGCCGACGTACCAGGTTTCTTCGTCACGACCCCTACATATATGGTGCGTGCTATGGTCTCATCGTGGGAGGTCCCAATATGACAGGACGCAGATATCCGAGAAGGCAGCCGACTCCATAATGAATGACGCGAGATCTTCAGGCCGTCCGTAGATGAAGCGATTCAAATTCCAACTTGTGGCGGTGTCGCATATATTGAACCGTGGGAATAATCACAAATGAACTTTAGCCTCCATCATTCTTCCGTACACTTGGAAATGAGACGAGCCCTCATTGAATTTGAACATAGAACTCTCAATTTATTCAAATCCAGTGAGGAGTGTTCTTCACGCACGTGATCGATCACTTGACGATTTGATGGTGATCGCCGATAGTTGCGGCTTCTAGCGCAACGTTATTTGCCTCTCTTCGTCCATCCTAGTTCATCATGGGTTCTGAAACTCGCCGTTAGCTCCTTTGATTCATTGCAGTCCAGAAGGAAAGCCAAGACTTGGAGCCCACACACTGCAGTGGACGCTTGGCCGATAAGCATCCTCTCGGGACCGCCTTGTCTACTCGAAACCGATGCAGAGTTGAGGAGTGTGGTCAGTAGTACCTGTCGCCATCTGAACTTGGCTCCATTGGCAACCTGCGCTGTTTCAAACGGATGCTCGCAATTCTGCCGTGGGGGATCCGTCGGCCCCGCTACCTTCCACCAAGTCCTGTCGCAACGAGCACTACGTTGTCCTGACTGGGATCACACCAGCGCATGCTCACGCGCCCGCCGTCGAGTTTCTCCCGATCACGTCCTGTTCCTCGTCCCACGCTCTCGCACTTCTCCGAACTCGCACTGGCCAGCCGTATCTCAGGAGTGACAGGTGGGATGGGGCGATCAGCACGCGCGGCGCACGACAGTTCTGATTATTTTGGGCTGATCTGGTGCACCCAATCCGAGTCGCGGCTGATTGAGTGCGTGTGAGGTATATGACGGGCTTCTGTCCGAGCTGGGGACACTCCCCTCCATTCCCCTACTTACTCACTCTTCTCTGCACCGACCTGATGGAAGCCTCGAAATTTGTTGTGGGAGATTTGTGAGTGGGGTTTCTCCGATTGCAGCGTCTGAACTCACGATGACAAAGGACCATTCCCTTGGTAATCACTCCACTGGATGGGTTATGGGGCGGGATATTCACCGTCTTCGCAGTTCGTCGGAACGATGCTGAACTGGGGATTACAAGGAACACTGGCTGTTCAAGTGTGTACGTAATGCCGTTCCATCATGCGTAATTCTTCCGCAGAAGCCACTTGACTGATCGAACCCACCCCAGACATCTACTTCGCCGCGTTCCCACGAGACAGTCGCGTGAACAAGCTGCTCGTCTCGCTCATTTTCCTCGTAGACACTGTGCAAACCGCGGGTGATACTCGGGGAACTTTGATATCGCTCGCGCGAGATTGGGGGAACCCAGTGGCGTTGGATACCGTCGGATGGGCGTGGTTCAGTGTCCCGGTGCTGGGATCGCTAAGTGCGTGGCTCGCGCGCCAACTTCTGAGAGCAGATACTGACGGCAATGGGCTTCAGTCGCCGCTGTTGGCCAGATATTCTTCGCCTATCGGATCCTCGTCATCAGCAACCGCAGCTGGGTCATGCCCATAATCATTTCTGCGATCGCGCTTGTGCAGACTAGCGCGGGTATCTGGACGGGGGTCCTGATCCAGCAGACGGGCCGATTTTCCCAGGCGCATTTCGACAAATTGAAGGCTCCTGTCGTACGTTGTTCAACTCCAATGCATCTGCTTCGGACGTATTGACCCAACTCGGCTCCAGGTTTGGCTGGGTGGAACAGCGCTCGCAGACGTCTTGATTGTGGTCTCCACTATCTACTATCTGCGTAAAGCTCAAGACCCAGGGTTCCATTCGAGTACTAAAGCGATTGTATCTCGGATTATCAAGGTCCGTAATCTCACCAACAATTACAGTGCTCTTCTCTGACAGTCACGGCTCCACAGGTCACAGTGGAAACAGGGCTGATCTGCGCCGTCTTGGCCATCATCATCCTGAGCCTCTACATCAAGTTCGACGGAAACAACTTCCACCTCGGCGCCTGCATGTGGCTGTCCAAAGCCTACTCCAACAGCATGATGGTCGTGAGTCGCAAGCGCAACCCTGCTTTTTGAAATGTGATGGACTGACTGGCCACCTTCCAAGATCCTCAACTCGCGCGCGGAAATCGGACACACGCGGCCGCAGGATGTGAGCTGGAAGATGTCCGACTCGATACAGCTTGCGTCGGGGTTGTCGGCCCGAACGAGCCAGAAGTCGCATAGTGCTCAGGTCGAGCGGAGCAGGACCAAGTATAACTCCGGCTTCGCTGTGCGGTCTGACACGACGCATGTTGACTCGCAGAGGGGCTCGCACGAAAAGGCCGCCGAATTTTCCGCCTGATATTCAGCACTTTATCCATTCGTTTTCTTATGATATTGTACTTGCTGTGCTGTTTGTATCCTGTTAATGCAGTGTATATGTTCCCAGTCTTGAAGATTGCATTTTTTGAATACTCATCAAGCCCCATCAGAGTCGAGGTACTGAAGTCGGAACAAACAATCGAAGAAAATCCTTGCAAGGCTGCGTGGACTTGACTTCGCGATGTTCACCAGTGGCACGCTTGTCCGCCATTGATGGCCCTCTCATCGCCTTTCTTTCGAAACGGGTAATCAGAGAGCAGTCACTGTTCCTCTTTAATGCAAATCCGACCCCGACGATATCAGAAGCTGAAAAAAATTCCATGCAGCCAAAAAGTTTAACTTCACCAGGGGAAAGCCCCTCGAATTCGCGAACAACACTTTTGAGTCTCAGATACCAAGTCCGAAGCGAGACTTCAGAATTTCTTACCCATCCAATTCAAATTTGGCAGGGAGATCCTGGAATCTGGCTGCTGCCATGGGCAAATTCGATATCACTTGATCTAATGGTTCAACGTGTGGTGGGTCCTCCAATCCATTCTCGAAGCAACTGATCTATTCGTAACGCGGAAACTACTGATGACAACAGTGGGTGCCAATCCGGTCAGATCCGATGGGCGGAATCCGATCGGGTGCGTCAAAGACGTAGTTTCTATCTCCTCTTCATAATGTCACCCAAGGCCACGAAACGCGTCGGTTTTGCTGATGTTCAAACGGTTGGTGCTTCTGTTCGCTTTGACTGACCAGCTAAACAGGTGCATCCCATCACATTTCACAGGTTGTGTTCCGGTATCCTTCTAGAAAAAAGCGTCTATAATTATCATCAAGTTGCAGACAGATCCTTGCACTGTCGACACAGAAAAGGCTGAAATGGTGAGCCTCAGAGCACATATTACGGGAATTTTTCGCGGCCCTGAATCAGTCAACTTCCCGGCGTTATATTAGCCACTGAGCTATTGATGGTCCAGCGCAATGATGGAACGGCTCTCAGAAGAGAAGTAAGTCTCGTCCGACCTCTGGGAATTTGAACATCGGATCACTACTCGAATGATCCGAGTCTGGAGTAAGAAGACCGTGTGGCTGTGACCCTTTTGCTGACCTCACGCTCGTTGCTCGTCTCCATCTTCCCATGTCGTCTTCTCGTTCAGCGTCCGCGCTCCCGTCCGGAAGCTCCCTCCCAGTAAACTCGGGCTCAGCTTCCAGTGGTGCCCCAGCCAGCTCGGCCCCAGCTAGCTCGGTCCCGGCGTCCTCCAGCCTCTCCATCGCCCAGAGCGCCGCCGCGGGCCTCGCAACAATCACTCAGCCGCCGCAGACCGCCACGTCGTTCTTCAAACTCGCACAAAATGAGATGATCACCTTCGGCTGGAACTACAGCTATGTCCTCGTCACACCGACCTTCCTCACCATCAGCGCCGTGGGCGACAACGGGAACACCTACCCCGTGGGTCCGGATCCGAGCGGTCGCGTTCCGGGTACCCAGCTTAGTGTAGTCTGGGACGTCTACTCGTACCAGCAGGTCCGTGGATCTCCTACCCCTGCTATCCTCGGGTCCCTGCTGATCGCGACTCTCGGCTAGGCGCACCCCAACACGCCGCTGGCGCAGGGGACGTACAACCTGCGGATGTGGGACGACCGTGGACCCACTGCTGTCCGGGCGCCAGGCTATTTGACCCCCAACACCGCCCTCTCGTTCGCGATCTACACGCCGAATCCGTATACCCCGCTTGCAAGTGGTGCGTTCCATTGTTGCCTCTGCTTCATGCCGCGATGACGCATGTGATTCGGCGTTAGGCTGGACCTGCCCGGGCTGCAACGGCGCACTTTCCAACCGCCCTGCGACCGCTGCCGTTTTCTTGACGTTCCTGGTCATGCTCGTTTCAGGATGGCGAGTGTTGAGTGGGATGAGGGCCCGTGCTTGATAAGCTCGATGTTTCCGTATCTAGACGCTTTCCACGGTCTCTTTCTTCCATCCACTCGTTACGACCACCTGCATTTACGATTCTTTGGTGCCTCATGCGGACACGGACATTACAAACAGAGCGCGGCATTTCGTATCCCATATTACTATGCATTCCCACTAATGGACCAGGACATTTGAATACGTGCGCGATGGTTCATCAGAAATAGTGCTTCGGCATATGCGATTGGAAGGATGTTGCGAGGTTCCACTGGTCCCACACGGAAATAGAGATGTACATCGTAGAAATGAATTTAGCGGTCAAAGAAGGCCCGCTGCATTGGTTGTGATTCCGCGTCCTTTTCCTCCTCTCCTGCTGGCTCTGCAGTAGACCTGATAATCGTTTCAGACGAGCTACCTTCCAGGATCTGCCGCGATACCGAGTTGACACTCGATCCCACGGCACGGAAGCTGCCGCCCACTCGGACTGGCCCAGGCACCCACCAGGTTGGCAGACTCGTGTTGCTGCTGCTGTTGGCCGCAGCGGCCTGAGATGGAGCTTCACTGGAGGGTTCCCTGGACAGAAGCCGCCGCGTGGCTTCCATCATGGCCCCATGGCGAGCCCCTGCACGTTGGAATGCTCGGCGCAGGTCCTCATCTCGCACAGCGTCTTCGGCAGCATTCGAAGCTCCGACAGAATGAGCCGACGCAGCCGAAGATGCTGATCTCTGAGCGGCCAATGTCCTTCTCTGAGACCCAGCAGGAGCATCGGCGGCGACCGTTGCGCCTGCTCTGGCGAGAGTAGCATCTGCCCAAGTATCGAAGGCGCGATCAGAGGCTTCAGCAACAGTAGCCCGAGATGCATGAGAAATAGATGCAGATGAATCAGGTGCCGGAAGAGTTTCAGTCGCCGGAGGGGGAGTGCGAAGGAGGAATGGTCGCCAGTATGCGGCGGGTTCGGTTCTGTGCATGTCGTCCTCGTCGCTCTCCGAGTCCAAGAGAAGGGGCATCGTGTCCCTCGGTGGTGGTGTCCTGGGAGGCGGGACTACCCGTCGTCGTCGGATGGATGGTGGCAATGTGATCGGCCCTGTCGAGCTCGTCGGCAGCGGAGGTGAGACAGCAGTCTTCAGAAACATGTAGTGAGCAGACCCCACACTGTAGACGCTCCCCTGACTCGGAGCAGTCACAGAAGATGGCCTAGAATGGCTGGCACAGGGCTTATACAGCGCTCCTAAAGGATTGCCGCTGTGAAGCGTTTAAGAACGAAGTCTGACTTAGCAGGACCTATACATACCAAATCGCGCACCCGACACCGGCATGGATACACCCGCAGGTCTCTTCACTGATCTGACACAACCGTCTGTCTTCAGCGGAGAAGTACTGCGAGTCCAAAGGTATGACAACATCTGCGTTAACTCCTTCCACGGAAGCCCTCCAACGACGATCTCCGAAGGCACGGGCGTGCACCCGTGCACCACATCCATTCGACCTCCTCGAGCGTTTACGGTCCGGGGAGATTGACCGCGAACGCGACGCCTGCGACGTCGTCGGCAGTGGGATGGGAAGGAAGGTGCCACTGTAGCGCCGCCGGTCCGAATCGTCTGCGAGCACTTCGACAGTGACCGGTCTGTCCTGATCTGCGCCACAGTATATAGGAACGAGAGGGATGGGCGGGGGAGGCGGTGGCGGCGGTGACCGTCGATTTCGGCGCTCTCGTGCTGCAGCCCGTCGAGCTGTATCATCGCGGGATCGGTCCGAACGCAGCATGGTGAGCAGGTCCAGCTGATATTGCTGAGACGACGACGACATCGGTGGATTCGGGTCGTGCTCGTTTGCGCCACCCTAAAGATAGGAATCCCTGGTCAGCCGCGGCCCTGGTCTTGTTGCTTCGACGAGAGCTGTGAGCCCTGTGACAGGCAGGATCACCAACGGAACAACTGTTAATGGTGCACGGCCACCAGCACGTTGCATGTCCCTGTCTATCACGACCAAGCAAAGCATAGGACACCGCCACCCGACTGGATCTCTCGTTCAGTCTTCCAATTATCAGCCGCACTTCAACTTTGTCTTTTCGCTAAGAATCCCGATGTACTTTCGATCAAAAACGTTCTTTGGGTCGATATTTTGGATCTCTAGTCCTTCGATGGATATCTCTCAATCAACCATTTCCTTCGGCGTGGGCTAAACCCTGTTCACGAAAGCATACGACGCAATACTCTTGGTGGCAAGGCGAATTTCTACGGATAATCTGTGCTACGATACACAGGTACATGTGCCAACTGGAGCGTCAGCTGCAGTCCATGGATAGCCAGGTCATGGAGATCGTCGATGGCCCATTGCTCAAGCTGATAAACCCTGCCGCAAAGGTCGATGTCTGCAGATTCCAATCGCACGGTCGGAACCCCATCGATCTCCATCGCCCACAGAGCCGATCGGGACTCGAGCATATCAATCATACTCTGTGGCTCGACATTCAGGGCTGTTTTGAGTGAGAGATGGCTCAGACAGGGAACGAGGCAGCTCGAGTCCGGATACATTGTCATGCGCTGGATCAGTTTGTTTCCGACAACCCGGTTCTGTATCGACCGAGAGGTCGCAATGTCTGCATCCAGACTCAACGTCTTCAGACGGGGCAGAGATTCGAGAACCTCGATCACTTTGGTCTCTAGCATGTAGCTAGTCCCGAGGGAGAGATTCTCGAGTTCCGGTGAGCCCCGCGCGAGGAAGTCCTGCACATCGGCCGGTTCCCACTGGCCAATGATCTCGAGCGTCTTGAGACGCGGAGCGGTGATACAAGAGAGGAACTTCTCCATAAGCAGATGAGGCGTCGGGACAGTTCGCATTGAATCTATCGCCAGTCGCAGGGACTCCAACCTGCGCATGTGGCAAGGGGTGATAATGAACAGAGGGTCCGGCGGGTCGCACAGTTGATTCAAGGAGCATTCGACAAGTTGAGGGCATAAATTCAACACACGCAGAGCATCCTGCGAGTTGTAGTGATGATAGTGGAAGCTGGTCAGCTGCTTCCAAGGGAGCTCCCAGAAATCCAGATGGTTCTGAAGGACGACCGCTGTAAGTTTGGGCACGGCTGCTGCCGCCAAGGAGAGCACTGGCGTTGTGGGGTTCTGCAAATTCACATTGCCAGACAGATGCTCGACTTCTATCCGTTCCAGAGCGGGAAAATCTAGCTCGTCCAACCCCAGGTCTCTCAGTTGGTGGAAACCCAACGCGGGATAGCCATGCGTTCCTGGAAGCCACAGTGTGCGCCAGCGAGACGAATGCTCCCCGATCCAACGGACTGCCTCCCGATGAAACGATTTGCGCATGCCAACATTCAGCGGCAATGGGGCAGAGCGGGAAGTGAAGAGGTTCAAAAAGTTCTTTGCGTGGCCCGCACTGAAACTTGATCCCCCCGCAGACCAAAGCCACACGTTTTGCCACAGCCGAGGTGTTCCCAAGACCACTGTACGCCAGTGATGGCACACCTGCCCCACGACCGGGATAACCGACTGGGTCGTGGGCTGGCAGGCGATGAAGATATCCTGGAGGATCTCAGGTGGCAGCCGGCGGACTGGGCTGAGGATACTGCTGCAGCAGTCCTGGAAGTATGCCAACTCCTGGCGCTTGAGTGTCAGGGTGTCAAGCAGTGCGCCCAGGCGTGCAATCTCATCGTCGTAGCGCTGGAATTGTTCGCCGACATCGATGACCGAAGATAGGATAGAGTCGGTCGAGGCATCGTCTGGAACATGGTTTTGTCGCAGTGCAGACGCGATTGTGTGCAACGGGTACTCGTGGTGTTTGAATTCGTCGTCGCAGTGGAGGCACAGGGGCAACGTCACTTGCGAGGTCGGCCTGAGATCCACTGATGGGGATGATGAGCAGCAACAGCTTCGCTGGTAAAGCTTACTTTTGTCTCGCAACTAGTACTTGAAGGAGCACAGGGATTCTAGCGAGTCAGAGTAAGGGCACGGCCTTCAACGTCAATTTATCATGACTCTCAATCCCGGGCCTATCAGATCCTGGTCTCTTTCACTAATCAGATCCGTCGACCATGTGGTTATTTGCAACTCTGCTATGAACCGCTCTCATCAAGAATTCGAGATGCCCGCTCTGAGCCGTCACGATGCATCGCCTATGAGCGGCTGCAGTTACATCGCCCAGCGCCAGTCATGAGCGGTTTGCCCACCACACGAGGACCACGACACCCCATCCCCTCGTCGCTTCCGTCGTCTTCAGTGTGAGACGAGCGTGATACGTTCGCGATGCTGCTTCCGCGGATACGTCTCCCCTGTCTCATGCTCGCAACTTGAAGGCGGAATCGATCATACCAGATCTTGTGTTCCACTTCGCCCCGAACCTCCACCATGCCCTCCTTCCTCGCTTTCACCGGTCTCCGCGTCAAACAAGCGACATCCTATGACGTCCAGGACGAGGTCACAGAACCATTCGTTATAGTCGACAAGCTTGTACGTCCGGGTCGCCTCACCCACCGTCAGACCCTCATTTTCGATTGTTTCAGGTCATCTCCGCGCCCTCGACGATCCCATTACCGAGATGGATGAACGCTGTGCCTCCTGGTCGTGCCTCACTCCGCCGTGCTCGTGACCAGCTTAACTGCCTGAGATTCCAAGCCGACCTGCCTGCAATCATCCCTGACCACCCGTACGAGCTGGGTTGCAACCGCGAGACAAATGGTCAGCGGAGCCTGATCTACCCTCCTGGACTCTTCGTTCCGAAACCACAACCTGCTGCTCGACGTCCCTCGCCTTTACGCTCAATCTTGTGTGCTGAAGCTGAGATTCATGAAGGGACGCAGGACAACTTGGAGACGGTCATCATCTCCCCAAGCGATAGCGCGAAATTGCTCTACGACTGCCCGGATCCCACTGGCACCTATGATGACTCTTTGATCCGCGCTGGATCGACACCCCCTGTTGATATCGACTGTCTTACAAAAACGGAACGCATTTTGCTTGCTCTCGCCGCTGCTAGTGGTGCCGATGCCGACTCGAGCTACGACGAACCATCCATCTACGACGACGAAGATCTGCCGCAAGCAGCTGAAGACGAGGAGAAGATCAAGAAACTGGCGGCCTCGTCAGAATCGCGCAAGCCTCTACGTCCGATGGATGCAATCAAGTTGAGAAAGCGGCTGCTGGCCTGTGGCACGCTCGCAAGCTCAAGTGCTCCATATCACTCACCCAGGCGCGTTGCAAGACGTTCAGCAGCTCATGAGAAGGAGAATGCTGAGGGCCCGAGAATATCATCACCGCGCAAACGAGCCATCAGATGATCGAAGCAGCATGCTGTAGTGTGAAGCTCTTGTAATATTTCTGCTCAATCGCTCTCTGCAACCAATCCTGGCCAGAATCGGCTGCTTATCGGGCCGTGGAGAGCTGAGTGATAGATCGTCAAACGCGTCGCGTGCATAACCAGTCGGGTATCTTTGTTTGCTCTTCATTCTTCCCTCTCTCTCCCGCACATATGATAGCTTCCACATGCGTGTCCTTCTATCAAACAGTGTGTCTCATTGGTCCCATCGCACGTCGTCAAGAGACACGGCATCCTCTATGCCATAAATTCCCGTGGATGTATCTGCTAAGGGCCACACCCCAATGGCGCGAATGGCATTCAGCAAAACTTGGGCCATCCTCGCTGTGGCTGCTACGGCAGCTGCAAAGGGCCCCACGGTTTTGCACGAGAGTAGGTCGGCTGTCCCCGCGGGCTTCGTCAGCCACGGCGCGGCGCCCCCTACCCAAGAACTGGACCTGCGCTTTGGTTTAGCGCCGAACAATGCCACTGGGCTCCAGGCCAAGTTGATGGAGCTCTCCACGCCCGGGAACGCAAATTTCAGGCAGTGGCTAACCAAGGAAGAGGTGAGTCAATCTACCAATCATTCGTGATGAATGCAGTCTCAGCTATTTGCCAGGTGAAGTCATACATGGAGCCTTCGGCAGCGACGGTGTCTGCTTTCAACACATTTGCTGCGTCAAATGGCTTGAAGACGACTGGGACCTCCCCCAACGGCGACTGGGTGTCCGTGACTCTCCCTGTCTCACAGGCCAACGAACTGTTCAACGCCAGCTTCGAGCTGTTCACGCACCCTGACCTGGACGTCAAGATTCCGCGCACGATGACTGTCTCCCTGCCGAGCGATATCGTCGGTGTGGTCGATGTGATACACCCTTCGACCTCGTTTGTCAAGCCCGTGGCTCGATTGGCCCGGGCGCCCATGAAAATCGGTGTTCCGAAAGAGAAGCGCGCTATCTCGGCCTCGTGTAATACTAATCTCGCGAGCAATTTCATGAACCCAGCGTGTCTGCAGGAGATCTATCAGCTCCCGACGACGGCTGCAACCGCAAAAAACAATTCGTTGCTAGTCACCGGTTATGCTGACCAGTATGCCGAGATCTCTGACTTGAGGGTAGGATTCGAGTTTGCGTGTTGGGCCATGTCCTTGCTGATGATAATGCAGACATTTTTAGCAAAGTTCCGACCGGATGTTGCCACCGGGTCAAACGCGACATTCGCGCTTGAGACAGTTGATGGAGGCGAGAACATTCAAGACCCGAACTTGGCTGGGGGCGAATCGAATTTAGATATCCAATACACTGTTGGTAAGTTGGTGAACAGGTCTCATCCTGGCTGACCTTGTGCTTATGCACAACCTAGGACTGGCTACCGGAGTTCCTGCCACGTTTTTGTCCGTTGGAGGCACCGATTTCGCGACCATGTTAATTGACACGACAACCTTTCTCGATGGTGTGAGCAACCCGCCGTGGGTGATGACCACATCGTACGGAGTTGCCGAGTCGACTTTCAGCAAATCCGTAGCAATGTGAGCGATCCAGGTGATCTGCTCAAAGGCTCGCTCATCCATCCACAGCCGAATCTGTAACGGTTTCATGGCGCTAGGAGCCCGAGGAATCTCCGTTGTCTTTGCCGCTGGAGATGTGCGTGTGTCGTATCGAAAGCGGACTGTCGGCTGATCTATGGCAGGGGGGTGTTCGGGGTGCTCATGACTCGAAGAAAGAGTGCAAAAACAATACATTCACGGCAGAGTTTCCCGCGGCGTGCCCGTTCCTGACGTCCGTCGGCTCAACGATCGGGCTCCCCGAAACGGCGGCCAACTTCACGAGTGGAGGGTTCTCGGATGTATTTCAGTCGCCAGCGTATCAGACAACCCAGGTCGCGTCTTTCCTCAAGACCGTTCCGTCCGATTTCAAGGGCATCTTCAACCGCACGGGGCGTGGCTTCCCTGACGTGGCCGTCCAAGGCTATAACTTCGAGCTCATCATCAGTGGCGCACTGGAGTCGATCAGCGGGAGCAGCGCCTCGTCGCCCACGTTTGCCGCGATCGTCGCGCTTGTCAACGACCGGCTGTTGGCCGCTGGGAAGCCCGTTCTCGGATTTCTCAATCCGTTCCTGTATGCCAACCCACAGATGTTCACTGACATCGACACCGGGCGCAACACGGGCGATGTCTGTCCTCCCTCCTCGGTCGCGTTTGAAGCCACAAAGGGCTGGGATCCGTTGAGTATGTCGTGGTGGCTTTCAGAAGCATCCAGCTCACGTGATTGCAGCTGGCATGGGCACACCCATCTTCCCCAAACTTCTAGCGGCTGCGATGGGATGAAGAATCCCCTCCGCAATATGGTCTGGGAGCCAATAGACTACGACCTCGAACACAGCCTGTTCATAATCCATACACGAACATGCTAAATGTGTCACACCACATCTTACACTGTCTTGGCTAGGGATCCATGACCAAACTCCGTCGACGCGCAATCGGGTTCTGTGGCCTGAGAATCCCTCGTAGCTTTCGAGTGGGATTGCGGCCTCCACGAGCCTTGTGAGTTGAGATTGACACTGAGCGAGACCGCGTGGGCGGATGTGTCTTCGCGGTGAAGCGAGAGTCGAGCGCGCGAATTGAGGATCTTACAAAGACGTCAACATGTGCCGAAGAGCCGAAGGCGAACCGAGCACTCACAAGCAGAATGCTGTTGGAATACACCTTCGACAGGCCCATGCACACACCTAGATGAAAGCTCTCCCCAGGAAAGGAGATGAAGAGACTCAGATCGATTAACGCCAATCCCGCACAGATAAACCCCATAAGCGCAGTAACCTTGATGACACGTCCAAGCATGTGCTCCGTCGCTTGTGTGAAGCCCGGTGTGCGCGCTTTCAGGAGATAGTAGCAGGTCCCGGCAACGATGATGATATCGTTCACGGCTGTCGAGGCCAGCCACGCGACCGGAACTTTGAAGAAGTTGAACTGCAGGTTGGAGAACCTCCCGCGTTGGCTGATTTGCACACCAGTCCCGATGCCGGCACCGCATTGGACGACGGCGAGCTGTTCTCGATGCGTGAGGAGCGACGTCAGAGGCAGGGAAGGCATAGAGACCGACCAAGGCGATGAGACCCGGTAGCAGGTAGCTCGCGAGAAGATCGATATCCTGTATGCAAAAAAGGTCTGACCAGCAGCCGCAACTATCTGAGGCTCAGCGCACGCCGATGGCTTTATCCAGCTAACGCACCCATTGATCCTAGTACAGGCACGCTGAACCACACCCATCCCACTTGATCCAGGACGTCCATATTCCCCCATCCAGTGCCGAATATCCGCACTTTGTCCCGGATGTCGCCAGTCGTCTGCAGCAGTTCGATCACGAGCACACCAAAGACGAGCGCTTTTTCGCGCGGCCGGTCGCGGGGAAACGCCAGAGTATAGATGTCTGGCAGAAATCCATCGTGAGAAGACTGGGGGAGAGAACAACGAGCTGATGAGACTCACAAACTTGCACAAGGAGGACGCCGAATAGGATGACGTTCACCAGGGTCCCTACGAAGAGTGGGATCGTCCTGGAGGCACCGTTAGTCAATAACTGCTGCAGTGCAGCGAATGCACACACCCGTTCCCGATATTTGACAAAGCACTCGTCGCAGGCATAGTTCGCCAGAACACAGATCAGAGAAGCAGAGGAGATTGATACAAAGAGTTGAGAGAACTCGCTCTAGGGAAAAGCCGCAGGAAGAGCGAGATTTCTAGTCTTCATTATGTGGAGCGCGACCAGTACAAGTATAGACGCGCTTCCGTGTTCCAAGGGGTGATGAAAAGCAATGGTGGAGACTAGGAGATGGCAATTGCCTGGAGGGCCGAGGGAAAGTGGATCCCGTCAGATTCCTTAGTCCCCAGCTGGATCTTCCCGCGGAATCGAGGCCCGTTGAAGCGATGGCGCGCGCTGCACGAGTATGATCGACGACATGCAGTGGTGATCACCACGATGATACGGCCCAGGCGACGGAAAGATGAGCGCAGATAGACCACACCCGCGTTTGGCTTGCCAAGGAAACAGAAGTGGTTGTCTTTCGACCTCACCGTAACGGCTCGTGACGGTCGCGAGAGACTGGCACTGTGGATGGATACAAGTGGCAGTGTATCACGTGTGGATCTTCCGCTCCATCAAGCCACAACTGGTCCGACTCCACTGAGCCTTGAGGATGACCAGACTGAATTCTTCCAATATGAGAGCATCAGACGATATCGCGGATGACAACTTAAAAATGGTTTTTCCGAGAACCGCGGCGAGCAGGAGTTAAGGGTGACGATCAATCACACTTGGTTTCACGGCGCCAGGCGGATGGGAGCCTTACTTATTGGTATGAACTACATGTCTGTTGACTGTCTGGTTTCAAAACCGGTATCGGCGCCACCGCCAGTCTTGAGGCCTGTCAGTCTGAAGTTTAAGCCCGACACCTCACTTGGTGCCTCGTCACGACGGAGCGAGATTCGAGCGCGCGAATTCAGGATCTGGTCAGAAAATGGGACACGTGAGCGACGGAATGCTTGTCAAGTCGCAAAGGAAACCACGCACAACCAGGATGCTATTCGAGTACACTTTGGACAAACCCATGCAGAGGCCCAAATGGAAGCTGGCCTGGGGAAACACGGCAAAAATGGTTAGATCCGCCAATGCCAGGACTGCACAGACAAGGCCAGTGATGGTGGTTACTTTCATGACGCGCGAGAGCATGTTTTCCGTGGCGCGCGAGAAGCCCGGCGCGCGTGCTTTGAGCAGACAGTAGCACGTCCCGACAACGATAACGATATCGTTCGCGGCGGTCAGGATAAGCCACGCAGCAGGTGCTTTGAAGAAGTTGAATTGGAGGTTGGAGAATGTGCCCCGCTCGTCGATGATCACACCAGTCCAGATACCAGCACCACATTGAGCCAGAGACATCTATTGAGTAGATGAGAGAGGTGCTCTGGTCGAGAGACACTTTACATACAAGTGTGATGAATGCAGGGAGATACCAGCTCTTCCCAATGATATATATTCTGTACGCAAAGAAGGTCTGACCGACCGCCGCGACTGTCCAAGATTTCTTAGTCTGAAGCTTGAAGCTGTAACAGAAAGCGCACCGATAGAACCAAGAAGGGGCACATTGAACCACACCATCCCAACCTTATTCAGTTCGCTAGGGTCTCCCCATCCGTGTCCGAATACCCTGCTCTTGTCTTTGATGTTGCTAATTGTCTGAACGATTTCGACTGCAAGGATGGCCCACACCAGCGCTTTGTCCCGCCGTCGGTCATGGGGAAAGGCCAGAAAGTAGATGCCTGTGCTCTGATGAGTCTCTTGAATATGGCCCAAAGAAAAACGCACATATTTGTACAAGGAGGACGCCAAAGAGCGTGCAGTTGAAAAGCGTGCCGACGTACAGAGGGATCGTCCTGAAAGAGCATCAGTTGCAGCCCCATAGACTCAAGGGCAGCACCCACTCATTTCCAATATCCCGAAGGAAGTTTGCCGAGTCGGACATCGAACGCACAGGTCAGGATAGAGCAGTTATCACAACGAAGCAACTCATGAGTGCTATAAAGTCCTCGGAGAACAGCTCACAGACTACAAGTTCCAAGGGGTGATGAACAAATACGCGTTGCAATGTAGCGGTGACTCCCAGGAGTCCCAGATGGCGATGAACTCAGATCGAAGAACCAGCAGGTATCGGATCGGCATCAAGCACTTAGACTATATATGTGGAAGGATCCAACAGCAATGATGATAATCATACAGAGGGCTTAAGAAAACAGTGCTGTGGGGAAGAGTAGTTGGATGGGGATGAGATCGTTGGTTTCCGCGGAAGATCCCTCTTAACTTCAACCTTGATGTGCGCCTCCTGATTACCCGTAATTTCGGCGCCAAGACGTTTCAAACGCTCGGAGGAGTATAGGGACAGAGGCTAGCTGGAACGAGGAAACAATAGCTAAATGAAGAGGTAAGCGTAGACAATCAAGGTTGAGTGAAGAAGTGCAAGATATCGTGAAATTGGATTGCGTATTGCGCGACCACCGTGATGACTGATCGAGATTCCCAGCACGCTCACTTTCAGTTCCAATCCGCAAGGCGCTGTACGCAATTATGAGCGTAAACACAAAGACGCTGGATCATATCGTACACCTCTCACCACCAGGGACCGTCCATGAAAACGCAGCCCAGTGGCGCGAACTGGGCTTCAAGTACGACACAAACGGCTTTCTGCTACTCTCTGTCTGATCATATTATCCCCCTCCATCATGCAGCGTCATCGAGGGAGGTGTTCACGCGGACGGTCTGACCGAAAACACGCTCGTGGTATGCCTTACACTTGCCCCGCATCCCCCGCTTGAAGTGCAAGCCCCGTTGCACAGATACTGAGCGATCACATCTACTTCGAGCTGATCGCATTCACCAAGCCCGTCGACGCCTATCCGCCTGGGTCCCCGATCCGAAAGGCGCGTGAAGAGCACAAATGGGCCTCCTGCCCACCAGGGTGGATAGACTACGCCTTCCTGGGCAACGGGTCGCTCGTCCCGCCGGGACGTATCTCGGATGTGATCAACAGCAGGGCAGGGGGAGAGAAGCTGTATGTGGATGAGGTTCCCGGAGGTCGCACGCGGCCAGACGGACAGGTGCTCAAATGGGTGATCAGCTCGGCTGCGAAGAAGGCGAGCTTGCTTCCGTTCTTTTGCGGCGATGTCACAGACAGAGCACTGAGAGTGAGTCTTCAATTGCTGAGGAAGAACCTCGAGAAATTTTCTTGACTCACTGCTCAAGGTACCTACCAAACCGGAGAGCAATACGCAGCAGCCATGTGGGGCACAAGGAATTGCCCATATTCTGTTGCTCACCGACTCCGAGCCCGGGTTCTGGCAGGCACTGAAAGAGATCAGCGCGGTAGTTGACTCCCAGCCGCAAACAGGCCATGCGACGAAGGCGACATGGACGCTGGCAAACCCTTCCGCGCAAGGCAAGAGAGCGCCGAGTCTGATCCTGGCGGTGGCTCGAGGTGTTGAGCAAGAGTCTTTTGTTGCTGGTAGCTCGGCTCCACAGCTGTCCGAGGTTGGGCTTTGGGTGGCGGAGGGCGAGAAGGCTGGGACCATCTGGCCGCCCTACGCGAGGATAGTCTTGGTACCTCAGTGAAATCGAGTTTCATATTCGGTAATACTGTGTTGGTGATACGATTATACGCATAGTCATGTAGAATGTAAGTGTATACTTTTCAATCCAGGCTATTACACGACGAGAAAAGCCCGGTATCTGATCTTGCCTTCCTTCAGCCGAGACATGCCCTCCTCAACACCTTGCTTCGTCATCGGGGATTTCTCGATCATCGGCTCGATTTGGTTGCGTGCGGCGAAATCGACCATGCGGCGGTGGACTGAGCGGGCAGCGATGGTCAAGCCCTGGATGTTGATTCCGCCCAAGACGAGGGGAAGACTGGGGATGGAAAAGTTGTCCTGGCTGACCGTAAGTGGGTAGATCGTGCCTTTCCGCTTTATCACAACCAGGTAGGGAGCCCCAGGATGGGATGAAGCTAGTCGTCACGATCAAGTGGTCCAGCGGCCGCATGTTCTTGAATTGGGTCAGAGCCTGGGTCCCGTGGAATTCCGACGCCCCCAACCGCGCTGCCTCCTCTCGTTTCGACCCCGAGCTTGAGAAAATCACAACCTCCGCACCCATCTTCGCGGCGAACATGACCGCCAAGTGTCCCAGCCCGCCGATAAGTGTCCCAGCCCGCCGATCCCGACGACGCCGAGACGCTGCGTGGGCCGGATGTTGTAGCTCTCGATCACCTCGAACACACTCGCGCCGCCGCACATCAGGGGGCAGCGTGCTCTGGGGCAAGATTTGCTGGGATCTGGAAGAGGGACGGCTACTCCCAGACAGCGTGCGTGCCGAGCGAGCCCTGGTCGAAGCTGTGCATGCCGTACATCTCGTGGTCCGTGCAGTACTGGTCCTGTCCTGGAAGCGCATCAGGCGAGAGTCAGAGAGGGCTCGCAGAAAGCGGACTAACCGTGGAGACAGCGCTCGCATTTGCCGCATGTCTTGTGGACTGTATCCCTATCCGACGACATCGCCAATGCGCAGCGCAGACACGTCAGAGCCAATTTGCTCGACGACACCGACTCCTTCGTGCTCCAACGCCATGTCTGCGTGCTTGTAGTGCTCGTCGGTGCCGCAGATGCCGGAATGCGTGATGCTGACCAGGACCTGGACCCCGGTTGGCTTGAGTCGAGAGCTCGTTGCTTCAACGATGCCATCGGCTTTCGAGTCCTTGAGGACGGTGAATTCGACGTTCATGCTAGTGGTGAAAGTGGTAGCAGTGGTGGTGGTTTTGGTACTTGTAGAGAAGGATGTTGCTGCTCGTCTTGTAACCGTTGGTCCATTTTAAGTTCCACCTCCAAGACAGACCGACTTAGCAAGCTAATCCGTGGACTTGTTCATTGCTGAAAGAACAATTCCAGATGTCATCGGTCACCGGCCCCTCACAGCGATCCCGGATGCCGCTGCAGTGAGCTCGATAAGTGAATTGGCAAGCCCAGAAATCTTCTTAGTGATGCAGCCTGGCAGCGTTAGACGACTCGTTATTTCAGCAGAGGGGCTGAGCATTTGAGAACTGACTGCAGTTTCCCCAAGCCAAAGAAGCCAGAATCAGAAGGACATCTCAGGGAATGAGAGCTAAATGTGGTCCACATCAGAGAAAGTTGGACTGATTTCCCACGACTCGGTCAACTCCATTAGGCTCTCGTACTTGGTCGCAATCAACTAGCATCATCTCTTCCCGCCCAATACATGCATGAATAGTAAACGCCAGGCTCTGTGGCTAATCAAATGATCCACATAGAAGGCTCACCCTAGGTTTTCTAGCTCTCCAAACAACTCGGTGGGCCCAAATGGCAAAATTTCTAGCGTTTCGTCGACCGGCGACGCTCTACCGAAGTCGACTGAAGGACGTTCTGAATCTTCTCCGGCACTTCAAAACAAATCAGTCTACCGGTTTACGATATCGTCACGTTCCCCCAACCTGACGTCCGTTTTTGAAACACCAGAGCTCCTTGAATGCTTTCCATCCCTTCGACTGCGCTCAAACCTCGCACGTCCGCTTTCTGAAACCTCTTAACTCGTCTCCCATCCGAAACCATAGTGCTGGCATGTTCGATCACCCTTGGTGACATCCTACTCATCGCCATCGCCGTCGTTGTCCTCATGGATCCCTCCACCCTCTTTCTTGGCACCATCATCACGCTCGTCATTCGAGCCCATCTCTGTTGTGTCTTCGAGCCCCCTTCGTTCGTCCTCCGGCATGGCTTGAAACTTGGAATGCCAGCAGCTTTTCTTTCCTTTGTACTGTCCCGACGGACCGAGGGCGTCGGTTCTCTTCTTACGCGGCGAATATACACGCGGAGAAGACCTGGATTGGGCTGCCTCAGCGGAATTGATGACGAATGTTGCTAAGAGGGCTATACTGGGCTTTCGGCCAGTACAGGGGTCATCAAAAACGGGCTATCCGAAGCTTGGAAGGCACTCCACACCCCTGGGACTACGCTTTCCGTGGGCGACGCGGTCCTGCTAGGGCTGAAGATTCCGTGCGTTTTTGATCCCAGTGTCAACACTGTGTCCCGCCAAACCCGCTGTCGCCTCAGGATTTCTGGTCTCTGATCGCTCTGAGGCGTATGGCTAGGCTGTGCTATCTGGTACTCAAGCAATATGCTCTCGAACAGCGCGCCTATGGGGACTGAGTACTGACCATTCGTCGATCTTGGATGAGAAACGAATGTCTGGACTTCCCAATACTACGATATGCACCAGTGGACGCTTTCATATCCTCGATGACATGCCAGTTTCGCGCTCTCGCAGCTCCCCGTGATTGCTTCTCTTTACGGGGGAGAAAATCAGGTCTGACGAGCTGGCACTGCCAGCACTGCGACGGCTTCCCCTCATGGAACCTCCGGCTCGGTTCTGACTCTTTTTCTGTGAAACACGCTTGCCTTTCTGGATTACGTATACACTGGAAGGGCTCGTCAAGGAACGTCACATCGCCTGCACACCGCTATGATCTCCTAGCTTGTTAACCCGAACATCTGTGGAACCCTCAACCCAGCTCCCGCCCACGTTCAGGCACCACAGCCGCAGGGTCGTTTCTCACCTTTCTCTGTGTCAGCTCTGAGTCGATGCCAGTCGAAGTCCGAGCTCGTGGCGTTCCAAGACGAGCGGCTTGGAATCAGAGAGTGTCTCAATGCTGCCGCAGACAAACACCAATCGCAGTTGAGCGCACTGGATCACTCTGAAAATACGTATGACCAGCCAAGTCAGGGCCAGCCACCTATTCTCGGCGGCCGGGACAGCCTGTGTGAGTGCTCGAAGGTTGATGCAACAGCACAGAGTGCGCAGACACTGATAATCATCACTTTTTCCTAGTCCAAAGAGCTCGCCCCTTCTGGACGCTTGTCACCAGGCGTGCTCATGCTCTCTCGATCTATACATCCCCTTCCTCGACCGCTGCTCTGCCAGCCGCACTGGAACCTCACGGTTTTCTCAGCGATGTGTCAATCTGAGACAGACCCTCGGGCCTGCCCCAATAGCTCTACGATACGGACCACCCCGTATCGGGTCTGGTTCCAAATTGGGATCCTCGGTTCACGCGCTTCCTCACATCCCACATTCGAATTCCGATACACAAAGTACAACCTCACGAACGTGCCAGAGCCGCCACACGATCCGCAGTTATGCTACAGTCCCTCTGTCGACGAGAATCAGGACCGCGGGTCGATAACCACCCAATCCTTGCACGTACGACAATCAATCTTGCACGCAGACAGGCTCTCGCACTCGGCGGCATTCGGGAACAGGGCGCAGCACGAGCGACAGAACTCCGCGCAGCCCTGTTGACGGTCGGTCAGCGCATGTAGAAATGAGGTCAAGGGTAGACCGCACTGACCACTGCATCGCCATGCCCAAGGCAGGAACGGTCCGGCGGTGTAGTCTGGGCTTGCACGTCAAGCATGACGAGGGCCGCGAGGACAGAGAACAGGGCGGTGAAGCGCATGGTTTCGACAGACAACAGTGCGTCGTCTCACCCCCCTGGCAGGTTCTTTTATATAGTAGTACCGCTGCTACATTCAAGTTTAGAACCCAAGTCAGCTGAGCAGCATTCATCCTTTCATCCTTTCAAAGAGCAGATAGCGTGGCCAAGTGAGAAACATAGAAAGTGTGTAGTAGATTCATTCCCGCACGATGGCGAATACGTTAGACAGGATACATGCGATGCGGCGTACGGAAACATTGAGCGTAAAGAACAACAGAAACATGGACAGAGGGATAATAGAACATGAAACAACCGGCGGCAGCGATTAGAGCTCGTCGTCAGTGATATCCTCACCACGCTTCTTCCGTGCCATCCGCTCCTTCTTGAGCTGCACAAAAAGATATCAGCATCCGCACAGTAGCAGAATGGACAGGGACAACGACGCACCTTCCTAGCCTCGGACGCGCTGATCTTCTTGACCTTCTTGACCTCGATCTTGTTACCCATCGCATCGTACTGGACCTCCTCATCGCCATCAGCCTTGTCGATACGGGGTCCAGAGCCCTGGCCCTCAACCCAGTTGTGGCCAGATGCCTCCAGACGCCCGTCACGCATGGCCCAGACTTCAGAACAGATCGACTCGGAGAAGTCCCGGTTGTGCGTGATGATCAGGACACCACCCTCGAAGACCTTGAGCGCCTCGATAAGGGCAGCGAGCGATTCACGATCAAGGTAGTCTAATGACCGATATCAGCAAACAATCAAAGACCCGTGAAACCCGAGTAGACACGTACTGGTAGGCTCATCGAGACAGATGACGTGGGGACGACGCCATGTAGCAGCGCCGAGCACGATCTTGACCTTCTGACCACCGGACAGACCACGCATCGTGTTGTGCGAGACGAACTCCGGCTCCAGACCAAAGTCAGCAAAGTGCTTCTCGATCTCGCGACGGACGAGCGGTCGCAGCAATCCAAGACGCTGTGCCTCACGGGTGTCGACCTCAAGCACTTTCTATTCATGCTATCAGTATCAAGCCAAACCAGCTTGCATGAAGAAAGCCCACCTTCTCGAAACCACGCTTGATAAGCTCATCACGGGGAAGCCAGATGTTCTCGGAGGAGGACATGCCCTTAAGTGTGACCTCGTACTCGTACGACTGCTTGAGCTTCTTGCGGGCAACGATCTCGTCGATCAGGCGCTTGTTGCCCTCGATGACGATGGCAGATCCGTCCTTCATCTTCTGCGCCTCCTCCTCGGAGATGATACGGTTGGCCTTGGTCATCTCCTCCAAATCTTCACCGGTCTGGTAACGCCACAACATGTACTCGAGCGCGGTCTTGTCCAGGTGGTGATCGATGTGGTGGAACGCGTGCTGGGCGACGTAGCCGATGACCAAGTTCGGGTGCTTCCAGATCTCGCCACCCTTGTTGGCCTCCATGTCACCGATCAGCAGCTTCACGAGCGTACTCTTGCCGGAACCGTTCGGGCCGAGCACAGCGACACGCGAGGAGAGCGAGACCTGCAGCGAGATGTCGAACAACTGCTGCACCTGCTGCGTCGGGTACTGGAAGCCGACTTTCCGCATCTTGAGCAGCGACTTCTCCTTGGTCTTGACACCCTCCAAGAGAGGAGGATCCGGGAGCTTGAAGCGGTAGTCCTCGGCGGCCTGCAGTGTGTAGTACGACTTGGCCTCCGGCACCGTGGCGACGAACTTCTCCAGGTTGCCGCGATACCTCCTGAGCTTGAAGCGGTTCAGGTGCAGGACGTCGGTGATGGTGTTGTTGAGGAAGCTGGAGTCGTGCGAGACGATGACTAACAACCGCATCAATGAGTCTCTGAATCCTGCATGAGCTAAGAAGAATACACACTGGAAGTGCAGGTCTTGAGACCAGTGAGGTAGTTCTCGAGCCATGCGACGTTGATGACATCCAAGTGGTTAGTCGGCTCGTCGAGCAGCAGGATGTCGGCACGGAAGAGAATGGCACGGGCAAGCGCGAGCTTCATCTTCCATCCACCAGACAGACTGCCAATAGCGTGCTGTTGACGAGCGTCGTTGAAGCCGACAGAGGCGAGACTGTCAATGACCTCCTCCTTAGTGGCGAGGATACGCTTGTCAGACAGGATGAACTCGAGGACAGAGGTGTCTTCCTCGCTGCCATCGATATCATGCTCGACGTAGAATGTGCGGACCTCGTCGGGGGAGGGGAAACCCTCGACTTGGCTTGGGGCAAGTCAGATACTGGGCATGAAATTCGAAGCGAATGAACGCACCCATTCGTGATAGCACGCATGAGCGTCGACTTTCCGGTTCCGTTCTTACCACACAGACCGTAACGGTGTCCACGCTTGAGGCGGAGGGTGGCGGTGTTGAGCAAGATCTTGGCTCCGTAGGCGAGCGAGAACTGGCAGTTACACAGGTCCTCGCCCTCCTCCTCATCGTCTTCGACGGCACCATCGTCCTCACCCTCGACAGCGGACTTGACGACCCACTCACGTGCGACCGTGATGGCATCCGGAGTGGTGGTGACCGCAGCCAAGTACGGTGCGAGCAGGTCCCACTCAGGGACATCGAAGTTGCGCTGGTTGACGAGGTTGGAAGCGAGCGTAGCAGCGTAGACAGCCGAGACGTCCTTGAGGTCGATTGTGCCGTTGAGCTTCTTGTAGATGGCACCGAGAGATGCGCCGAGACCAGCGGCATCAGCGACCTTCAAAGGAGGCAAGTCCGAACCGTCGCTGGCAGCAGGGACCTCTCCGACCTGGCGAAGGGTCGCGATGGCCTTGTTGACGACACCCCGGGCTTCAGGGTCACCGATGGTTGTCTCGACCTTCAGCAGACCCGGAAGCAGCTTGGGAATGAAAGGTCGGACAGTGACGGCCGAGTCGACAAGCTTGGCCATGTTGTCAATGATGCTGGAAGCATCTTGTCAGCACGCATGATGCCAAAAGAAGATTGCGCACTCACACAGCGACCTTCCGCTTGGTGGCGGTAAGCTTCTCGGTCAGACCCCGAGACAGCAGAGGAACCATGAGGGAGAGAGTCGGGGAATCTACTTCAGAAACGAAAGTGGTAGCCGAGAGGAGGGCGATGGTGTTCGGAACCTCCTCGACGGGATTAATCAAAGCGTTGATAAGCGCCGGAATAAAGCGTTCAATGTCCTTGTTGGAAATGAGAGCCGTAGTCTTCGTGAGCGAATCACGGGCGGCTTTCTTCACGTCGGTCTTGGTGTCCCAGATGGCCTCAGAAAGGACAGGCACGATCTCGGGCGTCAGCTTAGCCATCTGCGTCGGTGCGCTGGTGACGAGCTGGTTCAGGACGACCAGTGAACCGGTCTTGATCTGCCACTTGCCGGCGGTTTTGATTTCGTGAAGAAGAGCGGGGAGAACGTTGGGCGAGGCCCATGGGTTCATGGCAGCGACGTACTCGCGGACAGCCTCGACAGCCGCTGTCCGGGCAGCGGGCAACTTGTCGGCGAAGCCCTCAATGAGTGCGGCGTACAACCCAGAGCTGATGAAAGTGGGCTCGAGGGCCTTGACGCCGCCTTCCTTGGCGAGCGTCTTGACGGCGTCTGCGGCACCCTCGCGGGCAGCGGGAGACTTTTTGTCGCCGAGAGCCTTGATGATGGCATCCGTGACGCCAGTGAGGGCGGAGGGACCCTGCTTTTGGGCGAGCGCAGCAAGCGAGGCGGCCGATGCGTCACGGCTGGCTTTGTCGGCACCAAAAAGGCTCTGGACGTCGAAGTCCTTGAGGGAAGCGGGAGCGGGGGTAGCAGCGGGCATTTCTAGATTCTTTGTGGCCATCGTAAGTAGGTCTACAGGCCTCTATTTGGATACAAACCTTGAGAGTGGGAAATGCGTTAAGAGGTGATCTCTGGTGATTGCGGACAAGGCTAACAGGACAAAGAACGCTCTATGGGCGATATCTAGGTTGGCTGAAAAGCCTACAGAGACGATCAGCAACGATCTTGCTGGGTTTTATAGGACGCACCTCTACGGCAGAATGGGGGGAAGAAGAGAAAGTAGAGATTACTGATCAGCAGCGTCGTTTTTTCAAGCTCCGCAAACACGGGCACACAGCACAGCCGCAATCCGGGTCAGCTGTTGCCTTTACAGGTTTTCTGGGAAGAGCCCAAGATCCCGGCCGTCGATTCTCTCGTAGTCGTGGCTAGCACGATTTTCAACCGCCTATCCTGCCCAATCTCAGTCTTGCGTTTGGCTGCATCCTTGCCCTCATTTCGCGTGTTTTCTGTGACTTCTATGGATCGCATCTGAAAAACCCCAGTCCAGTCGAGTCGGGAACGGTCCCCCGCGATCGCCAGACTCGTGACCCAAGCCCTCCGTTGCTCGGAAGCGTCGCCGCAAGTGACTCAATCACCATTCAGTTGCGGCTGTATGTACCGCAACACGTCCCGGCCAAGCCAATCACTCATGTTTCTCGTTCTTTCCCAAGCTCGTGCTGGACACGTTGCTGCACCATCGATGCACGACCTTGTGAGGCCTGAGCCTTGGTCGCTTCGTCGCCTCGCTGCACTATTTCCGGCCTCACTGCCCTGTTCCCGGCTTCGGTGCTTCGCTCCCAAGCACTCAATCGATCCATTCAGACCGTCGATCGAGTTCTCCAGGGGTTACCGCCCCGATCTGACATCTCTGACGATGGTAACCAGCAGCAATCTTGTTCCCAGTGTCGTAAAACCGGCCATGTCTGTGCGTGAATGAGGGTGCCCACGACTGCCTACTGCAGCCCTCGGCGTTAAACTCGCTTGCTCCCTGCCCATGCGGATTACACCAGTTGGGTGACTGTCCGAGCGCAGTGGATGTGCATGTTAGAGAGACCCTGGACCGAGTGTCCGAGCCCCCGATCCGCGCGACATGTGAATGACAGCGCAAATAGTGTGGGGTAACCAGTCCGGCGATTTGAACATCCGGGGTAGACGGACCTGCATCAGCGTGTCCTTCACACACCTTGTAGATCATCATGTATCACCATATATCACATCTCCGCCATCGTAACATGACGCACACAAATATTTCATCCTGCACCCAATCGATAGCTCCTCCCCAGCGCACCAAAGCGAAAGGCGCCCGCACCGCCACACGTCGGCTGCTTGAAGTCACCGACGCGCGTCAAAAGGTTAATCCCGGCGCCCATCCCCACACGTCATGCCATCACCGCGAGGCCCGACCTCTCATCTTCTCTGATGCTTTCACTCGTTCTTTTCCTCGCGTGTCAGGAGACTGCCCCACATTTGGGTTTCCGGGTCAGCGACAGCTCCACTCAGCCTCCACCGTGCCAGAGTCGGGTGACGCCCCCCGGGACAGGCGCGCGGTCTTCTTAAATTTATAAGAGCGAGACGTGCCGGCAGCCACGGTTCTCCCCCTTCTCGCCCCCCATTTCCCCCCGATGGACCACACAGCGCTGCAAGCGACCAACGCGGCCCGTCGCGCCGAGCTCGCCGGCCCATCGGGCCTCCTTGGACTGTACCACAACCCGCGGCTGCTCCGGCTCGCGATGACCACCACCTTGGGCGCCCTCTGCTACGGTCAGCGCGGCCCGCCGCCGGGGAACTCGTGCCCTCATCTGACACATCCCTCGTCTGCAGGCTACGAGCAGGGCGCGTATTCGCAGGTCCTCGTGATGGATGCGTTCACCAGCAACCCCAAGTTCGCCCGGATCGCACACGACTCGTCGTTCAAGGGGTGGAGCGTCTCGTGCGTCCGTCGCTCGCACAGGACAGAGCTTCTCGTTCACACGCACTTACAGCACACTGGGGCTTGGCGGTTGGGCCGGTGCACTTTCGAATGTACGCAGCAGCAGCTGATCCAGTCCCCATTGCGCAAGTCTGACACGGACATGAAGGGTTATCTATGCGACAGACTGTCTCGCCGGTGGACTCTGCTCGTCGGCGCGTTTATATGTTTGTTGGGTACCGCATTGACCACCGGCGCGCAAAATGTCGCTTGGATGGTAATTCAACTCATCGTTCTCGAATCCACGCATATCTTCAACTCCCCACAGTTCGTCGGCAGATTCTTTATTGGCTGGGCGGTCGGCAGTCTATCGGCAGTGGTACCCTTGTACGCGATGCTTTACCGCGCCCTCGAGGCCATAGTCTCACACTCGCCAGGTACAACTCTGAGATCTCCCCTCCTGAGCTCCGCGGCACGCTCGTCTCAATCCAACAGCTGGCCATCGTTTCCGGTATTTGCATCTCATTCTGGTGACCCTCATCTCTACCTTTCCAAAGCCGCAGATAGCTTATCCAACAACCAGGGTCGGCTACGGGACCAACTTCATCTCAGCCTCCAATTCCGTCTCATGGCGGCTCTGCCTCGCCGGCCAAGGCATCCCCGCCCTCCTCCTCGCCGGTCTGACGCTCACATTGCCGTACACGCCGCGGTGGCTAGTCCGCAAGGGGCGCCACGCCCAAGCGCTCGAGACTCTCGCGTGGCTGCGCAACATGCCGCCAGACTCGGAGATCGTGCAGCTCGAATTCGTCGAGATCCAGGCCGAGGCGATGTTTGGTGGGTGTGGTCGTATTTGGCCCGTGTTCAGGACTGACTGGTTGATTTCATCAATTGTCGCTTTTGATGTTATTAGAGGCCGAGGTTACCGCGGAGCGATTCCCTCACCTGTTGGGCAAAGGTGCAGGAAAGGAACTGAAATTGCAGATCGCTCAGTTCGGCGAGCTGTTCGCAACTAAGCACATGTTCAAACGAACCGCCGGTACGTTGTACCGGGCAATCAGCGAACGGGTCCAGGCTGACAGACTTGTCTCCCAGTGGCGTGTCTCACCCAATTCTTCCAACAAATGTACTTTACCCCCTTCTCTTCGCCTTTTGCCTGTCCGCTGAACTGATCGACTCCTCAGGACCGGGATCGATGCAATCGTACGACACTGGAATTTGCCGTAGTATGTCGACGCTGATCGATTGCCTCTCTCGGCCCGCCTAGGTATACTACGCCCCGACGATATTCCAGTCCCTCGGCCTCCCAGGACACACCGTGTCGCTCCTCGCAGCAGGCGTCATCGGAGGTACGCCGCAGCCGCCGCCGCCACCTAGAGTCCCCCGCCTTCACACATCTGATCCACCCGCGCAGTGGTGTTCGTGATATCCACCCTCCCGGCGATTGCGACGATCGACCGGATCGGCCGCCGGCCCCTGCTGATTGTGGGCGGCGCGGGCATGGCAGCGATGCTCATCCTCGTCGCAGCGCTATCCGCGACGTACCAGCCGCGCTGGGAAAATACGGCCGCGGCCTGGTCGACGGCTGTATTTCTGTGGTTGTATGTAGCGTTTTTCGGCATGTCGTGGGGTGCGTCTCGAAAAGAAACTGGATATGTTGAATTTGCTTACGCGGTGGGGCAGGGCCGGTGTCGTGGACTGTGAGTCGTTGTCGGTTTTCTGGGGCATGCTGAGCGTTGATGGCTGTGATAGGTTATATCTGAAGTGTTTCCACTGTCCACCCGCGCGCACGGCGTCGCTCTAGGCGCATCGACGAACTGGATGACCAATGTTCGTTCCGCTCTGCTCCAAAAGGAATCATCTGATGTCAGTCGCCCAGTTCGTCGTGTCGGTCGTCGTCCCCGACATGCTCTCCGCCATAACCTACGGAACATACCTGTAAGTCCCGCTCCCTCCGCATGGCATCGATGCCCATCCGCCCACCCAGATTCTTCCTCATGTTCCTGCTGATGGGTATCGCCTTTGCGATCTGGGTCCTGCCCGAGACGTACGGCAAGTCGCTCGAGGAGATGGACAGCGCGTTCGGGAGCGCGGGGCACGGCGGCGCGGAAAACGCCCGGATGGAGCGCATCCTCTGGAGTCTGCAGGGCGACCTCCGCGCGCTGTCGGCGGACAACGTAAACAAATCTGAATGAACGAGACGAAACGAAACGAAACGAAATCAATGTACTTTTCCTTTCGCTTCCGAGGCCCTTTGTGTTGCGTGTGGTTAGACCGGTCCGGGAGCGTTTGATAAAGGTCGTGACGGATCTACGCGCGAGTGCTAAACAAGTCAGGGCAGTGTCCGTCAGACTGAGCGTTCGAGCGGTAGCTTGGCATCTCGTCACGCGCCATCGTGTTTACGTCCGCGTATAAAGCGTCTGTGTGAGAAAGCATCATCCAAGTCGGTCAGCAGCAGCAGCAGCGTTGCGACTCAAAAATTGAAACCCAGCCCTGATCATGCGATTGACCTGCCTCTTCCTCTCGACCTTCCTGGTCGTGATCTGCATCTCGACACCGCGCACTCTCGGCCAAAGCGTATGCGCATTCAAATCATCGCCGTCGGTCCGTCGTCCTCCTTAGTCCCTGCTTCCAGTCCACGCTCCTGTTCGCGCTGACGCACGACGGCCGCAGGAATGCCGCACGCTCTGCGCGCACTGCTGCGCTGCGAATCCGCAGGACGAGGAGTGTATGCACAATCCGGGCACGTCCACGCCCTGCTTCAATGATTGCCGTGAGTGCTTTTTTTTGTGGCACAACAGCTCGCGGGTGCTGATGTTCGGAACTCGCGTAGTCAGCATATGAGGATCGTTACGTATGTAGTATGAGGCTCGGTATCGTTCATTGCACATGTCGAGCGAAATTCCAGACGTCAGAGACAGACTATCCGACACCAGCTCAAGTGCGCTTGATAAAGGTCGTGACGGGCCATCCAGGGCCTGACCGTCAAAACGCGCGCACTCAGCCATGTTCTGATCGATGACATCCCAGTCCGGGCAGTCAGTCAGTATAAGAAGCCGCTGGCGAGAACGGCAAAACCGCTGCAGCCGCAGATCGAACCATGCGCTTCCACCTGCTCCTGTCCACCCTGGTCGTGCTGACCGTGTCGACGCGCATCCTCGGGCAATCAGTCTGCATCGGGCACGGGACCGCCGCGGTCAGTACTACTCATTCTGGCACCCGCGGCCGCCTCGACCCAGAGGCTGACATCCCCCGCGCAGCAATGCCACAACTTCTGCGCCGAGTGCTGCGCTGCTCATCCGACCGACGAGGAGTGCGTCGGCGCCACGCACCCGAGTCCGATCCTCTGTATCAACGATTGCCGTGAGTCGTCCCGAGGGTGGCGACGTGGATTGGTATTGACCGGCTTCAGTGGGGCGCTGAGGGTTCTAGGTATTGATCCGTTTTGAGCAAATATATCACTTGACCACGAAATGCAAAGGACCCGTCAAAATCGACGATATGGGCGGGATTCACTCGTGTAGATTGGGCCTGAGTCGGGCTAGCCATGGATTGATTGCCATCTAATCAAAGACTGCGAGAGTCGGATAGAGTCGTCCAACAAGCCATCTTGTCACTGGTTGTCAGTCCGTAATGCCAAATCTAAGCCTGAGAATCCAGATGTGTGTCAGCGTGACCTTGCACACCCTAGTCGAGCTGAGAGAACCAAACGATACCTCGAAACTATCCGTCCGGGGAGCGGCCTTTCTCGAGAATCGTCTTCAGCTTGATTGGAACCGCAGACATGAAGTGGACTGGGCTGACGGGTCGAGGCGGACCGGATCCCCTTCATGTTACGAGTGTGAGATAAAGTTCAGCGGTCAGCATCGACAGAACACGGCGCTTCATTCACATTGCCGGGGTCGTTGCCGCAATTGGACCGTGGAGGAGACCACAAGTAGCGATCACGTCACGGTGCCCCCGCGCTCGAGCCGGTTTTGATCTAATCGGCTCAACTGATAGACACGGCTTCTCTGCCACCGCTGTGTACAACGGTGCGTTGATACTTACAAACATATCTATCGGGCGCTGATTGCCCGCAAATCTCCGGCGCAACTTGCCCACGGAGGCTTGACGAGTATAAGAACGGGATGAGCCCTGGGGAAGGTTCCCGAGACACCCGCGAAAAAAACACAAATCGACATGCGGTTCAGCCTGCTTCTCTCGACCCTCGCCCTGCTCGCCGCGTCTACGGGCGTCCTCGCTCAGTCCGCAGACTGCCCCGGGCAAGGGCCCGTCGACGTACGTCACACCCATCCGCCCATCCGCTGAGTCCGCGCGATGACGGACAAATGCATTACAGTGGTGCCTCGAGCACTGCCGCAGCTGCTGCGCCCGCTTCCCGACGTCCTCCGAGTGCACGCCCAACAAGTTCACGTGTGTCAACTTATGCCGTGCGTCGCCCGAGGCCCACTCCTGCTTTTCACCTCGATTTGACTGATTCGCGTGATGTTGAACAGAAAGCCCGTAAATGTCGAGGGATAATATTCGATTCAGTCGCAGCGGGAAGCACATAAGAGCGGGCATGACGTTCTGGTTCACGGGATTCAATATGGAGACATCACCGCGTCTTAAGTAGTGGTTAGTTTACTTGTTGCGGAATACAAATGTGGATTCAAACAAACAAAAGATGTGGTCACATGCAAGTAGCTACTGTGTCATGTACTGGTCTGAATAGACCCCCGCACCGAGACAGAAATTCGCTCTGATTGAATCAAGGATCTCATGATCCTGTGCAAGTTCTCATGATATTCTAACGTCCATTGACAACACATTGCACACTCTCCACTGGTGTCAGCGCTACGCAAAGCCAAACCTGTTGAGACGTCACAAGGGTATTCATCAGAGCTTGATTTTCAGCATCTTTCCAGCGATAACTGGTGACATCTGTATCAATTCAAATTAAGTTGAGCTCGAGGTCAATTGTACAGAAAGCTTGGCCACACCCGCCGAATGATATTCATTCGCGATTTGACAGGGCATCATCGCATGAGTGACTTCGGCCCAAACTACGGTTTCTGGCACCAACAATAGAAAGAATTCTGTATTCAATTTCATTCACGCCTATAAAGAATCTGAATTTTCTCCACCAGACCTGCCACATGAATAATAGAGTCTGACTCGAATCATAGAGTTTCATGAGCGACCCGGTTCTGCGCGACTTTATGTACTCCAGCACTTCCCTTCCCCGATTTTAGAAGTATCAGCAAAGTCAGAATCCCGCGTAACATCTCGTGCTATCAGCTCTCCGCGTGAGTTCCACGCCAGGCAGACGCGGTCACGTGAAATCAGCCGTGCATGAATCCAAGCCCAATCTCCTCCTGTGATCTAGCCAAGATAATTCGAATAGGAATTTGGATCCCTTCTCACTCCAAGTGGATGCTATGCGATGCCAGCCATCTGTTCTTGTCTTCGACCGCCTGAGGATAAGGCTTTCCCCAGATGACATGCCACGAACAGATCGCCCTGTCTCCAGTCCATGCTACCAAGTCGTGTGTCCTGTCATCGCCTTATCTCACATCCGCCCTGCCTAAATCCCATAAAAAGATGCGCGGCGACCCACTCGGTGCCACCACCAAGATGCACTTCAGGTGTGCGTGGACAAGAGACCTGCATAGCCTCAGGTGACGAGAGTGTCAGTCCAGCTGCTCTTCCTCGAGAGGCTACTGTGTATCTCGCTATTTTCTGACGCGTGTATACATCTACCTCCAGTTCTTGGTTTTCTGCCGCGCGTGCTGTGCACGGAGTCCCGACGCCTTCGAGTGCCAGCCCAAGACGCAGTGTGTGGACGATTGTCGTAAGCCATGTCCGACTCTGACTGGGCACATGCTGACCTTAACGACTCATAGAAGGACTGTAGCGTCCTAGTATCTAAGAAGTATCATGTGATTGAGCATACCGAAATAAACACGCAGAAACGGTTCGAGAGCATGTATGAGATCTTCAGCTATCGTCACTCTTCAACGCCACCCGAATCCATCTCCGGCAGTCCAGCAATCGTTCCTGTATGAGATCATCAGCCACATTCCGCCCCCAAAGAAGACTCTCCACAGCGACGCACATCCGAAACCTGCACCACAGCCTGCAGATCCTGAATCACACCCTCCAGCCCTTGCTCCATCTCCCACGACCCCACGATCTCATCTCTCCGAGGCTCATCACCAGCCAGTCCCAGACGCTGCGCATTAGACGACAGAGAGGGGTATTCGCCTCGATGCATGGCATCGGTGATCAATGTTTCAATGAGCACCGCCACGGTGAGCAGGGATACAGGATATTTGAGGACATCAGGTTCTTAAACTCGGGTGAGGAGCCTGCCACTGATGTCAACAACATGAATGGAGGCGCACCTAAGATGAGCGAAAATAGCCGGGCCCAAGTCCCTTTCTGCGCGTATTCCCACCCCGCTTTCGGCGGGAGAAGCGCTCTCAGAGACGGCAGTGCGCGCCAAACTTCGTCCAGAATCGCCTGCGGGGTGTCGCCGAGAGAGTAATCGAATGCCGATAAAATGTCTCGGTGCGCGGTCTTGTGATGAGTGAGTAGATACACGTAATACAGTATCGTTAAGCGACGCACTTCAAGGTCGTCATACCCCATCTCATGCGGCGCGATTCGTTCGTACTCGTAAGACATCACCGGCCCCAGCGGCTCCAGCACATCTCGATGTATCTTCCATGAATGTCAGTCGCAATGCAACCCGCCGCAGAGCTCAGCCGCGCAACACACCTTGACGCTGATCGCCAAACATCCCACGCATATATCCCACACGACCAAGTTCCATCCGTCGGGCGGGATGGACGGATCCCAGGACAGCCCCTCCTCCGACGCCTCGAAGGACGCCTTCATCGCTTCCAGATCGACACGCTGCGCGCGGTCGTGCATCACGAGATGGAAATAGCGCAGGAACATGTGCGCGGCGTGGAACCGCGTCTCGGGAGAGTGCGTCAACTGGTCGATGAGATCGGGTATGTCGCCGCTCGTTTCGCCGTCGCCGTCTTTCTCGTCCTTGAGAGGCTTGAGCTCGACACCAGAGGCGGTCTGGAAGGCCCGCGAGTACATCGACTTGGGTGGGATCACCTATTCCCGTGCGCACATGAGCGAAGTTTTGGGCAATTCACGCAGAATCCACGCACCTCAAGCAGCCACTCCACCACATCCCGGCGCTTCTCACATCCCACACCAAGCAGCTGTTCCCAATTTGTCTTCTTCATCGCCCCAGCACAATCCAGCAGCTCCCTCTCTCGAAGCCCCTGCTCGCGAAGCACTAAACTAGCGATGCGGGCTTTGGCAGCCGTTTCCGCCGTCATCGGAAACCCGGCCACGTAGCCCACCGGCGGGGCGATGACGGGAACGCCAGCTGGGAACGCTCGGCGGAAATCCAGCGTCGGGCGTTTCGTCGGCGGCGAGTTGGGTTCGGTCGGGGCGTGCGGCAGCTCGCTTTCCTTGGAGTCGTTCAGCTGTGCGGAATGCACGGGTATGACCTTGGGAAGAAGACGCACATCATGTGTCGCGGAGGAGGTCCGCAAGGAGAGAGACTTGCGCAGACTGGCACGGATGGGGCAGAGGGACATTGTGCTAGAATCAGAGTCGCTTCGCATTGAAGAACACGAGGTTTGAGAATCAGTTTTGCGGAGCTTGCGAGCAATGGGGGTGGAGTCATCGAGGGAAGAAAAAGATCTCTTGAAGGCTGGAGGAGAGCTTGAAGATCTGGGAGAAGAGTTGCCAATCAAGCGGAAGAAAGCAGATCCAAGTCTTACTCAGAGCTAAGCATACATTCATCGTCCATATCGGCAGCATATCCTGCAGAGGAGGCACCAGAAGAGAGAGATTCAGACTGGGAAATGCGTCCCTTAGCAGAAGAGGAACAAAAAGAGCCTGTCGTCGCAGAAGACCAAGAATACATCCGCCGAGCGAGGACGCCACGCTTGATGTTACTGGGGACAGTTCCGCGCGGATACTCCGGTGTTGTCGCGACGCTGCTTGCAGAATCCAGAGTCGCTGAGATATCCTTCTCCACCTCAACAGCCATCTTGCGTTCGCGGATAGCGACATCCAGGAGGTCGTCCAATCGCGACAGAAACTCGGCCGATTCGAGCACTTCGCTCACGCCTGTCATGACCGGAGGTGCGTTGGCGATGGGCCGGACTATGTCATCGGAGCTGCTGCAGTCGGGGATGGACGTCGGTGGAGATGACGAGGGTAAGAGGGCGTCGGAGAAGCGAGGGGAGCTGCTCGTCGGAGGCTGTTGTATCGGTTCTTCGTCCAAATCAGTTTCGGCGATGCGTTCCAAGGATTTGGAGGTGGAGCCGGATACACGGGGCTCCACAGGATAAAAATGAGGATGAGAAGAAATTGGGTATGTAGAGTCTTGATGGGGGACAGGCCTAGGGAGTGACTTGGACAGGGACTGCGGAGAGCTAATTGATGAGCGCATATATCTTTCATCGGTGAGTGCAGGTGAGAGGAGGGTATTATTAGTTGATTCTTTGAGGTTTGGAAGGCGTCTCAAAGGGAATGGAGACTTGCTGCCGTCGGAGTCGTTCTTGCTGTTCTCATTTCCCAAGGAATGGTTTGCTTTGTAACGGAGAAGGCCGGGGCGAGAAAAGGTGTGGGAAACAGAGGTCTGAGAAGATCTATACGTCCGACGGTGAACGACAGGAGTGGAGGGAAGGTCCATGCCAGGTTGTACGGTCAGTCGGTTCCCGGTGGCAGCGTCCACGAGCGGTCAAGCCGAAAGAAGAGACGCGATAACGTGACCTCGAAGATGACGTCGCGTAGGCGATATTTAGTAATCCTTCCAAGCATTGATTTTTATCGAATCGGAGGAACGATCACAGAGATCCTAGCTTGTCGAAACACTCATCTCATCCGACCGCCGATGGGGTGATAGGAGAAGTTATGCAGGTAACTCGGCTGATGCTCCTCTGAGGGCGAATCAGGATTGCCCAAATGAGAACGGAAAGGGACTTATAAGAACCCGGGTGGTAGCCGTTGGACCTAACATCAAGATGAGTTCTCTAATTGCCATCTTTACATTGATAATGGGGCTGTTGCAAAACGTCTCTGCTCGCCCCCTAGCAGCAATGGTAGGAGCGTCTGCATCTATGTATAAGATTTCCAAGTCTAGCATCTGATTCGGCGGTTCAAGGCCGTGGACAGTGCCAACTCTGGCTGGACTGTGGACGGAAACAACTACGGTGCGCGTACTTATTTATAATCCTCAGCCGTAAACATGCCTCCGACTGAACGACGAGACCAGGTTGGCATGTTGATGGAAACAATTATGGTTGGACAATACGCGGCGGATCACTCCAGCAGAGTTGAGAGTGGTTGAAAGTCAACTTCCGCTTGAGATATCATAGCGTGACGTATGCGACATCGATTCTAACATCCATGCCGTTGAGATGGGGTGATAGGAAGTGCAACGACGATCTCCGTGATAGCTTTTCATGCGATCAATGTCACTACTTATTTAAGGATAACTGGAGAGCGACAGCCCTCCTAACTAAGAATGCGATTGTCCGCTGGAATCTTCGTATTGGCTGCGCTGTGCCATGCACATGCTCGCCCAGTCGTGGTAAGTGCCCAAGTGCTCTTCTGAGATGGATGTTCTTTCGAGTACTAACGCATGACTGCTGGATCTTTACAGCCTAGATTGTATCTGTGTCCTCGAGTAGGTCCATAACGCAATCATTGCAGACGCCATGATCTCATTTTCATCAGCTTGATGCGACGGCAGATTTGGATTCAAGAGTCGTGGTACGATCCGCCTAGCTTTGATTGCCCCTTGGCATGGGAAGCAGCTCATCCGAGTCTAGGCAGTGGACAGCGTCAACTCAGGATGGAGTGTCGACGGAAACAACTACGGTGTGTCCTGTTTCCATGATTCAGCACTTTCTCACCGACGGTGATCATGATGGAATTCAGGTTGGAGCGTCGACGGGAACAACTATGGATGGTCGATCAACGGCGGAGGGATTCCCGTCGGCGGATGCTACGGCGCCCCTCCTAAGCGCTCAGCTTCATGATACTTGAGATCCTGCAACGCAGTAATAATATTTTTTTTGACTAAACGGCACATGCGACAATAAAAGAAGTCATATTCGAATCAGTACGTAGTGATACACAGAATGGGAGACACAACAAGATGCAAAGACAGTTCGCAAGACCAATGAATCAAGGGTTCTTAGCATCGGCGCCAAAGGGGAATTGCATGATCGCAGGACCAGCGAGGGTGGTGTCGTCGCTGACAGCAGACCCGTTCGAGCTGACTACGGCATACACGGTGCCCTGCAGATTACTGGGGAGCTTCGCGGTCTTGTTGACGATCGGAGCGAAGAGTGTGTTGACACCGGTGAACAGCGCCAGGAATGCATCGCCCGTCTGGTTCGTCTGGTAATCGAGCGTCACGGCGCCATTTTTAGGGCCGGTGAACTTGAGCGTGGGGAAGGCCATGAGCGGGAGCGCGGGGTTTGATGACGGGCAGCTCGTGATGAACGGCACCGCCAGCGAGAACACCTGGCGCAGGTCGAGCGGCGTCTCGTACGCCCCACTCCACGGCTCCTGCTTCAGCACCGCCGAGTGCAGCCACGCCGCATGGCGGGCTTCCGTGGCGAGGATGGACCCCGCCTCCGTCAGCGTCGTGTCTGTGAGGAAGTGCGCGGCACCGAGGTATGCGCTCGTGCCAACGCCCTCGAGAATGCCGGCAAGAGCCGCGAACGAGGCTGGATCGGTATGGGGGCTGCGAAAATAAATGGATCAGAACCGTTCGAGAGTAGGTCCATTGTCCGTCCAACTCACAAGCTGTAGTTGCATGCCGCAACGGACTCGTTACCGAGCGCCTTGGTCAAGAAATCGACATGGCCCGCCTCGTGTTGTGAAATCTGCGCAAAGCGGCCACGGACCCAGGACGGGAATCCAGCCTTGGTGAAGGCGGCGTTGTCGTACTTTGCAAGACCACTGGCGTAGAAGGTAGCCTCGAGGTGCTCCAGCGTGAGCGCGTACTGGAGAATCTCCGTAGCGTTGGCCATCTCCGCTGCCCGGGGGAGCAGCGGGACAGCCGCAGAGACAGCGAAGAATGAGGCGAGGACAGCGAGGAAGTACTGCATGATGGTACTGGAGAAATATTCACATTCGACAAAGTCCCTTTAAAGAGCACAGCGGCCGAGCGGGAGATCGAGCATCTGACCAGTAATCCGAAGAATGACGCGAAGAAGGATGGAGGTTTAATTAACGCGTCGGTCAGCTCGGTCGAAATACGCTCGAATGACGCAGGCGATCAACTCAGTCCGAGATGCCCGATCTGGAGACATTCAAATGCGAGGGGTGAGGATCCGATCCTCCTCGGCTGCACAGCTTTCTCGTGCCGCCCCACATCGCCCCACATTCAGCCTGTCTTCATTTTACTGCGCAGGGCCTCAATGGACTGCGCACGCCGCGTTGTCCAAGCATAGACCCAAGAGCACAGGGGAGAGCATCAGCAGACTTGTAGCACCGGTCCCAGAATCCAGAAAAAAGACAAAGATTACTTAGATCTGTTTTGCTCCCACGGAAGCGGGATCCAAGTAAAGCGTGGAGTGCTCTGACACGCAACAGTCTTTAGATGGAACGTGCGAGGCCTGGATCCGGAGGTAAAACGATCAACAAGCAGGCACCGGTCACGGGTGCCAGTATGCAGGACATTCACAGGAGTATATTGCGAGACATACATGCACAAAGGAGCAACCTCGCACTTAGTATCTATACCGCGTCGAGTAATCTGTCCACATCAGCCTGCGTCCGACGACCAGATGAAGGATGGAATGACACACACCTTTGGGCGAGACGACCAACCCACGACCCTTCGACGCGCCGCGATACACCGTCTCGATTATGTCAATTAACTGCCAAAAACGACGTGAGAGAACCGACTTATCATGCTGAGCGGGCAGTACCTCCTGTTTATTATCCATAGCCCAGTTGCTAGAGCCCGACATCAGGATCGACGCACGAGTGAGCACAGGGGACCCACATCTTGTTGTTGTTACCCGTGCCCAGATCGATCATGATGTGCTTGTTCCTGCGCATCCATCCCTGATTCAGCGTTCGCACACATTGTGCAGCAAGTGAAAACGGACCGATAGAAGAACATCACCGTGCAGGGATCGTACAACTCGTACATCTACCGCCCCTCGTCAGCGCCCACTGCACCTCACCGCACGAGACCCTCCAACACGAAACGCACCTTGTTGAAGTCCGGCACCTCCGTGATATCGCAGAGATAGATGACCGCAAAGTTCTGCACCTTCTCCGAGACGGCATAGAGCGTCTCGTCCATCGTCATGCACTGCGAGTCCCAGTCATGTCCGAAGCGGATCACCACCACACGGTCCTCCTCGGATTTGATCGCTTCGTCGACGTGCCAGCCCGACGGCAGATGGGGAAGAAAATAGGACATGCGGGATGGTGGTGTTGGGTGGTGGTGTGGTGGCGGACGACAAGTGCTGCCGTATAGTAGGGTTATGGTTATGTAAGTGTCTCTGATACTATTGCATGGTAGGGACGACGAGGCTCTATTGTTATTAAACAGGGCTGTAAGGACTACAAATAAGCGGAGCATACATACAGGGACGCAACTAAGTGAGCCGAAAACCAGAATCCGAAAGTCCAAAAGAAAATCACAAGCACCCCCTACGATCATCGATGCTCTAACTTGATCCCATCATCATCATCCACGGCAGTGACCGTCTCCTCCGTCGAGACGCGCGAGTTCCTCTGACTCTGCGAAGCCTCCGACCCATCTCCCTCGGTGATATCAGAAAGGTGGGTGCGCACATGGTCGATCTGGGACGTCGTCTCCAGCGCAAAGTCCTCGTCGTCGTCCAGTGGGGGCGGCACAACAGCCGACGCTCCCTCCTCCGAGCCAGACGAGGGCGCCGGCACAGCTTGCAGCGTGCTCGTCGACGCGTTCGAATGCGTCATCGACCCGGCGTCTTCGTCGTCATCATCAGCAGTGTCCCCCCGAGGCCGACTGCGCAACGGGGACTGGACCACGCGCACGCCCAGGGCGGAGCCCGCCTCGGACACGACGGTGCCGCTGGTGCGCCGCAGACTGCGCTTCGCCGAGTCGGCGCTTGGGCGCGGGGACGCGGACAGCGTGACGCTCGGGCGGGGGCTCGAGCGCGGCGTCGCGCCGGCCGAGACGGACGTGTCGGGGGTGGTGTTGGCGGGGCCCAAGGTGGACGACCGGAACGTGCTCGCGATCCTCGAGATGCGCCCGTGCAGACCTCCGTCGCGTTTCGCCTGCAGCGGCGGCTGTGGGTGAGTCGCGTCAGCACGGGCGCGGTGGCCGCGGGAAGCACGCACGAGGGGACTCCCGCTGCCGTCGTGGCCCAGGAACGGGTTGTCGTCATAGTCCGCGACAGATCCCGTCATCGTGATCTGCTGCCACTCTTCGTCGGAGATGGATGGCCGCGAGGGAAGCTCCGCAGTCTGCGAGGGCTCCTTGCGCGAGAACAAAGAGATCTTCCGCGCCCTGCGCTCGCCCGAAGCCGTGCTCGCACTCAGCTTGATGGGCTCTGGAAGCGGCACGGAAGACCCTTCTTCGCGTAGGTTCGGCGAAGATTTCGACTTCTTCGCGGATTTGTGCTTCGGTGCTGATGGTTTCCCCTTATCTTTATCTTTCTCCTTCACATCCTTCCTGGTGCCCGACTTCGACCGCGACCGGATTCCTTTCAGGAAACGCGACGTGCGGGATTGCCGGGGTGGGTCGCTCGCCGCAGCCGACGCCATCTCGTCGTTGTCGTCGTCGTCGAACACCTCGGTCAGCTTGACCCGCCTCCTCGGCCGCGACGCCTTCTCATCCCGCACCTCTGGAAAGATCCACTCCACGATGCCGCTGTCGTCGTCGAAAGCGCCCAGCTGCTCGAATACGTCCAAAACGGACGCGCGGAGCGGCTCGTAGTCGCAGTTGCGCGGTGGGCGCTGGGTCATGGCCATGGCTGTAGGAGGGGAAGACAACGAGCAAAAATGTTCCCTCGTCCGGTTATGTATCGATGGGCTCTGCTGTGAAATCTCCCCAGTCCCCTAGGTTACGCGCAAATGACGTCGTCTCCACGAACAACCCGGGTATAGAGATGATGGCGGCCGGCCTAGACGACGCAGGAGGGAGAAACAAGATATTAGTCAGGGCCGGGTGTGCTGCAGTGTAACGCTGGCGAAAACCGGGGCATGAAAGCATGTCCGCGGCGCGCGAATAGCGGCAAGTCTATTGCTTATCCTGTGCTAAGTTGGCATATTCCCAGACTCGACGCCTCGTGGCCAAATTGAGTAAACCTTCTGATCGAATCTACGACAGGTGGCTGTACACTGAAAGGCAGATAGGGGCTGCTGGCGGATGGCTCGAAGGACAATCAGCAGATGTTCGTTGTTCGCTTCAACACGGGCGGACTTATTTTCTAGTGCCTCAGTCTGCAATGAATGAGATGACCAAGAATTTGTTATTCTGATAGGCCCCACACGCTCGATGCAGCCCATGATACCAGCAAGGCATCGAGTCGTATTGTGCGAACGGAGAATCTCTCCCCGTTTGACATTGTGATCTCATGCATTGATTATACCAGTCATTCGGAAAGTTTCAATGATGTATTCCCTCAGTATCTATTTGCGGCCGATAGACCAGCCGTTGTTGTTCCCTTCCACGACCCAGCCTATTTTTATTCCAAGACACCTGAGTGAATGGGCGCGGAGGTTCAAAACAAGAAAACCGACCGTCGTTGTTCCCCTCGATAGACCATCCGCTGTTGTATCCATCGACCTTTGAGGAGAAGACGGTGAGAAGTGCAGCACGAATAATGAATGAGTCATCATCCGCGTACAGCAAGTAGCCGGGCTTCGATCTGCCGGACGACGTGAGTAATTGAAAGAGAGTCGACCGGTCGGCCGGTCAATGCTCACCGGTTCTCGCTTCGTGGAGGCTATGTTCTCCGTGTTCTGGCGCGGCTGCAATTTGGGAGGGTTATCGTGCATAGCGCGGGCTGCGGGTCAAGTACTTACCACTGCGGCAGCGAGTCCGAGTGCGACTGGGGCTGCCAGAGCGAGGAGACGTGTGAACTGCATTTGAGACGGGGGTGTTCAGGAAATTGAGCGCAGTACCTGGAGAGAGTGGACCAGGACGCGGATTAAGTACGCATAGAACAGCGGTACCCTCGTACTCAAGAAATTTAGTGCGGTCGGCGACAGCTTGGCGAATCAGTCAATCTCGGATGATTCATATCTCTCTGCGGATGCGTTACAGCAAGATTCTGGGTGATAGCCTCAGAGACGTGAAAGGAAGTTCACCACTCGCGAGAAATTTCCAGGGGCATGAGGCCCGAGCCATGTTACTAGCAGCCGCCACCTCCGCCGCCACCTCCCCCATCACCCCCGCCATCACCTCCGCCGTCGCCGCCTCCAAACCCTCCGCCGTCGCCGCCACCTCCGCCTCCGTCTCCGCCGCCAGACACGACGACTCCTCCGCCGTTGATTGTCCAGCCGTAGTTGTCCCCGTCAACGCTCCAACCTACGGTCATAAGCGACTGCGACTCGGTGCCGGTGCCGAACGGCGCGCTTACCGTTGTTGTCCCCATCAACCGTCCATCCCTGGTTCACGCTGTCCACGGAGACGTCCTGGTGAAGAGGTCAAGCCAAGCCAAGGCCAGATGGGAGTTCTCAATCGAGTACATACCCGGCGCTTGCGCTCGCACGAGATCTCCTCCTCGTCCGCCATCGGCTGCGTTTTGTTTGAAATGATCAGATGGGAGAAAGAGATGCGTGATATGTGGCAGGGCTTACTGCCGGGACAGGACGCGCAACCGCGCCTGTAGCCGCAGACGTCAGTGCGACGAGTAGTACGAAGATGGGATATCGCATTGAGCGAGATGCAGCTTCGTGCGGGGACTTTAAAGCGTTTTGGACGAGGAAAAGCGGGGTTGTGCTTACGAGTGCCTATCACTGCATCGCAGAGGGCGAGTTGGGCTATCACCCCATCCCATCTGATATCCAGTACGCTGCCAGCCAATTAGTCGCGAGTCCAACAATCATCACGTCAGAGTCAGAGGGCGGCAGATAGCGCCCTTGCGCTTAAAGATCGGAGCTGCTTACGTAGGGCCACAACTCAGGAACTGGAAGATGTTAATACTCCAAGACGGGTAAGCAAAAAATGCTGTCTGTCATGGTAGGCGGCAGTGCAGTCCCCACATGACTCGAAGTGGCAGCGTGCAGCTTGAAGCAGAAAGCCTTCTAGTGAGGTATAAAGGGGCCTAGAAGCCAGTGTTCAGTACTCTTGAGCTAAGCAAGCTCGAGGAAGTTCGGAATAAGCCCTTGTTTGACAGCACCCAAGTGACGTGACTAGACCGTGATCGGTCCGATCACCTGTCAACACGTCTTTGACCCGAACGACCATGTCCAAAAAGCCGCCCACCGATCTCAAGAGCGTCCTCCAGAACGAAATCAAGTTCAGCTCCATCCCACCCTCTGCCGTTCATCCGCACCAACTCACCACACCACTCGCACAGAGAGTGGCATTTCCGTGAGCCTGCCCTCCCCCGATCGATGGGCTTCCTGCGTCGAATCTGAACACACCACCCACATCGGGGCTGCTAGATATCTACTTCCATCAGGGCAACGCGGAGGAACAGCACTACGCTCTCGAGCTCCGTGATGCTGTGCTGCGGCTGCGCCGGGACGGCGCCTTCATCGCCGTGCCGCTCTTCCGCGTTAACACCGATCCCATCGGCCCGCACCCCGCCGGTAAGCACGATGTCCAACTCGAACGCGTTGAGGATCTCAACCCTGCCGAATCTTGGTCTTTTTTCTTTTGTCTATTTTGCCTTTTTGGCACGGATAGGCTCGTATGAGGTTTGGGCGCCCTCCGAGACGTTCGCGTCGCTGTTCTCGTACTTCGCGCTCCACCGTGGACCGCTGAGGTGCGCACTCTGCACCCCGGTGCACGAGTTATAGGTATCTGACTGAACGCGCGACGCCAGCATCCTCGTCCACCCGCTAACCCGTGAAGAGGTAAGCGTCTATCCTGCGTTGGAGTCCCGCTCACAGTTCTCTCCTGGCAGCTCGCGTAAGATTTCGCCAGCGCATGCTGCCGATGTCGCCATTGATCCACCTTCTGTTCTGACTGATGACTGCAGAGACCATCAAATCCGAAGCGCGTGGATCGGGCCCTCTTGGCCGCTTGATCTGAGCAAGCTCCCCGTGCGGAGCGAGACGATTCCGCTGCAATACCCCAGCTTGAGTGCGTCTTGCCTTATGTGGCCCCTGCTCCACCTCCACGACCACCGCGCTGATGCGATGGTTCATTTGCACAGAGGTCGGCTACTCGTCAAACGTCCCGTTCATGAACCTGGAGGATCGCGCGATTCTGGGGGCAAACGTGGAGAAGATGCTGCTCAAGGAGAAGGACGCGGCGCGCGCGCCGGTCCCTTGAGCGTACCAGCTACTACCATCTACTCGGGGTTGACTCGAGGGCGTGGGTTTTCCGTGTTGCGAGGCTACCGCCTTCGAAATGATAACGTGTTTACGGTGCACTCACTCGATCCGCCAGTCAGATTGAGGATGCTCCCTTTGCCCAGTGAACTCAACAACTGTCACGTGATTAACGACACATCATTTACGCTGAGGTGAAGGCTCTCGACGTGAGGCTACTTATGAGATCGACGAGACGGGTGATAATATGTTCAATTGCGCCGAACGAGGATGGCTGAACATTGAGCCAGATGCTGGATTTCGCGATGAGTTCCAGGTAGGCAATTTATCGAGGTTTCTGGGCTCCCGGTCCGGTCCATGTTACTCATACGGTCCTGAGACACTGAAATTGCTGGGAAATTAAGCAGAAGACTCGGTCGCTCTCTTTGCGACCATGGTAAACTCTGGAGAGTTTTGAATCAGCTTCACGTTGGAATCGTACGTAATGTGAAGCTCTTGGAGACCCTGCTCGGGCGAGTCTGCATCTGGGTCTAGAGCACGTCGCCGTGCTCCGACCCGCTCCGATATGCCCTGACTCCAGACGAATTGAAATCGAGAACACCCACCTATCAACGGGTGAACGAGTGATTTTCGAGCCCCACCTGCACGTTCTACAGCTGGATGGGAGTTGGGTCCGAAGAGACGATTCTAGAAATCACACTGGTATCCGAAACTTGCCCTAATCAGCAGTGTTGGGCGAATATTCTCGGGGGACTTGGTCGGCAGAGGTCCCGTCTTCGCTGCAATCTCCACCAAATGAGAAATACTTAGCCACTTCCAAATATCCGACCCGCAATACACGTTTAGGGTCTGTTGCAGATGCGGGATCGAGAGCATATATTCAATCGATAGGGCCGACTTCGTTCAACATGAGATGAACGATCTTTGCTTCTCGAGCGGTGAACCTACAGATTCGATACCGGAATTGGGTGCAATATTGCCGGCTCGCGACCATACCTGCTCTCCGCGTCTAGCTACAGCCCCCTCATGTGATCAGGAGCCTGGGCGTCTGCGGGGTGTCGATTTAAACAGCATCAATACTGCCAGTCTGCCATCACGATGGCCCGAGATGGCCGAGCCTACCTGCTGACAGCAGCAATCAGACTAAGCAATGGCAACTGTCTCGTCCTCACGACATGTCACGGGTGACTGACTGCTGGGCGTGACGTCGCGGATGAAGATACGTTTTTGACGCGACATTGGCGCGTTAGCTCGTAATTTTCTCGTCTATCTCTCTGAGCGCATTATGAATTGTCGAGTCCTGTCGAAGTACAATTTGAAGGTCATGGGCGCACATGATCGCGAACTTCCACTGTCGAACAAGGAATTCCACTGATCGTATCAACAACAACCATGCCAGCGAATTTCGGCAGGTGTGATGATCCGGTCAGGATCGTCTTCAATCTGGCCGCTGACAGGCTTAAGCCTGTACTGCACGGACAGAACCCTTCGTCGTCTCCGCCGCGCGTCCAAAGTGCTACAACAGATTCGAGGACTTCCGCAACACACACGAGCACAAAGTGCAGGCTGCGGCCCACATGTCGACGTCGCCTTCTTTGTCACGCGATGTACGAGAACTCGCGGCGTCCCCATCTATAAGAATCACCCGGCGGCGCATCGAGGCCCCACCCCAGCAGCTCTTCCCGGGCTCCTCTGGACGCGTATATCTCCTCGATGTCTTTCTCCAGCGCGTTGACCGTCCTCGCTGCGATTGCTGCTGTGGCTGCTGCCAAGGGACCTATGGTGTTGCATGAGAGCAGAACGACTACGCCCGTCGGATTCGTCAGCCATGGACCTGCGCCTGCTACTGACCAGCTGGAACTGCGCTTTGCATTGGCCCAGAACAACCCTACTGGTCTTCAGAACAAGCTCATGGAGGTCTCGACGCCCGGAAACGACAACTACCGGCAGTGGCTGTCGATGGAAGACGTTCGTTTCTCGCGTCGTTATTCCAGATCACAGAAGCGTTAACTTGTTTGCTTCAGGTCAAGTCCTACATGGCACCATCCGCAGACACCGTTGCTGCATTCAATACCTTTGCCGCAGCGCAGGGACTGCAGATTACAGGGAGCTCCCCGAACGGCGACTGGGTGACCGCGACGCTCCCCGTCTCGCAAGCCAACGACCTCTTCGACGCCAACTTCGAGGTCTTCTCGCACCCCGAGCTCGCCGACACGATCACGCGCACGATGTCCGTGTCGCTCCCGCACGAGATCGTCGGCGTGGTGGACGTCATCCACCCCTCGACCGCGTTCGTCGAGCCGCAGCCGAGGCTCGCGCCGTCGGTGATCCAGCTGGACGTGCCGTCCCAGGCGAAGCGCGCGATCCCGGCGTCGTGCAATACCCGTGTTGCGAGCGGGGTAATGACGCCCGCGTGCCTGCAAGCGCTGTACGGCATCCCGACGGCTCCCGCCACGCAGAAGAACAACTCGATACTCATCACGGGGTACATCGATCAGTGGGCGCAGACGGCGGATTTGCAGGTGGGTGACAGTCATAGATAGTCCTTGTCCGCGGCAGGTGCAGTAACACTCTTCGCAGTCGTTCTTGAAGACCCTGCGCAAGGACATGTCTTCTTCGACGTCATTCGCCGTTCAGACCGTTGACGGAGGCGCTAATATCCAGAGTTCCGCGGATGCTGGTATCGAGGCTGACTTGGACGTCGAGTACACTATCGGTGCGTGTCAAGTTACGCTTCTATCCTTGTATTCATCTTGGGCTAGGTATCGCGACCGGCGTCCCTGCCACTTTCCTGTCTGTTGGCAATTCCGTGGAATTCCCCACTGCTTTGATCGACACCACGACATTCCTGGATGGTGTCAAGAACCCTCCATCGGTCATGACCACGTCGTACGGATCCACTGAAACCTCGTTCGGCAGCTCGTTGGCAACGTGAGTCGAGTCATGGCGGTCGATGCAACCTGACTGAAGAGCCACCAACCAGACGAATCTGCAACGGCTACATGGCACTGAGCAGTCGGGGCATCTCCGTCGTCTTCGCGTCCGGAGACGTGAGTGCCCATTCCGAGTGCTCTCCCCAATTCTAACTGTCGCAGGGCGGTGTGCGCGGCAACCACGACACGACCGACATCTGCAGCAACAACCGCTTCATGCCCGTCTTCCCCGCGGCGTGCCCGTTCGTGACGTCCGTCGGGTCGACGCAGGGCATCCCCGAGAGGGCCGTCAACTTCACCGGCGGCGGGTTCTCCAGCGTCTTCCCTGCGCCGACGTACCAGACCACCCAGGTCTCCTCCTTCCTGAAAACACTCCCGTCCAACTTCAGAGGCAACTTCACGCGCAGTGGGCGTGGGTACCCCGACGTCGCGGTCCAGGGCTGGAACTTCGAGGTCGTCATCGGGGGCCAGACGGGCCTGATCGGCGGGACCAGCGCGTCGGCGCCGACGTTCGCTGCCATGATCGCGCTGGTGAACGACCGCCTCGTCGCGGCAGGCAAGCCCGTGCTCGGCTTCCTGAACCCGTTCCTGTACAAGAACCCCGCCGCGTTCACGGATATCACGACCGGCCACAACTCGGGCTTGGTCTGTCCCGCGAGTTCGGTGGCGTTCGATGCTGCGACCGGCTGGGACGCGCTGAGTGAGTTTCCCGTGCTGCTGCTGCATCCCTGCGTTTCTCAGTATGACTGATAATGTGCTTACAGCTGGGCTGGGAACGCCCATTTTCTCCAACCTCCTCGCCGCCGCGATGGCTGCCCACTGAGAGACAGATGTACCACGATTTCATTGTACATAGATACCAGATTAATGCTTGCGGAATGAGAACAAGGCTTTTGCGTTCATTGTTGGGTTTCAAGTTGGAGCTTTGTTGCCTGCAGAGAAGCCCTCGTCTGACCTGCTCACTAGCACCGCCAACTCACATAGTCACTGTCCATGAGTCGTTTCTGCAAACACATTTGTCTGAACCCTCTGCTGGTCTGCGCAAATCCGAAAGACGTAAGGATCCAGCGCTGTTGAGAATCGGCCCTGGGATACAGCCGATTTCGCATGTCGAACGGAGAAAAAAAGGAGCGCTGCGATGCGCGGTAGCTGAACAGCACACAATGCGTGGATTTCACATCCCATCCACGCGGAACACTCTTGGCGAAAGTCCGAGGGTGGAGAGCCGTAAGCTGGCGTTGGCAAGGACATAGGTTCAGACTTGTCGAAGGACAATCCCGCCATTGAATACTTCATTAAAATTAAGCTTAGTAAAGATCGATCAGTCCGTCACTCCTTGGTAGCCCACCCCTGCACGACTACTCCTCAAGCCATCGCCGCGGCAAGGAGGCTCGTAAAGTTGGGGGTTCCCAATCCCGCTGGGAAAGAGAAACAGAACACATCAGCAGCCGCACAGACGAAACAGCAGCGACCGCAACTCACTGAGGGGATCCCAGCCGGTCGTAGCGTCGAAACCGACGCCGGACTCGGGGCACACAGCTCCCGAGTTATGGCCCGCGGTGACATCGTTGAACGCGCCGGGGTTGGCGTACAGGAACGGGTTCAAGAAGCCAAGCACGGGCTTGCCCGCAGCGATGAGCCGGTCGTTGATCAACGCGATGATGGATGCGAATGTTGGTGCCGACGCGCTCGTGCCGCTCTCCAAGGAGGTGATGCCGTTGTTGATGATCTGGAAGTTCCAGCCCTGGGTGGAGACGTCGGGGAAGCCACGCCCGGTGAGGTTGAACGTGGCGTTGAAGTCAGACGGGACCGTCTTGAGGAAGGAAGCAATCTGGGCGGTCTGGTAGGCCGGCGCCGGGAAGATGTTGGAGAAGCCGCCACTCGAGAAGTTGGCAGCTTTCTCCGGGATGCCGAATGTCGAGCCGACTGCGGTCAGGAATGGGCAGGTCGAGGGGAACGCCGGGGTCAGTGCCTCATTGTCGCAGACACTCGAATCGTCGTGTCCGCCACGCACTCCGCCCTAAGAGGGTGCTGTAAGCGCCAGAGCACTGAACACGAAAGACGAATAACAACTCACGTCTCCCGCGGCAAAAATGACGGAGACGCCCCGGGCGGCCAGTGCCATGTAGGCATCGCAGATAGCGCTGGAAGCAGATATCCATGAGGACTCGCCATCATGAGTATACAGAAATGGACGCACTTGGCAACCGCAGGATCGACGGTCGGTTCGTCCAAGGTGTACGAAGTGGTCATGACCGACGGGGGATTGCTGACGCCTTGCAGGTAGGTCGCCGTGTGGATGAAAGCGCCGAAGATGTCCGTGTCGTTGCCATTCGAGAGGAAAATCGTGGGCACGCCAGTCGCTACACCTGGATCCGAGTCAGAACACGGCAAAGGCCGTAGTCAGAATGCAAGTGACGGACCGACGGTGTATTGGATGTCCAAGCTCGCCTCGAAGCCAGCCAAGTCAGGCCCCTGCGGGTTGTCTCCGCCATCGACCGACTCGAGGCTGAACCCCGTCGATGAATGCATGTCCGGACGGAGTTGTTCCAAGAACGCCTGGAGCAGTCCGTCAGGCTCGGAAAGTCCCCCCGTGCGGTCCACTCACCTGCAAATCGGCTTTCTGCGCATGCTGGGTGACATACCCCGTCACCAGTAGCGAGTTGTTGGCTTGAGTGGCCGGGGTAGCCGGGATGCCGTGCACTGCCTGCAAGCATGCGGGGGTCGTCACTCCATTCGGTTCGCTGGTGTTGCACGATGCAGCGATGCCGCGCTTGAGCTTGGGCACCGGGATCTGGATCAGCGACGGCGCGTTTTTGAACGGGGGCGGCGCGAAGGCCGTCGAGGGATGGACCACGTTCACGACGCCCACCATCTCGCTTGGGAGAGAAACGGACATCGTGCGCGCGATCTTGCCATCTAGGTCGGGGTGCGAGAACAGCTCGAAGTTGGCATCGAACATCTCGTTGGCCTTGGCCACAGGGACCGTGGCGGTGATCCACTCTCCGTAAGGTGAAACCTTGGTCGTGTTCAATCCATGGGCGGACGCGAAGGAGTTGAAAGCCGACAAGGTCGCCGACGAAGGCGCCATGTGAGTCTTGACCTGCATATGCTCAGCAAACCCAGCACCCAGCGCCAAAATACACAGAACAGAACGAACCTCCTCCTTCGAGAGCCACTGACGGAAGTTGGCGCTTCCAGGTGTCGAGACCTCCATCAGCTTGGCCTGCAGCCCCTTGACGTCGTTGCCCGCAAGACCAAATCGCAGTTCCAGCTCGTGGGTCGCTGGAGCCGGGCCGTGGCTGACGAAACCGGCAGGGACAGCGGCCAGGCTATCGTGCAGCACCATGGCACTTTTAGCCGCCGCAACTGCAGCGACAGCGAGAATAGTTAGAGTTTTGCTGGAAGCCATCGAGGAGGTGCGCGTGCAGAGCGAAAGAGAGAGAGAAACCGCGCGTAGTAAGAGGGAGAATGCGCCGTGAAGAAATTCGAAAAGCGGGCTCGGGCAAAGAAGGAGAGAGGTGTACTCAAAAGAGTCTCGATGTAGGTGACTTGATCCATAGATTATCGCGTCGCTTTATACTCATCCCGCGGCAGGGGTTGGAGACGTCGACTAGAGCGAGGACATGTGATACGAAAAGATCGTGGAGAGCGTCTCCGTGCTCCAGTCACATTCCGGCACAGGCGCCCGCATGAGAGTGCCCGGCGTATCAATTATCGCGCCCACAGCCTCCATCGACATGAACTGTTACTCCTGGCTTCTCCCATCAAATTATGTGAATTCGAGATTTTCATTCGTGGCCATGCAGTGCCGTAGGGTGGTAACACGGTGAATCCCCAGCCCCGGGGTCCGACATCGCATGGATCTGCGACGGTTAACGAGAGCTTCTGCAAGCTTGCACGCTATGTAAAGGTGTGTGTGTAGCCGACCGCGACAGCTCCAATTGCTTCAACCGCTCGGTATGTTCCCGAAAAAGTCCAAGTAATGGGGACCGGCAACGCTGCCAAATTTCTGTCGATTTGTACATGTTGACAAACACGTCCCGATTTAGAAAGCTAGTGGCACACCACATCCCACTCTTCGTTTCGCCCATCTCAGCCCGATTCCGTCCATATTATTGCACAGAGAGGTAGTTATGGTATGTTAAAGAGCTATACTAATTAAAATTAAGCAATAAATCATGAACTTTGATCACCATAACCTGTTTCATCCTCTTTGACCTCATCCTCCTCTGTTGCATCTTTATGTGCCTAGGAAAGACTAGAACCACTTTTCACACATGGATGATGACGGCTCCTTTGATGTGACACACTCGCTTTGACCCCTAATCGTTTAGGGGAGCGAAGTGCATCCTCCGGTTCATCTCCTTGGTGCTTTCTGGAAGTCGAGGTGACTGGAAACGGTCAATCTCTTCAACTCGGGTGGGTTCTTTTGCAAGGTGCTGCTTCACAGATGAGGGTACGGCAAATTCCGCAATCGAGATGTCAATGAGAGAGTGTCATTTCAGCGGATGGGTCATCACACATGCGTAAGTCGCCTAATTGTTCGAAAATTATTGCAACGTGAGCGACACATTGCAACAGGTCTAGGGCCTAGAATCTTTCATTTTCCGTGATATTTTATCGATTTGAACTCCCTCCCCACTTGGTCGTCAAGAGCCTGTGTGCGATCGCTTTCTCTGGCATTTTACTTGAAAGATATCTTGTTCTTCAGATCACGCCGGGATAAATCATCATTAGCTCACCCTCGCTTGTGGCCAAGGGCTTATGTGTCATTCCTAGGTAGACCCCACCCGCTCCCCTCGCTAGCTCTGGCCGGGGTCCTGACCTGTATAATATCGTAGTACACACACAGGACTACGCATTTTCGCGATCTCGCCGCTGACCACTAGATCCGATCGACCTCCAGAGGCTGTCAGCTCGCACGTGTAAAGATCTGCACATGTACGCCGGAATCCGATGGACTGACAGACGATGAGTCGATCTGAGTAAGTAGTCGAAAGACACATATTTTGCATGGATGATAGATGGTTATTATAGGGGCCAGACCGCGCTGCTCCCCGTTGCCCGCTCGGATGCGTAAATGGAATACCAGGGAGTACCCCAAGCCAAACGTCGAGCGCCCGGAACTTGTTTACGCCCGATTCCAAAATGCGACTTCCCAACGGCCTTCCAAAGCGACCGGTGGCCAGTCGATGGTCGATGATGTCCGATCAATTGAACTACATGAGCAAACGTGAGACAGACATTTCATAACTTCGCGCAAAGAGCCGGCTGTGAACCTGCGTTCTTCCCATTATCCACGTGCAGTCGCTCTGGACTCACGGGAAAGCAAAGATGTGACAGGTCGCCTGATGAGTAGGAGTTGGGGGATGACCAAGACGGTGAGGTGATTTCACACATATCTCGATCAATCAACACTACATACAGTGGAATCAAGTTCTCAGATATTGCACCAGTCGACCATGCGCTCGTAACCTCATCCTGCGCCACGCTCACTCAGGCCATCGCCGCGGCAAGGAGGCTCGTGAAATTGGGAGTTCCCAGTCCCGCTAGGAAAGGCAAACGCATTACATCAGCAACCGTACACGGGCCAGAAACATAGGCGACCGCGACTCACTGAGGGGATCCCACCCGGTTGTAGCGTCGAACCCGACACCGGATTCAGGGCACACGAAGCCAGAGTTGTGGCCGACGGTGATATCATTGAACGCGTCCGGATTGGCGTACAGGAACGGGTTCAGGAAGCCGAGCACGGGCTTGCCCGCAGCGATGAGCCGGTCGTTGATCAGCGCGATGATCGACGCGAACGTGGGTGAGGCGGCGCTCGTGCCACCCACCGAAGTAGGGACACGGTTGACGATGACCTCGAAGTTCCAGCCCTGGGTCGAGACATCGGGGAATCCGCGCCCGGTGAGGTTGAACGTGGCGTTGAAGTCAGACGGGACCGTCTTGAGGAAAGAGGCGATCTGGGCGGTCTGGTAGGCCGGCGCCGGGAAGATGTTGGAGAACCCGCCGCTCGTGAAGTTGATGGCTTTCTCCGGAATACCCTGCGTTGCCCCGACGGAGGTCAGGAACGGACAGCCCGAGGGGAATGTCGGGGCGAGAGCCGCGTCGTTGCAGACACTCGAATCGTCGTGACCGCCACGTACTCCACCCTGGGAAGGTCAGCCGGGCAAGAGCACTAGACACGGGAGAAAACCTCACGTCTCCCGAAGCGAAAAGAACAGACACGCCCCGAGCGGACAGCGCCATGTAGGCGTCGCATATAGAGCTGCAATATCACCCATGAGAACTCCCAGTCATGGGGTGTATGCAATAACTACGCACTTTGCAAGAGCGGGATCCGCGGTGGATTCGTCCACTCCGTACGATGTTGTTATCACCGAGGGAGGATTGGTGGCGTTTTGGAGGTAAGTCGCCGTTGAGAGGAAAGCACTGAAGATGTCGTCCAAGTCTCCATTCCCGAAGTAAGTTGTCGGCACATCAGTGGCCACACCTGACACTGATTGAGCACGCGAAACGGATGGTGAGGAGATCGCCGCTGACGGACCAACGGTGTATTGCATGTCCAGGCTGGCTTCCACACCACCGAAGCCATCTCCTTGCGCATCGAGGCCTCCATTGATGGTCTCAACACCATAGGTCGTGGACGACGACATGTCCGGGCGCAGTTGTTGCAAGAACAACTGGATCAATCCAGTCAGGCTGCGGGAATGCCACCGCAAAGTACTCCGCTCACCTGCAGGTCGGCCGTCTGCGCAAACTCGAGTCCATACGCCGTCACGAAAATCGTGCCATCGGGCTGAGTGGCCGGGGTGGCCGGGATGCCATACAACTCTTGCAGGCATGTCGGGGTGGTGATCCCACTCGGATCGCTGGTGTTGCACGATGCCGAGACGTCACGTTTCAGCGTGGACAGCGGGGTCTGGATCAGCGGTGGGGCGATTTTGGACGGGGGCGGGGCGAAGGCCGTCGAGGGATGAATCACGTTCACGACGCCCACCATCTCGTTCGGAAGAGAAACGGACATCGTGCGCGCGATCTTGCCATCTAGGTCGGGGTGCGAGAACAGCTCGAAGTTGGCATCGAACAGCTCGTTGGCCTTGGAAACGGGGATGGTGACGGTGACCCAATCTCCGGATGGTGAGAACTGAGTCGCGTTCAACCCATGGGCGGACGCAAAGGCGTTGAAAGCCGACAAGGTCGCCGCAGAGGGCGCCATGTGAGCCTTGACCTGCATGTACTCAGTCCACCCAGCACTTGGCGCCTAAATACACGGGACGAACCTCCTCCTTCGACAACCACTGACGGAAGTTGGCGCTTCCAGGTGTCGAGACGTCCATCAGCTTGGCCTGCAGTCCCTTCACGTCGTTTCCCGCGAGACCGAAACGCAGCTCCAATTCCTGAGCCGCTGGAGCCGGCCCGTGGTTGATGAAGCCAGCAGGGATGGTGGCCCGACTGTCCTGCAGCACCATAGCACTTTTAGCCGCCGCGACGGCAGCCACAGCGAGCACGGTCAGAGTTTTGCTGAAAGCCATTGGGAAGACGAGAAAGGCCTTGGAGGGGCTGGCGATCCGGAATCCTGGCGTTGCATTTATACGCAATCCGCTGCAGAGATTGAAGTGCCGGCTGGATCGAAGGTGTGTGACAGGCTGGGGTAGTGAAGAGCGCTTCACGTTCCAACCGTCATGTTCGCCCGTATGAAAGGGGACAAGATACTCCTTCCCCCAGGACCTCGGTCGATATTGCGACGAAGATCAACTTTCAAGCACACCCTCCATGCTTCTTCCATCAAATTAACCTCAAGAGTCTCGTTCGCGTCGTAGGGGGCCGTGGCGAATGGCCCATCTTCAAGAGCCGGGATCGCATGGAGCCGTCGGACGGCTGACGGGATCTTCTACAAGCATGCGTTGTCCTGGGGCCTGGAGAGATGAACAGCCGCGGCAGTACGTAGTGTCCTGCCAAGGGACACGTACCAAAGAGAGGAGAGACTAGCGCAGATCACCGCTCAGGGCATCTACGACCATACCATGCGCTCCAGAATCACGAAGGATACGGAATAGAAAATGGAACCATCTCGTTTCAGGCCGCCGGTAGAATATGTACCGTTGAGCATCGCTTCGGTCCTCCAGTCGGGTTATCCCTAGGCCAAGGCCTCTAAGGCTGCTTTGCGGGCGGAGCAATCAATTCCATGCTCGTGGTAGGTCAGAGAGTCGAAGAGCAGAGAACCCTGCCCTCCGCAGGTCCCCAGTCCTCACCCATCCTTTCGATTGCTTTGGTGCGTCATGGTGAGTTCGGGTAGTTGTAGGTAAGGCCCTGGGAGGCCGATAGGTAGGCAGATAGATTACCGACCCCGGTCCCAATGAGGAACAGCCGAGGCGCAGTGAACTGTGGTTTAGTCATTCGTGATGTTCACTCCTGACATAAATCCGTCATCAACACTTACACTTTCGTGATCTGAGCCTGTTCCCAATTGGTCAACGGACGAATTGCTGGCCGTCGCTCTCGCTTCTGGAGGCGAGAGTCTGGAGGCGATTGCGACGCAGTTGTCGAGTCCAGTGCTGCTGCTGCCGGGAATATGTCAGGTTGGCCCGTCCGATTCCGTCATTGAATCGATGCGACCGGCAAAATCTCCCTGCTTTTTTGGCTCGCGCTGTGTGCCTGTCAATTTCAACCGAAGTAATCTGATACATGTTCTGACCCTTCTTATCTGATGGACCCGTCCGCATATCTGATTGTCGTACTACGCCATGGAAAACGAGAGCAGCGTGACCATTTGAAATTGATTTAGAACCAGTCCAGATCATATAACTGTAAGCATGGATGACTGGATCAGAGAATATACATCCCGAATGACTAAAGCCCCGCTTTGCTGCAGATAGGCGCTGTAAGACCTTGACCGAAAGGTGCCGGGGATGAGCACATCCCACGCTCAGGAGTCCATGGCAGCCCGGAGTAGGCGGTGGAAGTTGGGCGTGCCTAGTCCAGCTGTGATCGCGTCAGCACACACGCCCGCACATCCTCGGCAACCAACTCACTCAACGGGTCCCAACCACGCGCAGCATCGAAAGCGACAGACGTCTCGGGGCAAACGAAGCCCGAGTTGTGCCCGACGGTGATGTCACTGAAGACCCCGGGGTGGGCGTAAAGGAACGGGTTCAGGAACCCGAGCACGGGCTTGCCCGCCGCGAGGAGGCGGTCGTTGACGAGCGCGATCATGGCCGCGAAGGTGGGCGCGGCCGCGCTGGTGCCACCCGTGAACGTAGTGCCGCCGGTCTGCACGATCTGGAAATTGACGCCCTGGACGGACACATCCGGGAACCCGCGCCCCCTGTGGTTGAAGGTGCCCTTGAAGTCGGATGGGACGGTCTTGAGGAAGGACTTGACGTGAGCCGATTGGTACCCAGGCGCAGCGAAGATGTCGGAGAAGCCACCGGATGTGAAGTTGCTCGATTTCTCGGGGAAACCTTGTGTTGCACCGACAGAGGTGACGAATGGGCACCCGGACGGGAATGTGGCGGCAAACTTATTGACATCACACTGGCTGGGGTCATCGTGACCGCCACGAACACCGCCCTAGGAGGATCAGCTTAGGATATTCCCAAGAACTGCAAGAGGACTTTTGTACATCGCCTGAAGCAAAGATGACAGAGACGCCCCGCGCGCTGAGTGCCATGTACGTGTTGCAGATGGCGCTGCAGAGAGGTTCAGTTCCAGATTGAGGGCTCCAAGCGTACGAATCCACGCACCTGGCCATGGAGCGGTCTGTGCTCGATTCATCCACGCCGTACGAAGTACTGAGCACCGTGGGTGGAGTGCTGGCACCATCGACAAAATTCGCTGTGTCGAGCAATGCACCAAGGAAATCATACCCTCCCACAGACAGAAAAGCGGTGGGAACCCCATTAGCCACACCTGTTTCCAGTATCAGCTCGTGTGATGGACTGTAAAGGCCGCATTGGCCATACACTCGCCTATTGCATACTGCATGTCCAACTCCGCTTCAAGACCGCCTCCACCGCCCAGGAAGATACCCTGTGGGTTATCCCCTCCATCCAGCGTCTGCAGTGCAAAGTCTGTGGTCATCGGCATATCTGGCCGCATCTCTTGCAAGAAGGCCTAGAAGTGGGACACATGTCAGCAGATGAGACGCAGATTCACACCCAACGAACCACTCGCTTTCAAATTCGCTTTCTGAGCCCACTGGAAGCCATACCCCGTGACGGTCAGCGAGTTGTTCGCCTGCGTCGCCGGGGACGCCGGGATGCCATAGATGTCGAGCAAGCACTGGGGGGTGATAATGCCGCTCGAGTTGCTGGTGTTGCACGAAGCTGCGACATGCGATTTGCCCTTGCGCACGTCCATCTGGACCATCGGTGGCCGCACAGATCTGGAAGTCGCTGGGGGCAGGGCGAATGCTGTCGTAGGATGGATGACATTCACGACGCCCACCATCTCGCTTGGAAGAGAAACAGACATCGTGCGCGCGATCTTGCCGCTGAGGCTGGGGTGCGAGAACAGCTCGAAGGTCGCGTTGAAGAGCTTGTTGGCCATGGCAACAGAGACGGTGGCCGAGACCCAGTCCTCGTTGGGAGAAATATGCGTTGTGTTTAGTCCATGCGCAGAAGCAAACGCCATGAATGCTGACACAGTCGCCGCCGACGGCGCCATGTGCACTCTAACCTAGATATCAAAGCGAATGCTCAGGATTTCACCTTTTGCCGGCGCAGATAAACGCACCTCTTCCTTCGAGAGCCACTGGCGGAATCGGGCGCTTCCGGGCGTGGCAATGTCCGTCAACTTGGCTCCCAGTCCATCGGCATCGTTCGGCGCAAGTCCGAAACGCAATTCCAGTGCGTGAGAGGGTGGAGCCGGACCGTGGCGCACGAAGCCAGACGGGACGATCGTCTTCCGCTCGGGCAGTGTCATCGCATTGTTGGCACCCGCGGCGGCGAGCACGACGAGAAGCGTCTTCAGAGCGAGGCGGAGCGCCATAAGGAAGGTCCGTGCGTCGAGAGAGCCGGTTAGAGCTCCATCGAGCTCGTTGGGTAGAATATATACGCGTGCGCTCTTGGCTCAAGCGCAGGACATGTGCCCAGGGATACGGGGCAGAATGTTCCAGGTAGGTTCTTTGCGACTGAATGAGGTGTGACCAGTCAGCATTGTGTAGTCACCTATCGACCCTGCGCTGAGCAGCGCCTTCGTCGATACCTTATCTGGGAGCAGTCCATCATCTCTTCTTCCATCAAACGAAGAGCAAGGTAGGATGTTCGCCGCAGGTCAGGTGTTGGGAGGTGCCCGGGGCAAAGCGAGCCTTCCCAGTTTACGTGCCCGAGTTCATCGTCCCTCTGTCTCCCAGTCTAACCTGGATCCTCCTTCAGCTCCAGAATGAACACACACACACACACTTGACAAGTGCGATACCCTTCCTGCTCTCGAACCCATACCACACGGGGAATATAGCCCGTTTATGTAGATCCCGAGAGGTCCCTCTGATAAGTGCGCATGCAATCGCAGAACGCATGATTAGAAAATGCGTGTCGCTGACTGATCAGTTGGCAAGTACCGCGCATCTGGGACCATGAAGGTCGACTCACCTGTCCCAGATGAGGCGGAAGATATGACCTCTATTTTCGACATCCAGCTCGAAATTTGAGCGCTTATTCAGAGCATTGAAGCCCTTGGTGTCTTAGTGCCTCGAAGCGTCGGTGACAGTTGGAGAGAGAGTCGCGGGCCGGACAAGCCCGATCATGATTGATGCTAGTAGCCCGATAAGATACAGTAAACGACGATCTCTACTTTGATCGAGGGAGCACTCACTTGCAAACAATGGCCTACAATGACCGTCCTTTTCTGCTAGCGTAAATGCGACGTACTCTGTGAGCCTGGGAAAATCCCCAATATTCAACGGGCTGAGAGACTCTGAAGTTGAGGAACACCGCGATACGTTGATGATCGGGGAAATCGAAGTCAGACTTCGATACTTCGGAAAGCTGCCGTTGATGCAGTGAGTCAATTCATGTGCGGGGATCTGCGTTCAGAATCCAGATGTCAGAATTTCGCCCTTCTCCAGCTTTATAAATAGCCAGATAGATCGTCGTCCTCGCCGTCGGGCTGATTTCAATTGCCTGCTCCGATAGATAAACAAGCTATAGCAGGCTCAATCCTTCAGCTCCGAATTTGTTCTCAATAAGTAGGCTCTCAAACTCAGAATTTTGACTTCCAAGTGGCCTCTCAGTACAACTGATGATAAGAATATAATCGATAAGCAAAGGTTCATCGATCATCGTGGAGTTAAGCAAGCGTGGGAAATCAAATTCCCGGATTACGCCGCATCCCAACTCGCTCTCTTCCCAGTGTCCATACAGAGTTGGCACGCACCATGAGGTCACCTAGGCCCGCTAGCGCTCCCGGGTACGGAAGGCTGTTTCCCGACTCACACGATCAGATGCTCCCAGGCCGAGCTGTGCTTCCAACGCGCTGAGAGAAGCCACAGTCATGCGATAACCAGTGAGTCTTGTCCATGCCGTGGGCGAAGCGCTGATAAGGAAGGCGTGCGTTAGGATTCTCTTACCCACGTATAGCTTGGGTAATCGCTGCGGACGCTCTCTCACTCGCATGTCGCCATCTGTGCCTCACGAGGGTCAGCAGCTCGTGTGCCACCTATAATAAGCCGTGGTACGAACGGTGCATCCCAGCAGCTCTCCCGGGGCCTCTCTGGACGCGTGCACTCTCTCGATGGCTTTCACCCAAGCGTTGACCATCCTTGTTGCGATTGCGGCGGCGGCTGCCAAGGGACTGACGGTGCTGCACGAGAGCAGGACCTCCATCCCTGCCGGATTCGTCAGCCATGGACCTGCCCCCGCTGCTGACCAGCTGGAGCTGCGTTTCGGTCTGGCTCCCAACAACGCTGCTGGCCTCCAGGCCAAGCTTATGGAGCTCTCGACACCAGGGAACGAGAACTTCCGCCAGTGGCTGACGATGGAAGAGGTTCGCTACCAGCGTCAACCCTTTGAATATCTGGATCGCTGACTGGATTGACCAGGTCAAGTCCTTCATGGAGCCATCTGCAGCCACTGTTGCTGCGTTCAATGCCTTCGCCACGGCGAACGGACTGAAGACGACGGCGATCTCACCCAACGGCGACTGGGTGACCGCGACGCTCCCCGTCTCGCACGCCAACGACCTCTTCAACGCCAACTTCGAGCTCTTCTCGCATCCCCAGCTGACCGAGAAGATCACGCGCACGATGTCCGTGTCGCTCCCGAGCGAGATGGTCGGCGTGGTGGATGTCATCCACCCCTCGACGGCGTTCGTCGAGCCCCAGCCCAGACTCGCGCCGTCGCCGATCCAGATGAACGTGCCCCAGGCGAAGCGGGCCGCCCCGGCGTCGTGCAACACGAACGTCGCCACCGGGGTCATCACCCCGGCGTGCCTGCAAGCGCTGTACGGAATCCCCGCGACTCCCGCCACTCAGAAGAACAGCTCGATACTCATCACGGGATACGTCGATCAGTTCGCAGAAACCGCTGATTTGCAGGTGGGAATGAGCAACCGCTGCGTCCATGCTCTTGATTGCTGATACTCTGCCAGTCGTTCTTGAAGACCCTGCGAACGGACATCTCTTCCTCGACGACGTTCAAACTCCAGACTCTTGATGGAGGATCCAACCCACAGGGCTCCGGGGAGGCTGGTGACGAGGCTGATCTGGATATCGAGTACACTGTCGGTGAGTCTCAAGTTCCTCCTATCCCCGGTTTGTACTCACCTGAGGCCAGGTATTGCTACCGGCGTCCCTGCGACCTTCCTGTCCGTCGGAAATGCCGACTTCTCGACTGCGCTGCTCGATACCACAACCTTCCTTGACGGTGTCGCCAGCCCTCCCACGGTCATGACCACATCGTACGGGTCCACTGAATCCTCATTCGGCAGCTCGTTGGCAACGTGAGTCGTTGTTTCATGGCAGCTGTGTAGTGCAATCGGACTAAGGAGTCATGATCAGACGAATCTGCAATGGTTATATGGCACTCGGCACCCGCGGAATCTCTGTCATCTTTGCATCCGGTGATGTGAGTGCTCATTTTGAGTGCTGTTCTCGATTCTGATTGTGTCAGGGCGGTGTGCGAGGCAACCACGACACGACCAGTGTCTGCAACAACAACCGCTTCATGCCAGTGTTCCCGGCGGCGTGTCCGTTCCTGACGTCCGTCGGCTCGACCCAAGGTATCCCTGAGAAAGCGATCAACTTCACCGGTGGTGGATTCTCGAGCGTCTTCACCGCCCCGTCGTACCAGACCACGCAAGTGGCCACCTTCCTGAAGACTGTCCCGTCGACTTTCAAGGGCACCTTCACCCGCACCGGGCGTGGATACCCTGACGTTGCACTCCAGGGCTGGAACTTCGAGGTGATCATCGAGGGTGTGGCGAACCTGATCGGCGGAACCAGCGCGTCGTCCCCGACGTTCGCTGGCATCATCGCGCTGATCAACGACCGCCTCATTGCCGCAGGCAAACCCGTGCTCGGATTCCTGAACCCGTTCCTGTATGCCAACCCCGGCGCGTTCACGGATATCACGACTGGCCACAACTCGGGCTTCGTATGCCCTGCTGCCTCGGTTGCATTTGACGCCACGACTGGCTGGGACCCGCTGAGTGAGTGAATGCTGCTTAGCCGATCGATTTCGGAGACTGATGACCTCACAGCTGGACTGGGAACACCCATTTTCTCCAATCTGCTGGCAGCCGCGTTGGCCGCTTGAGTTGTAGCTGTACCATCATGATAATGAACAATGAATCCGGGTTTCAGACGAGAATAACACTTTTGTGCCATTGCTGCTGAGTGCGGCCTGTCAGATCGACTCAGATGGACCTTGCCGTTTGCTTCTGATCCTATTGCTTTCGGCTTTCCTCCCTCGAGGGCGCGATTATTCTTCAGGAAATACTCCTTCGAGGTCTCGCAGGAGGCTTGTACAGCTGAAGGACCTTCATGGGGATATGGTGACGAGATGTGAAGTGGAGTCCATGATCCATGGGTGAATTCAAGTTGAGAATGGCCTGAGAGCGCACTCTCGTGTTCAGAGTTGGCGCAGGTGCAGGATGTTGGCCTACGCACAGTGCGCACTCATATTGCGCCGAAGACAAAAAGGAAAGCTGCTGGATTTCAAGTCCAGTCCATGTCCGCGTCATCACTGATCATCAGCGCGTGGGAGCACGTGTGAGCAAACCCATCACGACCACGAGGTTTGGTTTTTCCGCCTTTGGACCCCGCAGCTGTTTCTCTGGCTCCATGTCCTCGTACAAGTCTAAGATCACCCGGAAACCCCCTCCACGCGTAACGACACCCGAGCCGAGTCTCCAATACGCGGCCGTTCCCTTGGGCTCACCACCACAAAGCCCCGGCAGTCCTCCCGCGCGGAGTCGCACTCGACGCACGCCAGCATCATCACGTGCACCCACAGGCTTCGGAGTCGCACCGAGCGATGCAGAACGACCGGCGCAGGCACGGGGCACGGGGAGGGCGGGGGCGGCGCTCGTGCGCGGTGTAGCGTCAGGATCCATCGGGGCGGATTTTGGGCCGTATTCGGTGCGTGTGTGCGTGCGTGTGCCCGCGGGCACTCGCAACGCGTTCCTCCCGCTCCCCCGCTCACCCTGCGTTAGTTTGACCCAGAGATCAATCGGAGCAATCCCGGGGAGGGGACGCGTCTGCGCAAGGCGCCCTCCACGGTCCGCCCCAATCTCACGCGCACGACGACCGTGAACACGCGTTTCGAAAAGAACCTGGACCTCGACGACGCGCTGCACAACCCCGATCCTGTGGCCGATGCGCGGATGGAGCACGAGCTGTACTTCTTTTCCGCGCGCGGCTGGGCCACTGTGACAGCCCTGTTCGTGCTGTTTGGTGGGCTCGTGACCCTCTTTGCAGGGTTCCCCCTGATATACTACTTTGGCCACCCACCACGGAAATTCGTGGGCTACAACATTGGGGGCATCAACGCGTCGGGGCAGGTCCCCGAACTTACCAAGTTTCCAAGCTTGATCGACTCGGAAACGCCTTCCAACGCCTATACGCATACAGGGACGGACGGGAAAAAGTACAGACTCGCGTTCAGCGACGAATTCAACACTGATGGGCGGACATTCTTCCCCGGCGACGATCCCTACTGGGAAGGTGAGCTGCCTCCACCATGCTTATCTGATCCCAGCTGAGTCGCCTCCAGCGGTCGATTTCCATTATTGGCCTACGGGAGATCTGGAGTGGTACGACCCGGCGGTGCGTAGTGGCATATGCCCACTTGTGATCGTGTTCCAATGCGCTCCACAGGCCATTACCACGCAGGACGGCAAGCTGGTGATCACGATGAGCGAGGTGAACTACACCGACAACCATGGGCTGAACTTTATGAGCGGTGACCCATTTACCATCTTTGCATCATGCGCGTGGGTCCTGATACCTTACAAGGGATGCTCCAATCCTGGAACAAGATCTGCATGACCACAGCCTATGTCGAGGTCTCGCTCAGCCTTCCCGGTGCTCCGGATCAGCCAGGTTTCTGGCCCGGTGCGTGGCTGATGGGGAATCTCGGCCGCGCTGGCTATGGCGCAACAACCGAGGGAATGTGGCCATACAGCTACGACTCCTGCGATACGGGGACGTTCCCGAATCAGACGACCAAGGACAACCAGCCCTCTGCGTCGTTCGACTCGCATCTGAGTTTCCTTCCTGGGCAGCGGCTATCAGCATGCACCTGCCCAGGCTCTGACCACCCGGGCCCTGCTGTTACCAAGGGCAGAGGCGTGCCGGAGATTGACCTGCTCGAGGCGCAGATTGAGATCCTTGGCAGTGCGCCGTACTTCCAGGGGCAGGCGTCGCAGAGCTTCCAAGTCGCGCCGTACAACCTCAACCGCCTGTTCGACAACTCCAGCCAGGCCACGCCCATCGTCAACTCCAGCATGACGCAGTTCAACAACTACCACGGGAACCAGTACCAGCAGACGGTGTCGGCGCTGACGTATATTGACGCGCAGTATTATGGCGGGAACGCTTACCAGACTTACGGGCTCGAGTGGTACTCGAATCCGGCGAAGCGATCGAGTGGATACCTTAACTGGCTCACGACTGGAGAGAAGCGATGGACGATGACGGCTGCTTCTGTTGGTGCAGACAGCGGTGCGAACGTCTCTGCGCGGCTGATTCCAGAAGAACCAATGGCAAGCGACGGCGCATCTCGCATCTGCCAGCCACTGATGACCGTTTGCAGTACATGATTTTCAATCTGGGGATGTCCCCGTCGTTCCAGGGACAGGACTTCCTGCATATGGTGTTCCCCGCCAAGATGTTCATCGACTATGTGCGGGTGTACCAGCTGGAGGGCACCCAAGATGGGCTGACGTGCGACCCGCCAAAATACCCGACGGCGGATTACATTGCGAGGTGGGTGCTTGCTGGTTGGCTGGCTGTCGAGGAGCTTCCGCTGACAGCGCGTTGCAGCCACATTGCTGCATACTCCAATGCGAATCTCACGACCTGGGCGCAAGCCGGATACACCTTCCCACGAAACAGTCTCTACGATGGCTGCTGACGCGCCGATCCCACAACGAATCCAGGATTTACGACCACTGAATGATTACTACTAGACCTACTGTATCTAGGCACGGATGGACAATATATACACATCCGCACATATACTGTATGTATCTGTATCGGCTCACGAATCTGCATTCCATTAGCACCCACTGTCCTGCTGCCCAAGTCAGCTGTTCAACCTTGTTGTACACGCGTCCCGCTGTCTCGTCAGTCGCAGCCTGTCGATGGTGTGTTGTTCAGAAATCAGAACATTACATATTTTTGTTGCAGACACATATGCTGCTGAAGACGCGCGCCAAGTCGTAACAATTCAAAAAAAGAAGAAAGAAAAAATGAGGCCGGATGTGGCGGCAACACTGCCTTCCGAGTCCACAGGTCGCGGAATCTGGCGCGGAAGAAGAGGTAACAAAATTTTTACTAATTCAGTGAGCCCCGAGGACGCCCGTGGCGGTACTACAAGGTAACTCGGTTCAATTCAAGGCACCGAGGTTGGGAAGCTTTGAAGTTGAGCATGGCTGAAACGGCTGGTCTTCTTTGCCGGATGTCCGGGGGGTCCGGCGGGCGGGCCGGCTCATCCCGAGGGACAAGACTCTCAAGTGCTCCAACGGGTATCCAGTCCCCATGGCGCTCCATTGACGCATTCACGTCGCAAGCTTCTTGAACCGTCCCCCCGAATAATTGTGTCCTTTGTCTGCCTCCCGTCGCGCGCTATCGAGATCACCGCGCACGCCGCAGACAGCACGACTCAATGGCTGACCGCCTCGATGCGATTCCAGCGCAGCCCCATGCATCTGGTGGCCCCGGCGCGCCAAGTATGTTATGTAAAGCGTTGCGTGTTCGGCCGGGGTACCTGAGGGACTTATTCGCGCAACACGCACTATGTCCCACACTAGCGGGATCAGCGAGCGAACACAACTCCTTTGTCTCCCATCCGGGGCGTGCATCTAGTGGGTCCGATGGCGAGCTTACCATGTGGGGCGGGGCTGTATCTCCCTGTATCTCCTCCGACGTTTAATGTTCCTGGCCTTGACCTTGTGTGCTCATATGTGGTGTGTTACGAGTGACGGCGTGGCACCGCTCGGGGAGGATTTTCTGGGGATCGACCCGCGTACATATAAGAAGCTTGCTTGCGCGGGGTGGTGCACACACATACCCGCTCCTTCTCGGGCTCCTTCCGGTGCATACACTCAGCCAGGTACGTGGCTGGTCCGTGGCCGCCTTGCACCGATGCTGACCAGCTTCTTCTTCTCTTCCTTCTCCTTCCCCAGATTCGCCGCGATGTCGACCACATGTGAGAAAGCCTCGTCGGACTCGCTGGCCAAAATACGCGACCTCCCATTCGCGAATTCGTCAGAGGCGATGGCGCGTCTGCCCACTGCCGAGGAGCAGAGTGTGTGCGATGCATGCCCCCACGCGTGACCAGCTCTAACTCTCTCTGCCTGCACAGATACACTCCGCCGCGTGGCTGGCCGGATCCCGTGGGCAGCGTACCTGATCTGCCTGGTAGAGTTCGCGGAACGGGCTTCGTACTACGGATGCGCGGGAGTCTTCGCCAACTTCATCCAACGGCCACTTCCCGAAGGCGGCAACGGAGCCGGCGCCCCACCTAGAGGGACACAGGAGACTGCCGGTGCGCCCCGCGCTACAATGAGGCCATCTCTGCCCCCGCTCACTTGCGTATGAATAGGCGCCCTGGGCCTGGGCCTCGTCGCAGCGACCGGGCTGTCCCAGATGTTCACGTTCCTCGCGTACACGCTCCCCATTGTCGGCGGGATCCTCGCAGACACGCGATGGGGCCGCTTCAAGACAATCTGCATCGGCACAGCCATCGGCGCGGTCGCGCATGTGACGCTCGTTCTCTGTGCGTGGTGGCCCTTGCGTGATTGATGACCTAACGCGTCTGGTCCAGGTGCCCTCCCAGCTGTCATTTCCGCTGGCCATGCGTTGGCTCCGTTCATCGTTTCCATTCTTCTGCTCGCGCTGGGCACTGGGTGCATCAAGGTCCGTCCAGTCCAGACCTAGTTCTCGTAAGTTGCTGTGATGTAACCTCACGCGTTCGCAGACTTGCATTGCGCCTATTATCGTCGATCAGTCGACCGTGATGTCCCAGTCTGTCGTTGTCCTTCCGTCTGGCGAGAAAGTCATCGTCGATCCGGGGGCTGTGAGTCATTCAGAGTCTTGCTCGCTGCTTTGCTCAATTCTGATGGCAGACCATCCAAAGCATGCTCATGGTCTGTCCTGTTCCAATCATCACTGGTGATATTTATTTCTGACCGTTCGCTAGATATACTACTGGTCGGTCAACATCGGCGGCTTTTTCTCCGTCGCGACAAGGTCAGAGGTTGCTGCACCACACCTGTCATCCGCGCGTGCTCATCAAACCCAATCTTGAAGCTACGCGGAAAAGAGAGTTGGATTTTGGCTCGCCTATCTGGTAGGCTGACTAGCCCTGCTTCCGAGGCTGAATCGCGAGGCTGATTCTTCGAAATCGAAGGTTCCCGGCATCTTGTACATGCTCATGCCGATCACTTTGGTCATCGTGTATCCCAAGCTTGTGCGACTCCCTCCGCAAGGATCGGTCGTGCTGGATGCGTTCCGGGTGTTTAGGTGACTTTCTCTCGCACTCATCGGCGGCGTCGAGTGCATGGGGGCTGATTGATCTATCCGGCAGAACCATCTTCGAACGCGCTGGACTGAAGGGTATGTTGAAAGGCGGAGATAACTGGAATCTGGCGAAACCGGTTTGTCGCAGCTTTGTGCTGTTCGTGGTAGAAAACTGATCATCCCACAGACCTCTTTCGCGACTTCTGATGAGCTCGAGAGAACGAGTCGGATCAGATGGGATGACGGTAGAGTCCTTATCTGTTGAATGAATAGTTCTCTAACAGACATCCAGAATTCGTGGATGAGTTGAAACGAACCATCAAGGCTTGCAAACTATTTTTATTCCTGCCTATCTTCAGTCTGCAAGTATGCATCCGATCCACGATCAGTTGTTTGGCTAATGTACTGAACTTAGTGCGGACGGCGGAGTTTCCGTGATATTGGCCAATCAAGGCGCGTCGATGACCACCGATGGGGCTCCTAACGATCTTCTGTCCAACTTCAACGCGCTTACCATCGTGGTGGCGATCCCGCTCCTCAACTTCCTCGTCTACCCCGCTTTGCGGCACGTCGGAATCAACTTTTCGCCGATCCGCCGCATCGTCTTCGGATTCCTCGTCACAGCAGCCGCGATGGTCATGGGGGCGGTCGTCCAATGGCGAGTGTACCAGACCTCGCCGTGCGGATATCACGCGTCGACGTGCACGATCGGGACGGGCGTCTCGCCGATCTCGGTCTGGGTGCAGATCCCGCTGTACGCGCTGCCGGCGCTGGCCGAGGTGCGGCGCTCGAGAACCGGCTGGGTGACTGACTCGGACTGACTGCGCGCGCCAGATATTCATCATCGTCACGGCATACGAGATCGCGTACACGAGTGCCCCGCGGAATATGAAAGGGGTTGTGATGGGCCTGGTGCTGTTCACGAACGCCATCTCATCGGCGATCATGCTCGTCATATCCCCGGTGTTCGTCGACCCGAATTTGATCTGGCCGTTCGTCGCGCTTGCGGGTGTGCTGCTGCTCAGTGCAGTGTTGATCTGGGCATGTGAGTGCAGTTTGGTTTGTGGGTGTTTCGAGGACCAAGGAGCTCACTCGTTGTGCGTAGTTTTCAGGGACGTGGATCGGGATAGTGTGTCAGTGGAGCGGGAATAGACTGTCACCGTCGCGTGTAACGTGAATAGTATAGACTTTTGAGAGCGGGAATAAATTCAGGTGTTAGAGGTCGCCCTCCCAACTAGTGCCGGTTCAATGAATATTCAAACCTTGCGGCCCAGAGCTCCAAGACATTCCACAACCTGCACCTTCTTCGCTGGGCCAGGAATTCCGGGGAAAGTAAGGGGTTCTTCACACCTCGCAAGACGCACTGATCTGAAAGTCCGTATAGTGTGCGTGGCACCTTGGTCACCCCCCAAGTCCTACCAGTTAGGTAGGTTTTTTCGGCGTCCAAACCTACCTAATGGTAGCGGGCGGATGGGCGGTGGGCGGCAAAGTTTTGGCTTTAGGCAGCCTGGGCAGATTTAGTGCTGGCCAAAAATATGATACGAAAAATTTAATTTGAATATATTCAATATGCATGAATACGATACGGTCTTGGACCTTACAAACTGAATACAAATACAGGTGAATATGATATGATACGATATTGATAAAATACAATATGGGTTTCAATGTATTCAAATATCCTTGGATATGATTATAACGGATCAGCATCAGGCATCACTGATCATTCATGCCAGCAACCTTTGCGGCAGCTTAGGACAAAACGGATCAGTCTGCTGCATAGTTGCGGGGATAGAATAAGAAGCACCACATCTGCAA